GACAGAAAAGATGAAACCAACGGCCAAAAACAACACAACCAACGGATCAACGCGTGAACTTAGCAGTTTAACCCAAGTCAAAAAAAAATTGGGTAGCTATATCACAATTTTGTGTCACAGCAAGAGTGGTGACATCACCAACTTTTCACGTGATAAGCATGTGTTTTCGAAGCTCAGTTGACTTAGATGGCGTTTCATATGTGTCAATGCCAACACTCAGACTAAGTAGCTTCCAAGATATGATGAAACTGTTTACTGAGAATAGACAGTATACTCAAGGTAATGGACTGCCTGTTTTGTCGGGAATTCCACTCATACAATTAACTAAGTCGTGTACTTCCACACAATTTTATCTCTATCTCAAAAAACAAATTGGGAAATTAATTTATTGATTTTACATCGCGGCTAATTTTTCATACCAACAAAAGTAGGAAAAAAAAAAAAAAAATTTCAGCTGCTGTTGACTCATTATGAAAAATTTTCTAATACAAATTCCATTGCATTTTTCCCTCTTTCTTTTTCCTTCTTCCTTCTTCCTTCTTCAATTTAAATCTCAAATCCAGCAACCAATCCTCTGGGATACAAACCAACAATGTTGTTGAGAAACAATTTCAATCTTTTATCACATAGGCTCAAAGTTTTACCAAGACCGTCCAATTTGGTTCAAAGACTTGGGCTTGCAACAAGTGCCAATCAGCAAGAAAACAAAACAATTCCTTCGATAAATGACGAGGCATTGAAGTACGCGGGTGGTGACTTGTTGAAGAAATTTAAGGATGAGCACGCTCACAAACTAGTAGATGTCTCAAAGGTTCTTGTTATCGGGTCGGGTGGTTTATCAATTGGTCAGGCTGGTGAATTTGACTACTCAGGATCACAAGCCATCAAAGCATTGAAAGAAGCTAACAAGCAATCTATTCTAATAAATCCAAACATTGCCACAAACCAGACTTCGCATGCGTTGGCCGACGAAATTTACTATCTTCCCGTCACTCCAGAGTACATAACTTACATAATCGAAAGAGAGAGACCAGATGGCATTTTGTTGACTTTTGGTGGACAAACCGGGTTGAATGTTGGTGTTAAGTTGGATAAAATGGGTGTATTTGATAGGTATGGCGTTAAAGTTTTGGGAACTCCGATAAAAACATTGGAAACGTCTGAGGATCGTGATTTGTTTGCTCAAGCTTTGAAAGAAATAGATATACCAATTGCCGAATCCATCGCTGTTGAAACTGTTGATGATGCTTTAAAAGCGGCTGACTCGGTAGGATACCCAATTATTGTTAGGTCGGCGTACTCCCTCGGTGGTCTTGGTTCTGGATTTGCTGCCAACAAAGACGAATTGAGGAACTTGGCAGCTCAATCACTCTCCTTGGCTCCACAAATCTTGGTCGAAAAGTCTTTGAAAGGATGGAAGGAAGTCGAGTACGAAGTTGTTCGTGATAGAGTGGGAAACTGTATCACAGTATGTAATATGGAAAACTTTGACCCATTGGGTATTCACACTGGAGATTCCATTGTTGTTGCTCCATCTCAAACTTTGAGTGATGAAGAGTATCATATGTTGAGAACTGCTGCAATTAAGATAATCAGACACTTGGGTGTTGTTGGTGAATGTAACGTTCAGTATGCATTACAACCAGATGGTTTAGATTTCAGAGTCATTGAAGTGAATGCTAGACTTTCACGTTCCTCTGCTTTAGCTTCAAAAGCTACAGGATACCCATTGGCCTATACAGCGGCCAAGATTGCCCTTGGCCACACCTTGCCAGAATTACCTAACCCTGTCACCAAAACGACTTCAGCAAATTTTGAACCATCATTGGATTATATTGTGACAAAAATTCCTCGTTGGGACTTGTCGAAGTTCCAACATGTAAAGCGTGATATTGGATCGGCTATGAAGTCAGTGGGTGAGGTTATGGCAATTGGTAGAAATTTTGAAGAATCTTTTCAAAAAGCAATCAGACAAATTGACCCATCATACATTGGGTTCCAAGGAGACCATTTTGATAACTTGGATGAAACTTTGCAAAATCCAACTGATAGAAGATGGTTAGCCGTTGGACAAGCATTGTTACATGAAAATTACTCAGTTGAAAAGGTTCATGACTTGACAAAGATTGACAAATGGTTCTTGTACAAATTGATGAACATTGTTAACATGTATCGTGAATTGGAAGCCGCTGGTGAATTGTCAAATATCAATAGTGATTTGATGAGACGTGCCAAGAGGTTGGGATTCTCTGACAAGCAAATAGGTCTCTGTGTTGGTGCACCAGAGTTGGAAGTTAGAAAAGTAAGGAAAGAATTTGGAATCATTCCATTTGTTAAGAAGATAGATACATTGGCAGCTGAGTTCCCTGCTAATACCAATTACTTGTACACAACATACAATGCCACCAGCTCGGACATTGATTTCAACGATAAAGGAACATTGGTGTTGGGTTCGGGTGTTTACAGAATAGGTTCGTCTGTCGAATTTGACTGGTGTGCTGTTTCTACTGCACGTGCTTTAAGAGAAAGTGGTAAAAAGACAATCATGATCAACTATAATCCCGAAACTGTTTCTACTGATTTTGACGAAGTTGACAGGTTATACTTTGAAGAGTTATCTTTGGAAAGGGTATTGGACATCTACGAATTAGAGCACTCAGCTGGTGTTGTTGTTTCAGTTGGAGGTCAGTTACCTCAAAACATTGCATTATCGTTGCAAAACAACGGCTGCAATGTTCTCGGAACTAACCCCGAAGACATTGATAAAGCCGAAGATCGTCATAAATTTTCCCAAATCCTTGATTCCATCGGGGTCGATCAACCAGCATGGAAGGAGTTGACTTCTATCAAAGAGGCTGAAAACTTTGCCGATGAAGTTGGGTATCCAGTTCTTGTTCGTCCTTCATACGTTTTGTCTGGGGCCGCTATGTCTGTTATCAAGAGTAAAGATGAGTTGGATGCAAAATTATCAAACGCTTCTAAAGTTTCACGTGAGCATCCTGTTGTTATCTCGAAGTTTATTGAAGGGGCCCAGGAAATTGATATTGATGCTGTTGCTAATGAAGGTCAAGTATTGGTCCACGCTGTTTCGGAACACGTCGAGAATGCAGGTGTCCATTCTGGTGATGCTACCTTAGTCTTGCCACCACAAAACTTGTCTCCTGTTTTGTTGAACCGTTTAAAAACTATTGCTGATAAAGTGGCTGAAGCATGGAAAATTACTGGACCTTTCAATATGCAAATTATCAAGAATGACCAGAATGGCGCTCTTGATGATGAAAACTGTGAATTGAAGGTTATCGAATGTAACATTCGTGCATCTCGTTCTTTCCCGTTCGTGTCCAAGGTACTTGGTATCAATTTCATAGATGTCGCAGTGAAGGCTCTCATAAAAGAAGGTGTTCCTCAACCAGTGAACCTCATGGCTCAACAATATGACCGTGTTGCAACCAAAGTGCCGCAGTTTTCATTTACCAGGTTAGCAGGAGCAGATCCATTTTTGGGTGTCGAGATGGCTTCTACAGGAGAAGTCGCTTGTTTCGGTAGGGATTTACTTGAGGCATACTGGACTAGTATACAATCAACTATGAATTTCCATGTGCCATTACCTGGACAGGGTATTTTGTTTGGTGGTGACTTGACTAATGACAAACTTGGAAATGTAGCCAAGGAGCTATCAGGATTGGGTTACAACTTTTACACAGCTAGTCAACCGGTTGCGGATTATATTTCAAAGTATGTCTCCGAGCCAGTCGAAGTTATTGAGTTCCCCAAAACTGATAAACGTGCTTTGCGTGAAATTTTTCAAGACAAGAACATTGGCGCTGTGTTCAACTTGGCCAAAGCCAGAGCTCAAGATTTGTTGGATGAGGATTATGTAATGAGAAGAAACGCCATTGATTTTGCCATCCCATTGTTCAATGAGGCCAATACATCCCAGTTATTTGCCTCTTGTTTGAAGGTTAAGATTCAAAACAAGACCAAGTTCGACGAAGTTCCTGCAACTGTTGTTGTGCCGGAGGAAGTTCAAAGATGGAGTGAATTTATTGGCGGTAAGCCTGTATAATCTATTTTGCTTATAGAATAGCGTAATATAACTAGACTGTAGCCAAAGATCTCATGTGTAGTGATCAAAAAGATCTCGAAATCAAAGGACAACAACGGATTAAATGTTCCAAGAGATGAATGCAGACAAACGATTGTAAATAAAGTGCTTACCATTGATTGATGAGTATGGTGCTATTAACTTCGCGTCATGTCTTCCAGGTCAAGAAATTGATCCTGTTGTTGCCCTCCGCTATTAAATGAGAGCAATCCGAAATCGGCAGTAATTGCGAAATTTATTTTTTTTTTTTAGACTTTCGAGGCGGGAAACACAGAACTCATTGAGGAGTATTCAAGTAACGTGGTTTAGGACATTTCTCATCTACAAAGTTTTCCAATCTTGGCTTGGCATACCTGATGGCAAGATACTTTGATTCCCATTTTGTGGTTAAATACGCACCCATCCAAGAAATCGCGCATATGTGTAATAATAGTTCTTTGAAAGTCTACTGTTGTCTTGATGTACATTGCACTGGAGTTCAGATGAAATTGTGACAACTTTTCACATAATGGTGTGTGTGATATATTTCATTTGCTATGGTTCCCAAGAATAAACTGTGCTGAACATGCATACATGCGGTTGGCATTCCAGAACAAGTATCAAGGAAGAGGAACAAGACTGCAGTGCCTTGCTAAATTAGTACTTACCAGATAGCATCCCTTTACAAGAAGTAGGTAATCTCCTAGCAAAGGGAGAGGGGGGGTGCAGGAGATGGAAAAGATAAAAGTCCTTCAAACCAATTGTATCACAAATGGTAGATCAAGAAATTATCAAAAAAAGAAATCTTCAAATTTTCTTGTCGTTTCAAACATTGTGTGAAAAATTTATGCAACCTCTATTGTTAGTCCGAAACTCAAGAGAGAAGTATTTACGTGGAAAAGAAGCTGATTGGCTGGCTGTTCAGTTTTGAGTGGTTAATCCCAAACCTTGATGTTTCCTTTTCCCGTTTGCATACACTGTTTACGAATTTCTTGAACAATCAAAGTGTATTGCCGTATTGTTACAAGCTCGCTGAGGTGCAAAATGGAATTTCAATTGCTGAAGAATGCGTTTGTGGATGAGTGCATAGTGAAAATACCCCAATGCTACTATAAAATCTACTAAATTTCCACCAAAATAGCTCCTGCAAATGTTGCAAGTGCTATCTTACTTAACTTCAAAGAGCTCAGTTTATCATCTCATCAAAAATAAGAAAAAAGATGGATCGAGTTGAAACGGCCAAGACCGAAACTTATGAGGAAACCGGAACGGATAACAAGACAAACTCTGGGGACGAAGGTGACATTGCGACACAATCGATACGAGAAAAGGAGGCTTTAAACACAACCACCAAGTCGATCGGTATTAGGAGAGCTGAAATTTTACAATTGCAATACCAGAGTCCAGTCATGAGGGTAATCTTTTTTATCAGCATCTTTTTGCTTGCATACGGGTATGGATTGGACTCAACCGTGAGAGGAAACTTGCAGTACTACGCAACTTCTTCATACCTGCAGCACTCATTGTTCACCACTGTCAATGTCATGCAATCGGTGATTAGCGCAGCAGCGCAACCATTTTACGCTAGGTTATCTGACAACTTTGGGCGATTGGAGTTGTGTTTGTTTGCAATTGTCTTTTATTCCATGGGGACTGTGATTATGTCCCAAGCTTATGACATAAATAGATTTGCTGGCGGCTCAGTCATCTACCAAATAGGTTTCACCGGAGTCATGATTATGTTGCAAATTATTTTGGCTGATTTTTCAAATTTGAACTGGCGTTTGCTATGTTCATTCATACCAGCATTGCCGTTTATCATCAACACTTGGGTTGGTGGTGTTGTTGTAGCTTCTGTTTTGGCCCACTATTCGTGGAATTGGGGCATTGGTATGTGGGCTTTTATCTTTCCACTCAGTTGTGTCCCTTTAATTTGTTGTTTTATTCACATGCACATCAAAGCTAGAAAGACACAAGAATGGCAGGAGTTGGCCGAAGAGTATAGCAACCAGAAGCATCCCAAAACCACTTTACGTTATTGGGGAGCATTAGGGAGAGACTTGTTTTGGGACTTGGATGTGATAGGGCTACTCAATGTGATAATCATCTTGGGATTCATTTTGGTGCCATTTACCCTTGCTGGAGGCGCCACTTCGAAGTGGGCAAGAGCGTCAACAATTGTTCCTTTGGTCATTGGTGTGGTGTTCATCCCCATTTTTGTCATATGGGAAGCAAAATTTGCCAGATCCCCAATTATGCCGCTACCTTTGATGAAAGATCGTGGTGTCTGGGCAGCATTGTTGGTTGCTGTCTTTATCAACTGGATTTGGTACATGCCCAATGACTTTATGTATACCGTTTTGATTGTTGGTATGAATGCTAGCGTTAAAGCAGCTACGAGGATTACGTCATTGTATTCATTCGTGTCAGTTATCGTGGGACCAATCTTGGGATTGGTTGTAGTTCGTGTTCGAAGATTGAAAGGGTTCATCATTTTTGGATGTGTTTGCTGGGCCGTAAGTTTGGGAATCTTGTTACATTTTCGTGGAGCCAATGATGGAGTGGAGAGCCAAAAGTATCTTAATGGTGTGATAGGTGGATTGTGCTTGATGGGTTTTGGAGCAGGATTTTTCACTTATTCCACACAAGTCAGTATCAGCACTGTTACTAATCATGAGTACATGAGTGTTATCATTTCAGTTTACTTGGCCAGCTACTGGATTGGTTCTTGTTTGGGTACTTCCATCAGTGGAGCTATTTGGACAAACAAAATGCATGGGGTCATATTGACCAAGATGCAAGAGATGAATATAGCCAACGCCACAGAATTGGCTTTGTCAGCGTACAATGCACCGTTTGAGTTCATTGTGGAAAACCAGTGGGGTTCGCCAGCAAGAATTGCAGTAGTTACAGCATATGCTCACGTTCAAAGATATCTATGCATTGCTGGGTTAGTTCTTTGTTTCCCGTTGATTATGATTACGTTTTTGTTAAGAGACCACAGACTAGACTCGGTACAATCCTTGGAAATGGATCATGATCATGAAAAAGGAGTTGTCAGAGACGGCAGAGTTGTGGTGAACAACTACGACGATGATATCTTGGTGAACAAGTTGAAATCTATTTTCAACATTGGAAAACGATAAACTAAAACGTAATGGGGTAATGGTACGTAAGGATGTACATGGTTTTACAAGTTGCAAGGAATAATTAAGTGTAAAGATCTATCCTGGACACTCTTATTGCATCACGTGCGTTGGATTCTTTGTCACAGGAATTGCAAAAAATTTGTTTAGAAATCTGACAAATTCGTGTTTGCCGCTCCAAATTATGTTACGAATCTCTCTCTCTCTCTCTCTCTCTCTCTCTATTGTAATAGTGGATATTGATGCCATCAGATGTAATATAACCTTCGATAAACTCAGTACTTATAGGTTCGATATATCTCATGTATTCTAGGCGTAGGCAAGTTCAATTTCATTACCCGAAGATTGCTCTTGTACACAGCCCATTGCATGCTATAGTCGGACAATTGTGAATATAGTGTCAAGTATCAAATGGAAGCAGTACTCAGCGTATGTTGAAAATGCCCTTTTATATACAAAAGAGTAACACAATTTTGAGGTCGCAAACTTGCAAACTGCGAAATCCCGCCCAAAGTAGAAGAAAAAGAAAAAAAAAAAAAAGAAATTCACATCACACAGAAAAATTTCGCCTCTTCAAAAAATCAACAATCCACACAAATCTTAAACGAAACAAGACCCACAACCACAGCACATAACCTTACAAGTAATTGTTAATCAAAATATTACCCCCATTATACACGCACTGCTAAGACTGACGTGGTACTTTTTCTTTTTTTTTTTTTGTTCTTTCTTTCAACACTATTCCAACTCAACCGGCCCCGGTCTCATTTAAAGAACAACAATGGGACAAATTCTATCACAACCAATTACTGAGAAACACTCAGAAGAAGGCCAAGACAAGTACTTGGCGTATGGTTTGTCCAGTATGCAAGGTTGGAGAATCAATATGGAGGATGCCCATGCTACAGTATTAGACTTGAATAAATTTAGTGATGATGAAGATGTTGCCAGTAAAGATGAGGGGGGCAGAGATGATGACGATGATGATAGTAATGATAAAGAGGCGGATAGTAAAAAGGAAACCAACCATTCATCAGTCAACAAACATGAATCAAAGGCGAGCCAGGATGAAAATGCCGACTATGTCGCGTTTTTTGGTGTCTATGATGGACATGGTGGGGAAAAGGCTGCCATTTTCACAGGGGAACATTTGCACAAAATTATTAGAGCCACATCTCTGTACCAAGGAAAAGACTACACCAACGCATTAAAGCAAGGATTCTTGGATTGTGACCAGGCCATATTGAAGGATATCTACATGCGTGATGACGATAGTGGATGTGCTGCAACCACGGTACTCATTACCCCTGAACGTATCTTTTGTGGTAATGCCGGAGACTCGCGTACCATAATGTCCGTCAATGGAGTCGCAAAAGCCCTATCATTTGATCACAAGCCTTCTTTGGAAGGGGAAAAATCGCGTATAATGGCTGCTGGTGGATACGTTGATGCAGACAGAGTCAATGGTAATTTGGCTCTTTCGCGATCGATTGCCGATTTTGAATTCAAGAAATCGGTTGACCTTCCTCCGGAAGAACAAGTTGTTACGTGTTACCCCGACGTGATTACTCATCAAATAAACTTAGACCAGGACGAGTTTGTCGTGTTGGCATGTGATGGTATTTGGGACTGTATGCACCCTCAACAAGTGATTGATTTCATAAGGAGGGCCATTCGTGAGGATAAACCACTTGAGAAAATTTGTGAGGAGATTATGGACCTTTGTTGTTCTCCAACTTCTGATGGTTCTGGTATAGGTTGCGATAACATGTCCATAGTAATTGTGGCTCTATTACGCGATGGAGAAGGTATTGAAGGATGGAGGAAAAGGTTGACTGAAAGAATTGGCGACAAGGATTTTGGGGATTCGTTTTTGAAACCAGAACATCCAAGATGTGGAAGAATCGAAGATGGGGGCGAAGAAGAGGAGCCCGAAACTGGTGCTACAATTTCTTTAGAGCAGTTGTTGGCAGGTAATGCTGTTACGACTGAAAACGGAGTGGTTTATTTGGATACAGCCTCGGCCCAGTCGTTGTTGGAGAGATTTAAATAGAAATAGCTTGATAATAGGATTTCGTATTTGTTTGAACATAAAAATTGTTTTTAGTTTTGAGGCATTACTCTATATAAATCTTGGACCCCAAATGGAACCACTGGATGGTGTCTGAGGCTGCGAGGGTGTATTACTGGTGTTTGTCGTCGCACCAGGTTGGAAAAAATGCTGCTGCTGTTGATGATGTTGTTGTTGAGGTATGGGATTACTTTCCAATTGTGCCAATGGTGGCGTAGATCGCACGTCAACATACGATCTGTTATTACTTGTTCTCAACAATGCAGCGGCAGAGCTTCCAGCTGACACGTTTTGAGCCAATTGTGGTGGTGGTGGTTGAGGTTGTTGGTAAAAACTATGCTGTGTATAAGGTCTTTGATGATAAGGGACAACCTGAGGTTGTTGTTGCTGTTGTTGTTGCTGCTGCTGTTGTTGTTGTTGTTGTTGCTGAGTAGGAGTCGATGTTTGCTGTCTCAATCTGGGCATCGGTATTGCTGATTGAGAATGAGAACGTAACAACTCAGGAGGGTTTGCCAATTGATTAAGGTTCATCATAGAGGTTGAATGAAGTGGTTGTTGACGTGTTTGTCCAGGAGCAATGGAAATGTGTCCCGGTTTTCTTCTAATAATGATCATGCCGTTGTCAAAAAGTTCCAATAAATTTAAATAGTTGCAGATATATGAAATTATTTTGCGTTGTGTAATATTCAAGTTTAATGGTGATATTGCCAATTCAAAAACCGTTTTCGAAACGTCATCGCGATAAAGCACCAACTGAGTGTATAGTTCTAAAATTTCCGGGTCATTAAAGTTGAGTTCGGGTGGTGTAAACAGTGAACACCCAAATGGTAAATTCAATAAAATTCTTTCTTGTGAAGTTGATGTACCAGCAACACTAAGATTTTTTGTTGCCGCAGTTGTCGAAGCTTGCGATACCAACGATGCCAAAGATGCATTGGATGCTGATCTGTGCTGTTCTTCCAATTGCCCTCTTTTTTCCCTCTTTTCACGTTCAATCCTTTCTCGTTCTTGAGCAGGCAACATTTTCTTGTACTCGACTCTCAACTTTCTCCCACCAATTTCTCTTCCATTAAGTTGATTCACAACAAGTGATGTCTCATCAGTTGAGGTGAAATTGGCAAAGGCCAAACCTCTAAACACCCCATTATCAAAATGGTAATTAAATGCATAAGGCAAGGGCAAATTAAGTTTGGTCATAACTTCCAACAACTGTTCTTTTTTGATAGCAAATGGAATATTTTTAATTACTATTGCAGTGGGGATTAGTTCATCATCATCGGTTGTGTGGTCATTGTTTTCGTGAGCGTCATTATCGTTAGGTTTCGTCTCGTCATTAATTGGCTTCTCCAAGGACTTGTCCAAATCGTCAAGGGTTTGCTTCTGTTGCTGTTCTACCCATGGGCCTATCGAAGTGGAGCTAGGCTGGTTAAGCCAGGAACTTTGTATGTCTTTGTTCATAAGAGTGTTTGGGGTATAACTCTTTGTATTGAAAGGCGTTGAAGATGAAGAATAACCCGAAGCAGAAGATAGCGAAGATAAGGAAGGACGACGCTGTACCACGTTGTCGATTTGATGGGTAGATAAAGCTCTAAAATCCATTGGTATCTGATTTGCTAGTGGTTTGTATAGATTCCCCCCTCGTCCTAAAGGTTAGTTTTCGAGAGAATTGTCGCTCGGTTGTTACTGTTTATGTTGTTGAATCGGAAAGAAAAGGGAAAAAAAAAAAATAAAAAAAAGAAAAAAAAAAAAGAAAAATGAACTATGCGTGTGTCTACCAATTCAGGTCCTCCACATACAATTACTAGTTTTCATTCTCTGAAAAATTTTGGACACTGGCAAATATTGGGTAGCATCCTTAACTACGACAAACAAAGCAAAAAAAAAAAACCGGATTACGTGTAGAAATGTAGAGAGACAATCCAGGGAGCTAATTTCATCAAATTCAAATGGTATGTCTTCAACATGTTGATGTTTCCTCTTTCCAATCTTCAATACTAACCGAATTCAGTCCTCCTCGTCCTCAAGTCAAGCCCCAGGTGGTTTGAGAAGTGCTGTTAAGAGAAAGTCCACTGCTGATAAGAAAGCTCAGACATCAAATGCTACTCCATTGAGCACTAGGTCAGCAGGAGCTGGTGGGAGCTCCTCCACCATGATGAAATTGTTCACTGATGAGGCTCAAGGTTTACGCGTTGATCCGTTGGTTGTGTTGTTTTTGGCCGTTGGTTTCATCTTTTCTGTCATCATCTTGCATGTGTTTGCCAAATTGACTGGAAAATTCACATAAAGAGGAAGGGTCACTAGAGTGTGTTGAAAAAATTATCTACATGTGTATTAATAGGTTATTTACAGTGTCGGACAAGTCGTCTATATGTACGTGTAGCTTGCTCTCCTGTGGCTGCCCATCTCTTCTCCTGCCTCTCACCTCAATGTCCACCATTGGAAACCTCTTTCCCAAGATCACAACCATTGGTATACCCATCATGTTAGATTGCTTCACCTTGAGCCCTAGCGATTCATCTCGGCCATCCACTCTATAGTCAAATTGCATCCTTGAGTACGCCTCGCTCAACCCGGTATCCTTTGTTGCCTCAACAACAGTCACCTCCCATGGCGCAATGCTTCTGGGCCACCGCAACCCCTCATTGTCTCTGCTGATCTCGGCTATTGCTGCAACAATTCGACTGACCCCTATGCCATAACACCCCATCATTACCTGTTTGTTCACAACTTTGCCATTCTCGGGAACATCCACACTCAACCCCAATGGTTTCGAATACTTGTCACCTAGATAAAATGTGTGCCCCACTTCGATAGCCCTCTGTTCTCTCAATGTCCCTCTCTCGCACTCTCCACAAACTTCTCCCGCTTCCGCAAGTACTATGGGCACATCTGTCAACGTGGTAATCATCGACCGGTTGTGGAAGTCCACTGGGAAATCTGGGAAATTGGACCTCGAATTCAACCGCGCATCCATCACTCGAACAACTCGTTTGGACAATTCGTCAACTTGTGAAAACTGCTCAAACACATGCTCTTCAGGCACTCCAAGTGCAATATCAGGCACTTCGACCTGGACAAACTTTGGTTCAAGTGTTCTGCCCGTGGGATAGTATGCGCATACCAACGTCGTCTTGTCCATCGTGAGGAAATACTTTACTGACACATCTCCGCCGGCAGACACTGCCTCTTGAGGAAGTGACAATGTTTTCTCTTGGTTTGACACATGCCCACAAGAATCACAACTAAACACAGCATCCTCCCCAGTAGCATTCAAGTAGTGCCATTCATGGCTCATATCTCCTCCGATATCCCCGCTGTCTGCTTGCGCCTTCACATACGGCACTCCCAAATCGTCAAATATCCGATGGTAAGCCCCAACAACTGACTTGTAAGTCTCCAATGCCCTCTCCTCGTCCAAATCGAACGAGTATCCATCCTTCATCAAAAACTCTTTTCCTCGAAGTAGTCCCCCTCTCGGCCTTTTCTCATTCCGAAACTTTTCTTTGATTTGGTACAATCTCAACGGCAACTGTTTATAACTGTCCAATGCCTGTTTGGCGTACTGCGTGATTTCCTCTTCACACGTTGGAACAAGCAAGTAATCTGGATCATGGTCACCATTCACTAGCTTGAAGACCTCAGACTGGTTCCATCGGCCAGTCTTTATCCATCCCGTCTTGTACGATAGTAGAGACAAACTCAACTCTTCAAACTGCACACTGTCCATATGTTTTCTGATGATTGCATTGACCTTGCTCTGGATGAGAAGCCCTGTTTGTGACCAATTGACTAGCCCGGAGCGAGGGTGCGATACGATCCCTAGCCGCGTGAGAAGTTCCAGTGTGGGCACAGTTGGCTCCAACTTGAACTTGGCAAGTTGGTTTCCGTATAGCTTCGGAACTCGGCGAATCATGAGCTGAATACAGAAGATCCATCCATCCAGTACCAAACACAGATTTTCGCTACCAATTACATTTTCTTACAACAATGTCTTCTCTACACAACTGCAATATACTGTGCTTCATTTATTTATATCTTACTGTGTCTACTTAAACAATTCACTCAACTTGCTCTTAACGTCATGGTACACATCGTCACCATACGATTTCAAGTGTTCCAATGACTTACCAAAATCCTCTTGAGCTTTGGTCAATTTCTTGTTCTTTTCTGGGTCGTTGGCCAAGTCATTGCTCAACTCTTGAAACTTCTTGTATGCTTCATTGTACTGCTGCACTGCCTTTTGTCTCTGTACTTGGAAAGACTCATTGGCCTGGTCCTTAGTTGAACTGAAAACCTTGCCCAAGTTCTCGTACTGTCTGTTGAGTTCATTTACTGAGGCATCATACTGCTTGTTGAACTCCTTGCTTGCTTCGTCCAACTTTTGGTTTGCAAGTGATACGAGGTCATCTTTTTTGTCTTGAGCTTCATCGGCCTTCTTGTTTCCCCAACTGAACCATGAGTTCTTTTCCTTTTCAGCGTCAGCCTTAACTTGGTCGGCTTTCTTGTTTCCCCAAGCACTCCATTCATTCTTCTTTCTCTCAGCTTCGGCTTTGGCCTCGTCCGCCTTGTCAGATCCCCAGTTGAACAACTTGTTCTTTTCATGTTCAGCATCTGCCTTGGCTTGCTCTGTCTTCTTGGATCCCCATGAAACCCATTCATCCTTCTTTTGCTCGGCCTTATCCTTGGCCTCGTCTACATCACTCTTACCAAACCAATTGCCAAAAATGGGCTTCTCTTTCACCTCTGGCAAAGCACCAGCAGACGAAATTTGAGTTTCACCAGTCTTGACTGAATTGGTTCCAAGACAGTTCACAAAATCAATGTATTGTTGCATACCTCTCTTGAAAATAGACTTTTCATCTTCTGGAGTGGCAGCATCCTTGACTGATTTCCTGTAGTCCTCCTTGTTTTGGTGAAGCTTTTGATAGGTGTCAGACTCCTTTACTGATTCGGTGATTGAGTTGGTCTTCTTGTCCAACTCCTTCTTTCCTTGTTCAATCTTTTGCGTCAATTTGTTGTTCCACTCGTGTGCTTTTTGGTCAACTTTGGCAGTTTGTTGTGCCAATTGTTGGTGTTCTTTTCTAGGCAAGATACGTTCAACATTTTGGTCGTAGTAGTAGACCCCACCAGCAATTGCAGCAGCCCCTAATAAGTATTTTCCAGCAGACATGTTAATTGTAAATCAATGGGTTGTAACCAAGGCTGTGTGATATAACAAGTAAAAGTATAGGTCTCGAGAATCAAACAGAAACAGAGAGATGATTTAAAGTGGTTTATATAACAATTGGAAATTGGGGTTCGAGTATTAGGAGAAAGACATATATGGTTTTGTGTATGTCACACTTGCCCATTAATTTTATGTTTGCTATTTGTTAACAAAAACATTTTCAAAGTTGGGCTCCCTTTTGAACAGCGAACCCTCGAGCAGCTAAGAGTCGGTTATCTATGTGCAGAAGCTTTCAGAAATCAAGAGCATTCAAAGGAGGTCAGTTGCCAAAGATTACTGAACATGTCGACCATTGTACGGAAGTCCATCCCAGTCCATAATTAACTGTCAACGACAAGAGCAATGTTTGCTGAATTGCAAATGATTTCCAATTTCGTTGATCTTTGTGTAACATTATACGGTGAGAGTTTATTGGCCTACGTAATAGACTTCGTGAAGACCAGAGCGACTAATTGATAAGTAGTACAAATATATAAGCTGTATCTGTTAAAGAAAAATCCGGTTGGTGGAGCACTAAGATGAACAATTAAGGGATCCTACTTGAAAAATCTTTTTGATTCAAATCTTGAGATCTTGCTACTGGGTTTTTGCACCGATTTTTTTTGCTGAAAATTGTCTCTTATTTGTAATTTCATGTTTTCGAAGACGACGATTTGATAATTGAGAATAAACACAGAGTAGCCAAAAAATTATTTACCACTTTCTGTTGTGCATTTTCGTGAGGGCTTAGTTAGGTTTCTGTGGTCCACGGTTTGATGTTTAGCCGAACGTTGTACACGTGATCCAAGATTTATCACCATCTTTGTGTATCTTTAAATGATGTGCCGCTACCACTTTTAATTAATTAATTTATCTTATGTATGTATGTATGTATGCAACAGAGTATGTAATTTATGTTTTTGCTTTGATAACGAAGAAGGAGAATTTTATATTAAAGCCCAAACAGTACTTTCCGCCTTGCAGATTAAAATTTTCAATCACAACGTCGACAAATCTCATTCGTTCATTTCATTTCTAGCATATCTGACAAGAAATCTTAGCTCTTGTGACACATCATAGACAATACTGGAAAACATAATACGTGGGAAAAACATGAGTTCATACTCCAATCGAGGGAAGCTTTTTCAGAATTTGAGAAAAAGTTCAGGAAAAATTGTGCCTACATTTCAGGACCGTGATGATTTTTCTCTAGAAGCCACAGTTGAATCTACAGAAGCCACAACTTCTCCAACGAATAATATTCTCAATCATGCACACTTTGACAATTTTACCAGTCCTAAAAATAATGAACAGGCAAAGTCAACTGGAAAGTCTTCTAATAGAATTCGGAATTATTCTATCAGCGAGGCATTCAATTATACTAATAATCTGACCAATCCCAATTTTGACATAAGTGGACGAAGCTATGTTAGTATGAGCCATCGACCAAGCATACTCGAAAGCACTGGGTCGCCTCAAGTCAACACTGGTGCCGAAGTGCACGAGCAGACTGCCAACCTTGCCAACATTGGTGTTGTGGATAGTGAAGAACGAGATGGAGATGAGGATGGAGCTGAGGATGGAGAGGGCGGTGACGATGTGTATGATACAAGCATTCCAGAAGAGGCCATAGATGCTGGTGAACCCCAGTACCAGAAAACGAGACTTTCGCCACTTGGAGGATACGAAAGATCTTCGTCGTCGCCAACCTACTCTAGCATAACTCCTTTACTCGGTGAATCGCGTACTAACTACACTACTGATGACGAAGAGGGCACAATAGGCGTACATCAACAACCCAATGTTTCAACAAGTCAGAAACCGACGGACTCCAAGAGGATATCAACGGCACCACATGGTAAACCATCCAGTGCGGAAAAGCAACCTCAGCCAAGTCGTCTACATCAATTACTATTAAAGCCATTTCAGTTTATTCCAGGGGTGTTTTTGGGAACTTTGTTAAACATCTTGGATGGGTTGTCCTACGGGATGATCATGTTCCCCATAAGCGAGCCTATTTTTGCCGCGTTAGCTCCAGCCGGGCTTTCGATGTTTTACATGTCGTGTATAGTATCCCAGTTGGTATATTCGCTAGGTGGATCCGCGTTCAAGGCAGGTATTGGATCGGAAATGATTGAAGTTACTCCATTTTTCCATACGATGGCACTTAGTATTGTCAAGCTGATCCTGTCCGATAACTCTGTCGAAAATCAGAAGGATGCTATAATAGCAACAACCATTGTCTCGTATGCAATTTCATCTATTGTGACGGGGTTGGTATTCTTCTTACTAGGAAAGTTGAAATTGGGTGTTTTGGTTGGGTTCTTCCCTAGACACATTCTTGTCGGATGCATTGGAGGTGTTGGCTACTTTCTCATAGCCACTGGTATTGAAGTATCGTCAAGGTTGGAAGGAGGGCTCACCTATAATTACGAAACATTCAAGTACTTGTTTTACAACCACACTACATTTTTGGAATGGACATTGCCGTTGGTGTTGGCCTTGCTTTTGGTAGTCCTACAACATAGAATACACAATTCGTTACTAGTGCCAGGCTATTTCATTGCCGTGTTTGCTATATTTCATTTGATAGTGTTGATTATTCCCTCGTGGAGTTTGAACGATGCTCGGAAGATGGGCTGGGTATTCCCCGCAGTCGAGGACGATCAACCTTGGTTTGAGTTTTATGAGTTGTACAAGTTCCAATTGGTGGATTGGTTTTGCATTGTGAGACAGATTCCAACAATGTTGGCTCTAACATTTTTTGGAATCTTGCATGTGCCTATAAATGTACCTGCTTTAGCTGTCTCGATTGGGATGGACAATGTTGACGTTGACCGAGAGTTGGTGGCACACGGGTACTCGAATGCAATCTCGGGTCTTGTAGGATCGATTCAGAACTATTTGGTGTACACCAATTCAGTCTTGTTCATTAGGGCCGGCGCAAATGAGAGGCTTGCTGGTGTTATGTTGGCTGTGGCTACAGGGGCTGTAATGATTGCTGGACCAGTGGTGATCGGTTACATTCCAGTTTGTGTTGTCGGTGCATTGATCTACTTGTTGGGATACGAGCTTCTCAAGGAATCAGTATGGGACACTATTGGAAGATTGAGGAAGATTGAGTATTCAACCATTCTAATTATTGTGGTGACAATGGGAGCAGTTGACTTTGTTGCAGGAATAGGTATTGGTATATTGTTAGCATGTTTGTCCTTTGTTGTTGAAGCTGCGAGAACACCAGTGGTGCAAGGTATTTACTCTGGCAGTGTTGCAAGATCAACTGTCTTACGCCATCCCAAACAGCAAGAGTTTTTGAAGAATGTCGGTGATCAAATTTGTATAGTCAAGTTGCAAGGAACGATATTCTTTGGATCAATTGGCGGAGTGGAGGAGGAGATAAGGTTGATTTTCGAAGCCGACAAGTTTGACAAAATGCCAGTCAAGTTTTTGATTATTGATATGCATGGTGTTATATCGTTGGACTTTTCTGCCGCTGAAGGATTTAGGAGGATTTTGAACTTGGCCAATGAGTTCAAAACGCAATTGGTGATATCTGGAGTAAGCGAAGATGACGATACTATCCAAGGATTACGCGATGCTGGTCTTTTCGAAAATGGTGAACAAAATGAGGGTTCACACCCACCAATTGAACTATTCAGCTCATTGAATTACGCATTGGAGTGGTGTGAGAACTCGTTCTTAAAGACGTATAAGAGTTTGAAAAAGGGCAACCCGTTGGATCCAGTGACTCGCCACACATCGTCAAGGTCGGTTCCTGGAGCTAAAAACAATTCAACGAGCTCAAACACGATTGTGAACCTTGGAAGCATGGCTAGGTCTTCATCGATTCAATCGCCCTCTTCTTTTGGCAATAAATTGTTTAACCAATTTGGAGGTGAATACGGAACACCAAGAACAAAGCAAGTTCTCCAAGCGGCAAGTAAAACTGTTTATGACGAACAAAAAACCCAACACAGACTTCATCTAAACACTAATAGCCAGTTTCTACAAAAACAGCCTTTACCTTTGATGATGATCACATTTCAGGGTTTGTGCTCCAAAGATGTCGAATTTTGGGCCCCATTGGCTCCATATTTCGTTAAGGAACAAATCCCAGAAAACTTGCAATTTTACAACACTGGTAAAGACGAGCCATCTTTCTTTATAGTCGAACTGGGGTTGGTTAGATCTGTAATCAAGTTTGGGCCGGAGGGGAGAGAGCTACATAGCTCAATTGTTCCATTGGTTGCGTTTGGTGATTTGGACGATGCATCTCAGTATAGACCAATCTCATATACCACAGTGAACGATTCGGTTGTGTGGAAATTGTCCAGAGCCAGTATCAAGGAGATGTTGAAGCTGCAAGGATCCAAGGGGGAAGCTATCTACCATGAGTTGTTGGAGATTGAGGCGAAACTCATTAGGGAAAGATTTGATACAATGACTGCTAATTTGATCATATCAGGGTAGGAGAGAGGTGAGCGTAGATGTGGTTATAAGTGAGTAGTATAATTGAACGTATTCAGACAGTAAGAGGTGGTATATATATAGAGAGGAGATTTGCACTGTTTCTCTTTTAAGTTGGGGTTCCGTACTTCGGTGTTTTGAACCACACTACCAGATTACACGACCGTGGCTTTTTTGATATTCTGGTTGCATTGTCCAATTGTGTATCTAATGCGCACTGATAACAAAAAACAGAAAAAAGTATACTACACACACACACACACACACAGAGAGAGAGAGAGAAAGAGAGTAGCAATAATTACACCAGAGGCAAATATATATTGACACTCACCAAACCCACGTATTTTCTACAAAGCTTCACTCATTGCATATCACACACCTTCTTTTGACTGAGCTATGGTTGCCTTCACCAAGATTGCTGTCGCTGCATTCTCCTTATCCGCAGTCAATTCGCTTTCCCTCTTCAACGAATACGTTGACCGTGCACTTGCTGTATTCAACACTCCAAACGAGCTCAACTCGGAATACAACATCCAACAACAGAAGTTTTTCCAAATTCAAAAGGATGCTCATGTTAGTGACGACACTAAACCAGTACCTGGAAAGTCCCCCATCGAGGTTTGCGACTACTCTTCCAAACAACTTTTGACTCTTGACGAGATTACAATTTCGCCAAATCCACCACAAGCAGGAGCCAATTTGACATTCACCGCCAAGGGAACTATCGATAAGACCATTACTGACGGTGCTTATGTTGAAGTGGATGTGCGTTATGGGTTCATCAAGTTGATTCATCAAACTTATGATATCTGTAAGGAGATTACCAAGGTGGATTTGGAATGTCCTATTGAAAAGGGAAAGCAAGTCATTACTAAAGAAGTTGAGATCCCGGAGGAGGTGCCACCGGGGAAGTATCTTGTTACTGCGAGAGCCTTCACTAAAGATGACGAGTATATTACATGCTTGACTGCGACTATTGAATTCCCATACCAGTGAGTGAAGGGGGGGGAGGAATATGTCTTTGGATTCGTGCATTCCAGCTCATCAAGATGGGAGAATTATGTAGACATGACTTGACGTCGTTCGAACTTGACAATCGCACTTCATCTTTCCTCCATGCGTGAAGCATACGTGTAAGCTATACTATATTAGATTCCAATACAATGAATTATTCATGTCGTATATTCCAAGGACAACGAATTGTAGAAGGAGTAAAGTATCTAAAAGGAGGTGTGTGATTGTAATAATACTTCATGTATTACAATGTCGCGGTATTTCTTTGTCGCAGATTTTCTTGTCATTTTTCAGGTGTCGTATTTTCTTGTCATTGGAACAAAGAGAGAGAGAGAGAGAGAGCATCACTTTACAACCCTCTTTCACTACAAAAGAATCATTCAACTTCAATTCTTTTTTTTTTTTTTTCACAACCATAGATCTATATAACGAGTTTGATCTTTGATTCATCAACAGCAATATAACGAATTAGCATTCTACGCCTCAGATAAGATGGCGGCGATTGAGGACTATTTTTCAATACAAATCTTTTTCATAATTCTAAGGGAAACCTTGGAATCCGCAATCATCATTTCAGTATTACTTTCATTTATAAACCAGCGATCACACAAGTCCGATGCATCTTCAACGACAACTAACTCAGCAGCGAGCAATGCTAGCAGTCATCTACAACGAGTCCAAAGGAAATTAAAGATTCAAGTATGGGTGGGTGCAGTATTAGGGCTTTTCATTTGTTTCTTGATCGGACTTGTGTTTATATTGGCATTTTATTTCATTGGCAAAGATTATTGGTCATACACCGAGCGAGTTTGGGAGGGCGTATTCTCCATCTTGTCAAGCGTTATCATCACCGTCATGGGTATTGGGTTGTTGCGTATAAACAAAGTTATGAAGTTGAAGTGGTGGATCAAATTGGGCGATGCCTACAACAACGAAGATGATGAAGCAGGCGAAGAAGAGATTGCCAAGTTTGGCGATGATGGCGGCAATGGTGATATTGTCCCTGATGAGTTTGAGGATGGTGGCAATAGAGTCAACAGCTATGGAGGAACGAGATCAAGTTTGGAGTCGGAAAGTGCACCTTTGACAACACCGGATCAAGTACCCGTTGCCCGCAAAAAATCACCCACCAGAACACATAGACAAAAGTTTGGTAAGAAATACTTTTTGGCCATCTTGCCACTAGTAACAACGTTGAGAGAAGGTTTGGAAGCTGTGGTTTTCGTTGGAGGGATTGGTGTAAGCTCGCCACCTTCTGCATTCCCTTTATCTATCGCATGCGGACTTGCACTTGGTGCTTTCGTTGGGTATCTTTTGTACAAAGGAGGCAACAAGTTGTCACTACAGTACTTTTTAATCACATCCACGTGCTTTCTTTACATTGTCAGTGCAGGGTTGATGAGTCGTGGTGTATGGTTTCTTGAATTGGAATCGTTTGTCCGTAAATGCGGCGGATTAGACGTGAGTGAGACAGGCAGCGGGCCTGGCTCGTATGATATTGCCAAAAGTGTCTGGCATGTCAACTGTTGCAATGGACTCACTGATGGTGGATGGATGGTGCTCAATGCCATATTTGGATGGACAAACTCTGCAACGTACGGTAGTGTGTTTACATACATGGCATATTGGATATTTGTCATTGTCTGGTTGAACCTCAAGTTATACGAAGAAAGAGAAGGTGTGTTGCCCATTATCCCCATCAAATGGCAATTGAAACGAATTAGAAAAAAAATTAGATTATACGAGCTAAGAAATAGTCAGAGCTTACACACAATATCACAACAAGAGGCTGGGGTAGTTCAGGCCGAACAACATGGCTTATTGGAATAGCTCTTCCAACAACGACCCTTGTTTATATAGATTTAAACTAAAATTATGCATTAATGAACTAAATATCCATTGAATTATAGTAGAGATGTCATTGGTTATTCTTTTCCTGGTGCAAAATACCTTGGTTCATCAAAAACATGGTACCGATGTCCTCTCACACCATCTCCTTTGAAAAGCTGTGGCATTCTCAAGTTTTCATCCACCAAATCCTCGTCGACGAAATGATAATCATGATTTTCAAATCCTCCAAATCCGAACTTGGCAATCTGCAACTCAGTGTCGGTGATTGTTGATCTTGAAATCCTTGCATATGCAATCTTTCTCAAGTCTCGGAAAAGTATATATTCACACCAACGATCCCAATCAGTAGAGTCAATATCATGCATCCTTGATTTTTCCGAAACATAAGTATTGTAATTTCCAACCAATGGATCAGTGACCAAATAGCTCAACAATACCAATGGTCTTTCTGAATTGGCCATAATTTCTTCAACTCCCAAACTTTGTAGCCTACGATCCTCAACATCTTCTTCTTGGCCCGAATGGAACACAACAACATCGACTAAATTGCCGTAAATGTCCAACGTTGCATGTATGGCTGGTGCTAACTCACCGACTGGAGAAGGCAAAAGGTGATGAGTTGATTGTACAATGGGGAATTTGGACAACAATGCCGCTCCCCAAGTGTGCTTATTTGGACCAGGCCCATAATCAACATACATTCCCAAGTCCTCAGCAATCTTTTGAGTGAAATCTCGATTACCACCAATCAATCGTTGAGTATCGGTCTCCAAGAGTCCAATAATATCTAACTCTGCATCCTTTATGAGATCTCTCATTCTCGTTTCAGATGACCACATATCGTTATCCAATCCAAAATGAACGCACCATATACCAGCAGAGAATGTTTCAGTCTCTGGATGATATGGGTTTCCCAAGCCTGTTGGCCACCTCTTGATCGAAGTAGACAATGCAACTGCCAAGAGAATTGTAGTTATAGTGGATATCTGTTTGACGGTTTTGCTACTGTAAAAACTGATCTTTGTAATCTCATCTTTTCTGAGATTGTAGTTTGCAACCCCAACAAAAATCAGAAGCACAGCGGTAGCCAAAACGATGTCGGTTCTTTCCCTCAACAACGGTCCGCCTGGAACAAATGCGTACGCCACGATCCAAACACTAGCCAAAGAAATCAAAATATTGAAAAAGTGTCCAAGGAAAAAGATGCCGACTGGGTTGTAACCAGTAAGTGAATGGAAAATGAGTGGAGCAATTGAAACAATGTAGAATACAAAAACCAACGTTGCAAAGAAACCAGCCCAGTTTTTCAAAAAATACAACGCCACTGCACTTCCACCACCAACAATGATGTTGTAACTCCAACTGCTGAAAACATTTGGGTGTACTTTTATAGTAACAAGAAGAGCAACTGCAAATGTGAGGATGTGGGGGAATGCACCAGTCACTGGAGTTGGTCCTCTTATTGGGAAACCCTCCCAAGTCCAAAGAGCCAATGTACCCGAGTCCGATAACAAGGCTTGCAAGGTGAAGTAATACCCACCAAATCCAATCGCTCCTAGTAAAAGCGATCCACCAACTTTTTCTGGGGCTTTTTTCAAATGAGTCTGTTCGGCTTTGCTCGCTGGAGTAAAGAAAGCGCCAATCAATCCAATGAATATTCCCAATGGATTATAGCCGCCATTTTCCTTGTGCATAATTGGCCAAATAGGGTTATTCGAGTAAAACAAAAATTTGAGTATCGAAGTTGTCAAGAGACCCAAGATGAATGTTGCAATGTATGAGTTCAGCCTCCTTGGTTGCGTAGATAATGCCCAAAACTCGTTGACGGTAGAAATGATACCAAACACAGTCCCTGCTGTTATGGATAACAATTTTTGTTCTGGGTCTTCGAATTTGTAAGCGCCAATTCCGCAAATTACTGTCAATGATCTTGTGAATTGAGGCCATTGAGCTAGAAATACTCTCAAGCTTCGTGGTAACAACACTATTGGCGATAAAAAAATGGCCAAAACTACTGCCTCGTACCCAGAAATGCCCATATACCACAATGGGAAATACCAAACACACAAAAATAATGAGGTTAAAACCGTCCAGTACACATAGGAGTTGATCAAGTTGACTACAACCTCAATGCTGGAGAAATCATCTTTTGATTCAACAGATTTTATAGGCGTCGTTGTCACCTGAATGGACTTTTTTTTTTGCCCCGAGATCAACTTCAAACCCTCACCCGAAATTGTAACTTCGATATCAGAAAAGTCTAATGCCGACCAAGCGTCGAAAAGAATATCCAATCCAATTAGTGACCATTCAAAGTAAGCATACACTGAATAAGCACCAGGTCTAACATGCACTTTGTGTTGGATGAACCAATAGATTAACGGAACTAAAGTGCCGAAAAAACTGATCCCTGTGTAAAATCTACCCTTTCTCTGAAAAGACCCCCTTGGCGATAGCAAAGTCGTACACATGTCCCATGGTATTGTCAATACGATGTAGGCAATCATGAATACATCGTGTGCATCGTGGTCGTCGGTGGATGTAATATACATCCAGCCACCGGCCGTAATCGTTCTCAAAAGGCCTGAAACTAGGGCAATATAAGGCAAGTATGAATGTGCTTTGTACAAGCTAAAGAAGTTGAAAGCAAGTAGCAAAAACCTTGGACCCGCAGTCATGGCAATCACTATCTGAAACACTGATCTCTCTGGGTAGCGATCTCCAATGGTTGCCGAAACACTTGGAAACCATTCATCAGGGTATCCAAATGAAGCATTCTCAACAATTTTGTAGTAATGCAAGTAAGACCCTACTGCCAATGCCGCAAGGAATGACAGAGTTGCAAAGAATGTGTGGGCATAGGCTATGTATTTTGCATTGAAGGAAATGTGATTGCTGATGGGAGTAGTTGCCACCTGGTTATTCGATTTTTCTGACATGGTGCGAGTAATTGACCACTTTTCTCAACAACCTTGAGTATACACCAGCCACCTGTCACGTTCAGGATATGCGTTGATCTATTTTCGGTCTACACTTCAAAGTGTTGCCAAAAAAAAAAAACAAAAAATAAAAAATATAAAAAGATCTTTTTTTTTTCTTTTTGACAGGCTTTTCGAAATTTTCCGCCGCATGTTTTGATCAAAATTAACCTACATCATTACAAAATTATACCTAAATAGAGCTTCTACTTTGTAGAACTGTTCTTCTTTTACTTCGGCAACTACTAGAAAAACCCTTTTACTTCAAGTACCACTGAGAGCGCTGGCTTCAAGCTTACGGTGCGTGTTGTAGTAATAAAACTTATATTGGGTAGCGCTGCCTCAAAAAGCAGGGTCGTGTGCAATTGGTGAAAATCAATGGGCCAGTGAAATTTTACTCAATTTTCATTATCACCAAACAAAGACAGTGACACTGAGAGGGTAACCAAGCAGAGATCTTAGCATCGTACACACAACCAGCAACAACACAACCATGGGTATGTCTAACTGAAGAACAAATTGCCGGGCCCATTACGGTGTAGTGAAACAAAGAAGTTCGTATCTCGGCATTGCAGGAAACATCGTACTAACTATTTACAGGAAAACTAGACAGTTATGAAAACCATCTGAGGCCCGAACTAGTCTCCTTCGATGATATAAGCTACAATGATTTATCACAAGTGGATGCTGCTAGGAAGTCAATGTTACGAGAACAATGGATCAGAGTGTACGAATTAAGAGTGACACATGAAGCAGTAAGAAAATGCAGACAATACCACCAAGATGATGCCGGTAGAAACTGCAAGAGCTTGATTTTGAAATATTTGAAGATGTTGGAAACCTATCCAATCCAAGGTTACCAAGGATATCAAAAGAACGATCCATCGAAATAGCATTTTAGAAAGTCCTTTACGGGCTGTGTTTACAGAATTAATGCAACCATTATTTAAGGAAAAAAACATTACGGAAAGCTCTTCAATTTCTATCCATGTAGTGTAGTACTTCGATCCTCGTTGCAGCACCTCTTTGATTGCAATATGTACCTCTGTACAATCTAAAGGCATTGGTCGTGTAAATGCGTACAAAACTACTGTTTTCATTACCCAATGAGATTGAATCCGAGAGAATGGAAGGGCGAAAAAGAAAAAATTGGAAAGTAGAGTTGGTAGCACTCTCATTCTATTGGAAGAAAGACGAAAGGAAAAAAAAAAAAACTGTATGGAAAAAAAAAAAGAGGTCTTTCAACGTTACCAGTTCAAACTTCACATTGAAACAGCAGTGCAGCGGAAATGTTTCGTTTAGGTGTCAATCAAGCTGTTCGTGCAGCTCCACGTGTCAGGTATGTTTGAGCAAGAATAATTAGGAGGACGACTCCATCGATTACCAATTGAATCAATTACTAACAACAAAAAATGAACAGAAACTATGCTACTTTACGTGAAATTGAAAACCGTCTTAAGTCAATTAAGAACATTGAGAAGATTACAAACACCATGAAGATTGTTGCTTCAACCAGATTGAACAAAGCCCAAAGAGCCATGCAATCCTCACGTGTCTTTAACGAAAGTGAAAAGGAATTCAATGAAAATGCCGAGCCAAAAGATGCTGAAAAATTAACACAAGAAGATGCTTCTGCTTCATCTACTCCAGAAAAGACTTTATTGATTGTTGTCTCTTCTGACAAGGGATTGTGTGGATCGATTCATACCCAAATATCTAAAGCAGCCAGAAAGAGAAGTGAAGAATTGAACGGTAACGTTGATATTGTTGCCGTTGGAGACAAGGTTAAAGCTCAATTATCAAGAACCCACAACGACAAATTGAAGTTGGCTTTTAACGGTATTGGTAAAGAAGCTCCAAACTTTACTGAAGTTGCTTTGATTGCTGACGAAATTGCTAAATTGGGTCACTATGAAAACATTGAGATCCTCTACAACAAGTTTGTTTCCGGTGTTTCTTTTGAACCTTCAACTTTTGCCGTCTACTCGTCTGACATTATTCAAAATGCTCCAGGTATCAACAAATACGAATTCGAAGGTGAAGACCCAGTCAAGAGTTTGGCCGAATTTTCATTGGCCAACAACTTGTTGACTGCCATGGCTGAAGGTTACGCTTCTGAAATTTCTGCTAGAAGAAATGCTATGGACAATGCGTCAAAGAATGCTGGTGACATGATCAACAGTTACTCAATCTTGTACAACAGAACTAGACAAGCTGTTATCACCAACGAGTTAGTTGATATTATTACTGGTGCATCCTCTTTGGAATAGAGAAGTAGGTGAAGAAACATGCTACATATTCGTGTGAAAGTAATGTCGTAGGACTACTCTATAAATTCTTATTCTAGTTTAACTGCGCTATAGATCTTTCTGATAAACACTAGTCCCGTCAACACTCCAACTGCACCACAGGCAATACCAATAATGAAACATGCCAACCCCATGTAACTAAAGAATAACAATGAACTGACAAAATCGTCGATGTTTAACACAGTAATGAAGTAATAGATTGAATATGCATAAATGTACCAGCCAATACTCGACCCCACTTTGAATGATAACCAAGTCCAATTGGCATCATTGTAATAGACCAATGATACATAAATCAGGACAATTGTCAACTCCACTATGATTATGATCAACATTACAGTAGTGACAAACAAGAACCCGTACATGTAATAAAAGGTTGTCTTTTCCAACCATACGGAATTGAAGACAAATAAAAGTTCGACATAGACAATTCCAAATGGGATCAACCCGTGGGTAAGGACACTCTTTAAATACGACGCCAACTGTTTGTGCAACCTTGCCCCTTTTCTATGTGAACGACCTTGCCTTTTTTCATCGTCGCCATTTGACAAAAAGTTCTTTGGGTTAAACTTGTAGTTGTTACCATAAACACCTCCAATTACACCCAATGGACACTGAATCAAAATAAATAGCAACACAAACACAACAATGGTTCCAAATGGCAATGCAGTAGATGAATCTTGAGCCCAAACAAAGAAGTTCAAGATGAACATCAACAAAAATAAAAAAGCAGGCAACACAGCACTAAACATTAGCGATAAGATCAATGTTTGCCAGATATCGTAACGCATATTAGTTTCCTTGCGGAACATCTTGTGTAATATAAGTCCCAAGGACGATGAAACTAAACCTGACCCCATAAAACAAAATATACCAAATGAAAATATTGCTCCTTGATGATTATTGAAAAAGTAGTGCTTTGATTTGATCGAGTTGAGACTGGTAATAGCAATGACCCCAACAATGGCAATCAACGTTTGTACACCGCCCAGGACTAATGTAGTCAACAACAATTCAGCATTTGGGATAGCATTGACTTCGTTGGCCAAATTCTTCCATCCGCCTCCAGTAGTTGAAACATGGTCAGAGGCCGCTCCTACTTCACCCGCAGCAATAGCACTATCGCTGAGGGGCAACTTAGGAGCTTGTTGCCGTATATCCTTCTTCAAGACTTGTATCATCACAATCATCACAATCAACGAGGCCAAAAAGATCAACACCGTTGAATTTACAAACGAGATCCAATGAATCTTCAGCAGACTATCTCCGGACTCATTTTCATAGTACAAATCCCATCTCGAATCATAATCAATCGATGAATCCTCTCGCCAATACACAGAATACGTATAAGGAATCCTAGTCTTTTCAGTACTCAATTCACCCCGTTCATCAGCTTTATAAATCAAGGGGAAATTTTGATAGTCTTTACTTGTTGGGCAATTCTCATCAATGACGCTTTTGGGATACACTTCGAAACCAACAATAGTGTACTTTGAAGGGTCTTGTTCTTGATGGTACCTAATCACCAACATCACATGATTGTACAAGTAACTGATATCAGTTTTTTCATCAACGAACCCCATAGGAAACCCAGCAGCATAATACTTTCTCCTATGACTATTGGTTTCAAAAGTGGTGGCTCCAGGTAGATCATCAATTGTCCAATGAACAACATACCCATCTTTAATCAAATTAGAAGCACGTCTGATACCAGACTGACTAGCTAGTAAATCGCATAGCCGCAAACACGGCTCATCAACACCAAACTTCAAGTCGTAGCCACTTTGCCAAATACGATCACCACGTAAAATCTCTCCCAACGATAAATGAACCGGCTTGGCGTTATTTACGGGAGGACAAACAAACGGGAGCGAGAAGTAGGCAAAGGGGAGTTGCGTCTTGTCAGATTCAACTTTATTGAATAGAAGATCGACGTGGTCGCCAATATGATAGTAGTTTGGCTTGAAATTGAAAATGTCAGCATTAGTGAATGCAGAAAATAGTAGAATGAACAAATGTATGAGACGTAGCTTCATAGTGATTGAGCTTGTTTAGTGGGTGGAGAAAGGTGCAATGGAAAGCATAAAGTCTGATATCTTCAATATCCTCTATCTCTTGTTTGAAGTGAGTGCAAATTAGCGAGTGGTTTGGGTGAAATGTACCTTTTGTTGGATCTGAACCGTAAGATATATATATTAATTTTTTTTTTTTTATCCTTTAGCGACTCTTTGTTTTGATACGTTTTGTTGCACGGCTGACGCGGCGAACCAAATCCAATGAGATTGAGATGTAACACTTGTTATGTGTGTAGGGTATTACTCATAAGGGTCACTTTCACGGTTGAGAAGAGTTGGTCAAAGTCTACAATCTGCAGTTTTAATTTCTTGTTACAATCCATTACCATACGCATCGTATTGTCCATTCACGTCCCACTCCCCCGCTTCCCACACACACACACACACACACACACTTCTGTCTCAACAAAGTTTCACCCATTCAACGACTCCATAGCCTCCTTGATCAAATAACTCCCCTTCGGATCCAAATTCAAAGCTATAGTAAACTCCCTTATAGCAGCGTACTTATCCTGTTGCAAATTGTACAATTGTCCCAAAAGAAAATGGACACTAGCTTCATTGGGTGCCAAGTTTTTCAAAACTTCAAAATTTTTCAAAGCCAAGGGGTAATTTTGTGAACTAAACAACAATTGCGCCTTTTTGAAAATGGGTAACGGGTTAGTTGGTTGTAATTTGCACGCCAATTCATATTGTTTCAAAGCCATGGTTTTCTTATTGAGTTTTTCCAACACCATACCAACACAACAAATCAATATGATATTGATTGGGTTAATGGATATGGCTTTGCGGAAATGGTAATCGGCTTTTTGGTACTCACCCAAATTCATATAAATCATTCCAATTCCATACAAGGCATTGAAATGACGTGGGTCCAACAACAAACTCAACCTAAAACTTTCCATCGCCAGTTCATAATTGTCATTGGCGAAAAACTCATGCCCTTTCAATGTATGGGCATATGTGAACTTGTCATCCAACTTGATTGCCTTGTTGAAACATCGTATAGCTTCATCCGGTTCATGGGTGAGGGAAAACAAGTTACCAATGGTGCACCAAGTTATGGGACTGTTGGGGTCAATGTCATGCAACTCATTGGCTAGAAATGTAAGTTCAACTTTCTTGTGCAAGTGCCAGAGTAAAGTTGAATAAACTTCCATATCCTGACACCGGGCTCGATCCAATTGGCGTAGTTTCTTGAAGTACTGTTCTGATTTCTTATAATTCATCACTTCATAGTGTAGTTTCCCCAATTTGCTCAAGACCCAAGGAGTTTCTCGGTCTTGTTCACTGATGTCAGTTTCCAATATCTTGATGGCCTTGTAGCAATCATAGTTGGATAAAAGTTTGAAACTCTTTGCAAAAAGCAGATACAGATGTAAAAGGTAAATTTCAACTTTTTCAACCTCTTTCAAAAATGCAATCGATGAGCTGGTAGTCACTGCTGCAGTCGCTCCAGTTCCAACAGAGCCACCGCCAATACCATCATCTGAAGTGACTGAGTTGTTTCGTTTCAAATTCTTCTTGTTGCTAGCTGCGTCCGATGAGTTTATTGTGCCATGAGAAGATGGTTGAGAAATCAACCGCGAGGTGATTTTGGAATACACTCGACTACCACGCTTCTTGCCGCCACCTGCCCCACCTTCAGTGTTGCTCGTAGGTTTTACAAACTCAAAGGTATTATTGGCAATGGTCGTGTTGTTGGCATCATGGAGACTTGAATGATGGTTACCAGTATTCAAGTTCGATTTTCGCAATGGCGCATCGGGGACCGTGGCAGTCTTTATTCGAGGAGTGGAGAAATTGAAATCGTCAACATGTATCGTTGGAGTCTTGAGTGGACTGTTGCCACTCGTGGAAGTAGGTACTGCTGCACTCATTTTATCAGTGAAAGGGTTAGTCAAGTCAGGTATATCGCGCGTCCCTAATGCTTGCGGGGTTTTGAATGGCTGTGAGATTTGCTGCTGCTGCTGTAGTTGTTGTTGTTGCTGCTGCTGTTGTTGTTGCAATACATCGTCTCTCCCCAGCAGGTCCAGATGACCACTTGCGCCACCTTTCTGAAACTTGTACAAACTCTTCACCTTCATATCAACTCCCATCTTGCATAGCTTTTGAAAGGCTTCGAAATCGAATTGGTTCAACTTCAAGCACTGCGAATAGCTCAAGCAACTATTTTTGATATCATCAACATCACGATACAAGTCTCCCAATAAATGGTAAATCAGTGATGCATCAGGAACAACACTGCGACAATTTTCATAATCAAATCTCATCTCCATGCCCATCCTTTCACTTCCACCTCCACTTACACTTACACTTATACCCGCAGCAGCCCCAATGTCTTCTCCACCGTACAAATTCCTTATTTTCAATAGCTGGAATATCCCGTCTTTAGATTTATTCAACAGTAAACAACATTTGCCAAACAAGAAACTACACCCAAGATGGTTCAAATTCAATTTCGTGCTCACTTCAACCAATTTTCGATAGCATGATTTCAATTTGGATTGATGGTATAATGAAAGACAATACAAGTAGACGGAATCTAAATTGAGTGGTGTTTGCGCTAGTAGTCGTTCACTGGCAAATTCTGCATTTGGATAGTTGAATGTATCTATGGAATGAATGATAACTGAACGAAGGTAGTGTGCCGTGTATTGGACATTCGGAAGCCCCGCGTCGACAGTTGTATCTGATAGTTGCATATTGGTGGTTGTTTTGTAGACAAAGTTTAGGTTTATCCTAAGTGCCACTTCGTTTTGTTGTGTTTGTTTATTTTTTTTTCTTTTCATCTCTTTTCATCTTTTTTTTTGTTATCATTGAGGAACGTTATCGCCAACTGATACAGCCTATGCCCCTACACCACCGCCTTATCTTACACTGCAAAAGATTCCTTCACTAATAAAAATACATTACAGAACTATAAAAGTTATTAAAACTACGCTCTCGACAATTTTACTTTTTGGATTTGATCACAAATGTATGATTGCCTGACGCATCACTACTAAAGGCCATCATCTTTTCTTTCTTTTTGCCGCCGCTCAATATCCTACGCGAGGGACTAGACACAGGTGACTTGTCGTTTCCATTGGGTACACTTGACTTTGATACTTCATCCGCTTTCAGACTCATTCCACTAGCATTTGGTGATACAGAACCATTGCTGTAGCCATTGTTGATGGTTTGCGAGTTTGTTGAGGATGCAGTCGAGTACGCAGTGGACGGGGGCTCGCTATTGTTTGCATATGGGTTGAAAGAGCCGCTGGTTGTCTTTTCGTACGGCGATTGTGGGAGTGACGGTGGTCTCAACGGTCTTTGATCAACAGTGTCAGCAAAGTATCCTGAATTTGTAGTCATTGGAGTTCCTGAGGCAGATGAAAAGTTTCCCGATTTAGGAGATGATAAATACCCCGATGCCAACAAATAAGGTGAAGCAAATCCACCCGAGTTATGTGAGCCAGGGATATTTGGTGTCTTTGGTGCACTCAAATTACTTGTACTGTGTCGGTTGCTTGATGTATCAATTGATAATTTTGGGGGTACTCGGTCTGGCGCCAAGGTAGAAGACGAAAACATCGAGGATTGGAACGACGAGTCATTACCAAAGTCTTCATCTACTCTCACATAACCTTTAGCACGCAATTCCTCATCTTTCAACTTGTTTTCTTGTCGAGTTTTGGCCAACATTTCTTGCGCTTTGCTCAAACTGACAGTTGGAGTTGAGCAACTACTAACCACCGGAACCGAGTCATCAATATCGATAGTAGCCGTCATCAACGCCTTGACCCATCCCCTCATATCCTCTTCGGACTCAACTGCAAAGTAATGCGTTTTGGGTTGGGTGAATGTGAGTCCCTTTTTGAAACCTGGTGCCGGTGGCACAAGCTTGAAGCAGTAATTACCTGACATTGTGGTTGACGCAACCATTGCAGCGTATTTGTCTGCTTTGTCTACATCTTCGGCATCACTATTGATGGGAATCACCTTGTGGGCAGTGATATCAATCAACCCTTTCTCTCGCTTATCCTTCAACGATGTGAAATATGATAATCTCGTGCCATGCAATGTAAAATACCTTGATCTCCATGCAAAAGTATTTCCAGAACGTTTAGACATGTAACCACTATAATTTGCTGTTTTGATAGCTTCATCCGGTGTGACTTCACGAATACCCTCGGTGAATGCAGACGTTTTCAGCTTCTTTGAACCAGTCAAGTTACGAATGTTTTGTGTGGAAGTGGTACGCAAGCTCTTCAATCTAGACGCTCCAGGACGTGTATTGGAAAGAATTGCTTGTGAATCACTAGCGACACGTTTATTGTCGTCCTTCAAAGCATCATGTGACTTTGCCTTCATTGATACTGACTTCAGTTTCTTTGGCGACAACCCTGCATCATCTATATGAACTGGTGAATTTGACAAATCAAACAATTGTGATCTTCTCTTTGGAGAATTTGTTGTGGAGCTATTTTCTCGTTTGATTTGGGCTGGTGATATCAACTTGTCGTCGTTAGACCGTCCACTTTCATCTCTTTGTATGTTCTTACTGTACAATTTATTTTGTCCTTGTGTTGGTGTGCCATTATTTTGCTTGTCGTTGTCGTCATTTCCTGAAAGAAACGAAAAGAGCGATGAATGTCTCCTGTGGTTGTTTGATACCGAAGACTTCTTTTGGTGGTTATTCGAAACTTGGGATGGCTGTCTGCTGTGTGTGGCTTGATCATAAACTGAAGACGGAGGCCGAGACAACGCATGTGCTGAAGCATTTGTGCGCGTCATGTATAAACCACTTGGCTTGTCATCATTGCTGTATGGCGTCAGATTTCCGTGTCCAAACTTGTAACCCGTATTGAGCGGACTTTCACCCGCAGGTGGTGGATTTGGAGCTTTCCTGGGCGAAACAAATGAACCTTCATTTTGGGGTTTAGACAAATTGTCCACAGAAAGTGATCTATTTCGTGAATGTTTGATGGTTGAGTTTGAAGTGTCCTCTTGCATTGCAGACGGCATGAGCTCATTTTGTCTGTCATTGGGTTGCAAAATATCTTCCTTATTCGACTTCAAGGGTTTTTCATCGTACTCGGGATAAGTGGTATCTGCAGTTGGTGCTGAATTCAAAGTTGATGAAGTGGTATCAGTCCTATTAATGGAGTTTACTCTTGATTGCAGCTGTTTCAATTTCTGCGATCGAAGATTAATTTCCTTCAATTTCTCAACTTCTTTGTGTATTTCAAATCGGGTACCAAACGAGTCAATATCCAACTCTTTTAAATGACCCAAATCCATTTCAAACAAGATAGCTCCTGTAATTTTGTGTTTGGCAAATTTTCCAGCAATTTCTGGACTGAATCCCAAAACCAACGCAAAATACGAGGAAACTTGTTTTGGAGTCCAGTTGTGTGCTTGTAATGGGTTCAAATCATCAGTCAAGGATTGCTCAGATGGGTTTCTGGCATGCGTTTTGTTGTAGTTGTTGGAAGAGGCTACACTAGACTGCTTGGATTTGTAATCCTTGATGTTGTTGTTGCCATGGTTGTAGGTGTTGCTGTTGCTGTTCTTGTTGTTATTGCTGTTGTAATGTGTGGAGCTAGTATACTGGTTGCTATCACCTTGTAACTCTTTCAACGCCCTATCAATCTCGTCATTAACCGTACTTTGATTGCCACTCGCATTTGCCTCACTATCCTTTACAGACAACTTATCAAAAGAATCTTTCAAAGATGTCGGGATGGAATCTTGCGAGTTATTGGGGTTCAATTTACTAGGTATATTTGGCGCGTTATGCACATTACCGTTGTTGTTACCATTAAGTTCCGACGAACCTCCACCAGCACCAGCACCAGCACCAGCACCGCCAGCACCGCCACCATTAACACCATTCTGGTGATCGCCATTGTTCATTTGTTTACCACCAGGGGGTGTCAATACTCTTCTTGATCTGGATCTCAACAAAGTTTTTTCATCGTTATTGTTATTGGCCAATATTTGAGTAAATGACTTGGGATATAGTCCCACAGCACCGGTTAGCAAGTTTTTACCCATATACCAGCCATCATTGTATTCATGATCATCGGCTAAAACCTGTATCTTGTCTCCAATTTTAAGACTAATCTCGTCTCCCAACCTGGCATTAAATTGCTTTATACAAACGTATGTTGCTCCATCCATCTTAAATATGTGGTTGCGTGTGGTGACAAGGGGTATATATTGTGGGATGAATGTGTAAAGCTGATAAAGTATGTGTTTATACTTTGGGGTAAAAAAAAAAAAGGAAAAAAAAAGAAAAGTATCAAGTGTGAGATAATATGTAGTTTATATCTTGTGTGTTTTGAATATTGAGGTAATATGTATGTAGATGACAGTTGTGTATCAGTTGTGTAAGTGAAGTATGAGATGAGTAAGTCTCTGGATATATATATATATATGTGTGTGTGTGTGTGTGCTGTCTGTAAACTGTCAATATTGTCTATTGGTAATGGTTGTATGTTGTCTTCACGCCTCTCTCTCTCTCTCTTCTCCCCTTCATCTGTCACTTTACTTTTTTCTCTTTTTCTAATTTTTTTTTTTTTTTTCTTTTTCTTTTTTTTTTAATTTCTTTTGTCTTTAGTCCATCTAAACCATACAGAAATATGTGTGTGTGTAGTAGTGTCGTAAATCCTATATGCACGTCACATGTGTTGATGGTACTTTTAGCTTCAACTAATTTTAATCTTTGATGAATGTCATAGTTCAAAGTTTCAGTTTGATTTCAACTGTAATCAGTATAATGTAATATATGAACACTTCATCTTGACATATAGACACTCACATACACACACATATTGTTAGTATTATTGTGTCAACCTACATACACCAGTGTAGCTATAATATCATTGTCAGCTAGAATAGATCTAGGTGCCACACTTGTTTCCAAAGTCTTCGTTACTATTACATTCTACAGTATGGACAGATTTTAGGGAACACTATCTGTGCTCTCTTGTTACGTATTCGTACACGGCAGACACACAACAAATATTATTATGAAACACATCTCTACACAATAGAAAAAAAAAAATAACACAATAAAACGCGCTAGAGGAAACATAAACATAGCTTTGGAGAGTGAGTGAGAGATCATGGTTCTAGAACTAAATAGTACAGTTATTAGTCTGCTCTATCAACCAATATATTTGAAATCTGTCTAGCAAACAAATCTGTCCAAGTACAGGTTATAAGATTCTTTTGATATTATAATGCTAAGCTGAAGTGTATTAACGATACGATTCTTTGAAAAAAAAAAAGTTATCATTCCTTATATCCGTTTTTTGCAACAATTGTCCAAGCGTGCACACGACGTTCGAATAAAAATAACGACCCACTTCATAACTGAGCCTGTCTGGGCTACTAATCTGGTACCTTGGTTGGAATAGGTGCCGTATGTGGTCATCTTTTGCCAGGTAATGTCGTAACTTGTTGAATCTACTAATAACGTCTAAGTCCTTAGGTTCAGCTCGATTCATTTTTTTTGGAAATCAACAAGTACTAAGTCCGCTACGTAACGATGCCACCCATTGTACTGTCGAAGCTCTTGCAATCTTGTAAACCAGAATTCACTTGAAGATTGAAGTGTTTTGTGATGAAACTTCATTCCTAATGTGTTCACGTGATGTCAAGAATTTAAGCATAATGTCGTATACATCCATCACGCGACACGCGACACACACTCACACCCACACACACACACTCACACTTTCTCTCTCTCATTTTATCGATTTGGAATCAATAGTTTTTTTTTTGCCACAGAGATTTACCATCCTTGACACTCCCAACAAATTGAAAAGAACAACCAGTTCAACATTTATATTGACACTTGTGTTCGATATAACGTCACCTGAAAGATATATATCACTGTATTTATCTACTACCTGTGAAACAAGCGTCAATAAGAGGTGGGACTAATACAGGGATCAATCCAGTGTCATACTCTATAAAAGATAAGAAGAATAAAGAAATCTACACCTGGAGGGTATTGCTCACTCTTGTCTTTTCAAATTCCCACACTTGATTTCTTTCCACAATTGCACCCGTTTTGTTCTTTGCAAGATATTGAAAGTAAAGGTAACTTTGTTCCTTGCACTCAAGAAAAACACCGCACAGATTTGGGGGAAGTCTTAAGAGCTAAGCCATTGAACATGTCTTCCCATAACGAGACCAACTTGACAAATAACAAACAGAGACGAGAAGAAACCCACGCGGGTGCTGATGATTTCGAACTCTCTGATGAAGAGAATTCTCTTTTGAGACTTTCACAACAAGCACAACATAGGAAACTAAGTCAACTGCAACCTCTCAACGATGAGCCACTTGATTCACTGGAACCAATTGTCACCTCCAACAATAGTGGGGATTTTGTTCAAAATGACGATTTTCACGATGATGCAGTCATAGAAGAGGAGGACGAGGAGGACGGGGAGGAGGATGGAGACGAAGAAGAAGACAACGACGAGGATAGTGATTCCCACAATGATGGCAGCAGCAACAACAACAACAACAACAACATCCTTGATGATGAAGACGAATTGGAAATGCTCGAAACTGCTGATTTTTTACGTCAATTGATGCAGGCCAGAAGGATATCGGAAATCAACTCTGGACCGGAAGGGGACAACCGTGGCAACGAAAATGCATCTGATACCCGCAACGAACATAGCCCAGAAGGAGAGGTGGATGACACCCGTGCTGAGTTCCTCCGTGCGATTGGTGTATTATCTGGTGCAAGGAGAGAAGACTCTTCCAATGAAGCTGGTGTCGATGAAACCAGAACCGGAACCAGAGCCGGAACCGTAACTGGGACCGGAGCTGGAGCTGGAGTCGGCTCTCGTAGTCCAGGTGCCGAAACCGGGAATAATCCTATGGGATTTGTTGATGTGATGCAAAGACTAATGGGTGGTGGCATGATGTTTGGTGGTGGTATTGGTGGGGCACAAGAAAGCGAAAATATTGGAGCCCTAGTCGATAACTTAGAGCAAAGAGATGACACTTTTATTATTCTCGAATCGTTGAATCAGATCTCTGAAAACTTACTTATGATGAATGGCTTGACTGCAGAGAGGTTGATTCCGTCAAATAGGTTGGCCAGAAACCTAGTCAATATTATGGAAGATGCATCACTAGAAGAGGAATTGGAACTACATCTTGTCGCATGTCGTTGTTTGTACAATTTCTTGGAAGTAAATCAGGATTTCATTCACGATGCGTTGAACAACGATGCTGTTCCTGCATTATGTAACAAGCTTTTGGAAATAAAGTATATTGATCTCACAGAACAAGCGTTGCAAACACTTGAAATGATATCAAGAGACCCTATTTCGCATAATAGCATTATAGCAAACAATGGATTAAGTGCTTGCCTACAATACCTTGATTTCTTGACAGTTCATGCTCAAAGAAAGTGTCTCAGCATCGTGTCAAATTCGTGCACGAATATCTCGATGTCCAACTACGACAAAATCAAAGAAGCATTTCATAGCATTACCGAAGTAGTAAGGGCTCATGATGATCAAAATGTGGTTGAAAACGCCTGGATCACCATAGCGAGAATCATTGAGTGTTTCAAAAATAAACCTGAATACTTGAATGAGCTATTTTTGGGGAAAGAATTGTTTTTCAAAGAGTTTGTCAATGTGATACTTGTCAGTTGTAATAAATCACTGAATACCAGTGCGGAGTCCAAGCAGGTTGCGTTATCTTATAGCTCTTGCTTGAGCTTGCTCAAGTCACTTATTATTTTGAGCAGCGTCAGCATTGAAGTCTCGAAAATACTATTGAGCGATTGTGACATTGGATCCATGATTGTTACGGCATTAAACAAATTTTCCAGATCAAGGACGAACAAGCCCAGCGTAGCCGTTCAAGGTGACGATGACGCTGCAGCAATTTCAATCGAAGCATTATTAGCAGCACCTAAGGAGTTGGTGTCGCAATTTTTAACATTAACTGGATATTTGTTGCCCATCAACTACCCACCATCAAAAGCGCTTTATTTGAAGCCAGATTACGAAGATTACGAAGAAAAGGAAAGCATCAACCACAAAAGACTTGAACTATGCACTGAGATCATTCCTGGTGACTACTGGAAATTTGTAAACAAAGTTTGGATACTACTGATCTATAGCATACAGGCAACAACAGATGTCGACATTAGACGAAGAGGGTTCATCAACTTGTATAGGATTGTCACCTCGATGGACGAGGCCCAATTAGGGCAGATTGAACATCATGAGCTTGTTTCTGGATTGTTGGCTTCTGTTATCAGTCAGTATCAACCACAGGTTTTGAAAGAGCTTCAAAAGGTGGCAGACTCTAGAAAACAAGAAGAGGATTTTGATATGCGGACTAGTGATTTCGAGGATTTTGATGACGCTCGTGAACAGCTTTCGAGTGAAGGACGGCATTACGAGGAAAGTGATGAGGAAATGGATGGTGTCGACGAGTATGAAGATCATGATGACGATGACGAACATGAGGAGAGAGAAGAAGAAGAAGAAGGAGAAGAAGAAGAAGAAGAAGTTGATGATGATGAGGATGATGACGACGACGACGATGACGACGATGACGATCATTTCCCAATCGCCAATAATCGACCTGAAGAGCTCAAGACCCTCAATTCGACATTATTGTTGTTGTGTGCGTTGGAAGTGCTTAATGTGCTATTGAATCGGGCTGCCAGCGTGTATCTACAACCTTTTGAAAGGGAGGGTTTGATGAATGATGTTCTGTCAATACTGACAACCTCCTCGTTTTTGAAAAAGGGATCAAAATCAAAATCTTCGCAGAATCACTTCCTGTCTGCATTTGCAAACAAATTCGTAGATGTGGAGTATTCCAAAGAATACGAATTCAGATACCCAATCAAAGATGTGTATTTCAGGATCAAGACTGCAGCTTCGGAGATCAAGAAGCAATACAACAATGAAAAGTTGTCTCAAAGCAGCGATCTTTCTGAGCATATGCAGGTGTTGCACCACGTCAAGGATATATTGTCTGATACTAAATTGACAAAGTCATTCACGTACGACCAGTGGTTGGCAGTATGGAATCAACTCAAATTTGCGTTGCAAGGTGGAGCTGCAAAGGTTCATATTTCTAGCTTCGAGCTCATTTCTTCCGGGATTATCACGCAATTGACAACTGTATTGACATTGAATGATTCAGACCACGCTTTTGAATCTTCGCCTTGTTGCAGGGCATTTATTCATTCCTTTTTCGATGGCGAGAGCACTAATGCTAAGTTGTTTGTGCATCAGTTGCTTGAAGCTTTGACTAGATCAGAATCGTTTGAAATTGTTTCTGCTGGTAGCCATAACCACAACTCAGCTTCTTCTCGTGACCAGCAACAAGCCACGTTGATGGCAAATCAAATCAAATTGAAATTGAACCTGGAGGGAGACTTGGGTGATCTCAATTTGCCTCCTAATTTTCAGAACATGGTTGTGTCTGTACATGCTATTGCTACGTTCAAATCGATCCTTTCGTTTTTAAAGCAGAGATTACTGTTTATGGAACACTTGTCAAGCATGAGTTCCAATAGAGGAGGAGGCGGAACAACCAATGCTGCAGAAGAAGGGAAAAAGTCGGATTACAGTTTGGAGTTTTTAATCAATGGCGAAGTCATCCCCTTGGAAACAACCATCTACGGTGCTATCTACCGATCAGCTCAAACTAAGCCTGATGAGATTGTTGATCCTAAAAAGATTTGGACTGGAGTTCATCAAATAACCTTTAGAAAAGTGAGTAATGAGGTTAGCAATGAGGATGTGTTTAAAAACTACAATGGTAATGCTGACGATGCTGAGTTGACAAGTTATGACGAAACAACCATTGGTATTTTGCAGCTTTTGAAAGTCTTGTTCAAGATGAATACCTTTGTTCATCATGGTGGAAGGTCTAGTGTTCCAGTTAAAGACTTTATCAATTGGAAGTTGACGGCAAAGTTGAATCGCCAGTTGGAGGAGCCGTTGGTTGTGGCGAGTGGTACGTTACCTGGATGGAGTATACATTTGACAAAGCAATTCCCATTCATTTTCCCTTTGGCGACAAGAATATTTTTTTTCCAATCTACGTCCTTTGGCTATTCTAGATTGATCCATCAATGGCAATTGAGAACTAACCAAAACTATGAGGATAATAGAGGCAACGATGCTTCTAATAACAACTCTGCTTATAATCAGAGACCACAGTTGGGAAGGCCAAATAGACACAAGGTGAGAATATCAAGAAATATGATGTTGCAAAGTGCATTGAAGGTGTTGAATATGTATGGATCAACCCCCGGTATTTTGGAGATTGAGTATTTTGATGAGGTTGGGTCGGGGTTAGGACCAACATTGGAGTTTTATTCAACGGTATCGAAAGAATTCTCCAAGCGGAAATTGAAGTTATGGAGAGATGACAATAGGTACGATGGTGAAGGTGAAGGGTATGTTACAAATCAATATGGATTGTTCCCATCGCCTATGGATAAGCAACAAGTCAATAATGAAAATGGGAAAAAGATTTTATACTTTTTTTCGTCATTGGGAAAGTTTATTGCAAGGGCCTTGTTGGACTCAAGAATCATTGATTTTAATTTCAATCCGGTATTTCTCAAGTTGGTGCAATTTTTGAATCAAAAGCATACATCCTCCCAATCGTCGCAGCCAATGAATCAAAAATTGATGAAGAAGATTGTCTCTTTACAAAACTTGAAAATGGTTGATCCTGATTTGGCAAAGTCATTACTGCACTTGCAAAAATATGTCAATGCATTTGATGCCGTTGCTCCTGAACAAAGAAACTTTGTTGAAGTAGATGGGGCAACAATTGGCGATTTGGGTATATATTTTGAAATGCCCGGTTATCCCAAGTACGAATTGATACCCAATGGAAGTGAAACCTTGGTCCAGGCTGATAATTTGGAGTTGTACATTTCGAAAGTTCTTGAAAATACATTGTACACCGGTGTCATTCATCAAACCAAGGCATTTATGGATGGATTCTCCAAAGTGTTCCCCATTACTTCATTGGTGATTTTCTCGCCACCAGAATTGGTTGAGCTATTTGGCAATTGTGAAGAAGATTGGTCATATGATGCATTGTCGTCGGCAATTGTGGCAAATCACGGATACAGCAAGGACTCGCCCGAGATTAAAGATTTGATCAATATCTTGATTGATTTCAATTTAGAGGAGAAGAGGCAGTTCTTACAGTTCCTTACCGGGTCCCCGAAGCTACCCATTGGCGGGTTCAAGGCATTGCGTCCGGAGTTGACTGTAGTTCGAAAGCGAGCAGAGGATGGATTGAAGGATGATGATTATTTGCCTAGTGTAATGACGTGTGCTAATTATTTGAAGATTCCCAAGTATTCGAGTAAGCTGGTGATGAGAGAGAAGTTATTGCAAGCGGTCAATGAGGGAGCTGGTGCATTCCTTTTGTCATAGAGTAAGTAGAGTTTTGAAGATAGCATTTTTTTTTTTATTTACTTATTTATTTATTTATTGGAGCAGCAGTAGGCAGGAAACAGGTTGTTGTAGTTGTGCGGCTCTCTTTTTTCTTTTGTTTTTTTTTCTTCCTGTTTTTTGGGAATGTGAATTATGGACACAGTTCACTAAAATTAATACCTGGTTTCCACAGAAAACGCATTTAACGCAGCTAATATCCCCACACACCGACTCCCAAAATGTCAGTCAAGTTTGAAGAACTAGTCACTTCATTAATTGATACCGCCCCATCCACCGAGTTACCTGAAGTTATCGAATCGTTACAAACCATTTCTGGAGCCTCGAAGTCGACAATCGATGACGCCGTAGCTGAGTACATCAAAACACACCCGATTGCTATATCGGACTATATCATAAGCTCATTAAACAAGGATCTGCATTCATTGAAATATATTGATTATGTAAAGGGGGAGAAGTTTTCATTTGACGTAGCTAAACAGGCAATTATTGACGTTGAACCATACTCGCCTGAGGTCCCCATTGATTCCAAATTGGTGGACAAGTTGCAGCAATACGGTGATGATTATTTCCAAGACTATACATTTACAATTGTTCCTAAATCAAAGGACTCATACACGATTGTAATAATTGGAGAGAAATTGAACAAGGGCAATTTCTACACAGGGAAATGGCACAGTCAGTACCAAGTCTCAAACAATGAAATTACAGGTGCTATTGATTTAGATATCCACTATTTTGAAGATGGAAACGTGCGTTTGAAATATACCGAATCGAACGTATCCAATGCTGAGCATGGGAATTCGGTTTCTTCAGTTAGTGACGTGGTCAATTTCATCAACCAAGCTGATAATGCAGTCGAATTGAAGTTGCTTGATCAATTCCAACACTTGAATCAGCAGTCGTTCAAGACTTTGAGAAGATTGTTGCCCGTGACTAGATCCAAGATCAATTGGGGTAGTGCTATTGGAAACTATAGATTAGGGTCTGATGTAGTTAATAAACAGTGAAATGTATGATGACCCTAGTTCTGAGTATGTTTATTTGGAAAATCATTTGTAAATGGAGAAGACGCCCGGTGTCTTTGGAACATCTTGTCATGCCCGCCCTAGTCATGCGTAAACCTAGGTCCCAAATTAAAAATAAAGATACTAAATGCACACCAAGTGATACAATATTGCATTCTCGTAGCTCCGCTCTTGTATCTCCAAGTGCATCCACACACTTTTAGCCTTGTGCATTGCCCGCCCCTTTAAAACAACTTAAACAACATCCATACGACAAAAAACGCCAATAAAATAATCCCCACAATCCTCGTCAAGCCTGCATTTCTGTTCATGACAGTTGTCAAATTGCCCAGTGTCTGTTTAACCAGCTGCATCAAGCTTGAAAAATTCTCATTCAAGTGATGCAAAATGCCCAGCTCTTGTTGTATTGATTCGTGAATATCATTATTGACTGTAGTCCGAAATTGATGTAATGTGTTGGCTAATTGTTCGAATTTTTGGTTGTTTTGTTCTTCTCTATGGGAATATAAGTTGCTGCTCATTGTTGGTTACTTGTTGTAATGTATGGAAAAGTTTTGAAAGGGCTTGCAAGTAGCGTATATCGTGTGTTGCGCTTTGTATGGTCTGTTGCATTTTGCTGTGATTGTTTTCTTTTTTTTTTTTTTTTTTTTTTTTTTTTTTTTTTTTTTTTTTTTTTTTTTTTTTTCTTTTTTTTTTTTTTTTTTTTTTTTTTTTTTTTTTTTTTTTTTTACTTTGCCTTTTTCGTTTCTTAGTGTGTCCTTCTGCGTCCTACAATGCCTACAAAGAAAACATGTAAAACACATCAAAAAATGATAGACAGTATTTAAAACTACAGACTAATATCCAGAGTTACCAAAGCCAGCACTGGTGTTCTGTTGGTTTAAATGTTGAGGGTTGAGGTAGGGAGCATACTGCTGACCATGATATGGAGCATTGAAACCAGTATTTTGTTGATACTGAGATGGCTGCTGCTGATATGGGGGCTCTGTCAGTGCGGGGTTCTGGTACTGTTGCTGTTGCTGTACTGTGGGCTGCTCAAAAGGCGGTCTTGTGCCAGCTGGTTGATGGTATTGTGTCTGATGACCGCCAGTGGCTTGTTGCGGTTGCTGATGTTGAGGACTAGGACCAGTAACTTGCCGCTGTGGTTGTTGTACCAACTGAGGTACCGCGTGTGAGATGGTCGGATATGGAAGTTGATTATAAGCAGTTGCATTACCCTGCTTTGACCTATTATTGATCAGCTTCTCCAATAGCTCGTTATACGATTTGACCTCCGAATTCAATTGAGTATTCAATACTCCCAATTCTTCTTGCCGGACACTATACTTATCTATTAGACCACCCAATTGGATCCTCGAAGATATGACATTATTGTATAACTCAGTAACTTCATCCTCATTGATTTGTGAAATGTTATTGGTTGACAAAATAGCCAATAATCGGTCAATTTGCTTTTGATCCACATTCAATAATTTACTCTCCATTTCATTCTCACGAGCCAACTCTTGAGGTGACTTGTTGACAATAGGAGTCACATAGTTTAACGGAAAGATTCCAATTTTTCCGTTGGGTAATGATCCCCTCCACCAATCTCTGTAAACTGATTCAATCACAGTTATCACGTCACCTTTTCTAAAAGAAAGCTCGTCCTCTTCGTATGATATCAAATCATACAATGCTCTCACTTTCGACACTGTTGCCACTGTCTGCTCAGTGTCTGATCCACTCGGAGAGACTGCACGCTGTTGATCTTGTTGCTGCTGCTGTGATTGTGCTTGCTGTGCATTTGGTAATGGCTTGTTATTCAAGTACTGATTTTTCAAGTTCTGCTCGTTTTCATACTCCTGCAATGATAGCTTCAAAACTCTTTGTAATTCTTCATCCTCTTTATTCTTGTCCTGTTGTGTCCTTTCTTGTTTTGCTGGTTTATTGGGACCCTGTTGTGCTTTGAAATATTGGGGATATTCCGATTTCACCAAGTTGTATGCATCATTCATTGGCTTCAATGATGGATCTGACTTGAAACTGTTGTTCAATTGTTCGAGAACTTCAATGATTCGGTACTTGACAGTGATGTGTAATTTTTTATCCAGCAACTTCTTGACTAAAGAGTCTTCAAGAAAAGACTTGCTGGCAATTTCTTGCTTCATTCGGGACCCACAGTTTTCAGCAATGGCAACCAACAAGGATAATGACCTTAGGATAGTGTTTGCATCTTTTGTTGATGTAATTTTTGTCTTTATCAAATTGACAGCCCTGCTAGTTTCCAATTCAGGATTGGATGAGATCTTGTCGCAGACATCTAAGATGTATTGCCAGTTGTCAGAAGTAAGGGTCGGGTCCGTGGCTTTGTTTATCAAGGCATCTAGGGTAGTCATGGTTGCAGATGAGTAAGCAGGAGAATGTACGGGAGTTTTGGATTGCCACTGGATATTGATTCACAATCTCTCTCTCTCTCTTTCTCTCTTTCTCTCGTTCTCTCTTTCTCTCTCTTTCTTTCCCCGTCTGAGTGAATGATCTCCAGTTATCGATTTTATATGCAGTACCAGTTTGAATTCTCTGAGTGTGGCTGCGAAATTTCATACTCTGAAATCACATCCATGTGATCCAGATAAATTAAAAGAATATCTTCGATGGTTAAGCTTTAACGCAAACAATAGTCTGTGTGATTGATAGCTCAGTTTACCTGTTCCTTTCATGCATCAAAATTGACGCAGGGCACAGGTTTTATGCTTGTCAACTGATTCCCAAGATAAGAGAAAGGACGGCGTTAATCGTTGGATAATGAAAAGGAAAGCATTAAAACCAGTAAATACCCTTACGGAAAAACAGTCGCTATTATCGCCAACCTCATTTTGGTAACACCAGAAGAAAGAAAACTTGTTGAAATTTTGCTGCGAATATATGGCAAAAAAATAGAGGTTTAAAGAGTTAGAAACTACAGATTGCAATCTATCAAAGTGAAGTTATACAACGCTCCAAAGGTAGTTAGTTTGATAACTTGTCAACATGCCTTTGTAATGCGATACGTCATACCTATCAAAAGAAGCATGGCATGATTGGCACAAGCTTTTTGAACTTAATTCAACAGTAGTTGGTAGCTCTCATCCCCTATTTTTTTTTCTCCTCTTCAATTTCAATCTTTGTGTCATTCCAATGGGAAACAATAACAGGGGGACTTGTTGGCGGATTTAAGTGCGCGGTCTAGTTTGTGTACAAGTTAAGACGTGAAACAGCAAAGCAATGCATTTAAATCCTGAGCGGGGGGACAATTGTTCAAAGTCATTCTACTTTTTGTTGCTTAGTTGTAGGAGTCTATTATCATTGGGTATTAACTACTGTTTTTGTTAATATATATATGAAATCTTTGTGTCTTGTGTTGTATCAACTAATTTATACAGTAAACTCTAATCTTTTTATTTTTTACGCGCTTTGTCTTTCAAACAACAAAAAATTTTCAAAAAACGTTTTCATCTTGTCCTTCTTTGATTACATATAATCTACACCAGTACTATTATTATTTATTATTATTATCTTGAATTCCTTTCCTTTTATTCATACAACTCAACCAATCATATTTACATTGCTTGGAATTCTATAACATGAGTTCTTCTCCTTCTTTGTCACCTCCTTTCTCATCTTCAGCAAAGAGAGCAGGGCGAGAACAACAACAGCAACAGCATCAGCAACAACGTTATCGCTCTGCTTCCTCTGTCGGTGCAATTCCAGTTGGAGATACATCACCTTCATTGTCTACCATGGCGACCTCAAAGGCATCGAGAAGAAAATCAAACGCTCGAAGAGCCGAGTTGAAACGTGAAACCAAGTCAGATTGGGCTATTGCAAACCACCTTGTGATTGGTTTCAGGGAATTGATTTATAGACAAACATGGATTGTCCCCTTCTTAGTATTGGTGGCTGCATTTGGAACATTCTTTCTCTCTAGTCCAAGTGGGAAGATCCACAAGTTTTTGGAAGATATGATTGTACCTTCATATCATATCCCTGGTACTGATCAATATGGAAAAGGTGCCAATGATTTCAAATTTGTTGGATTCTATGCAATTTTCTTCACCTTTTTAAGAGAGTTTATGATGTGTTGTGTTTTGAGACCAATTAGCGTTTATCTCGGTGTAACTAAAGAAAGCAAGCAAAGGAGATTTTTGGAACAAACTTATGCAATGTTTTACTATGGAATCAGTGGTCCAATGGGGTTATGGATTATGTCGAGGACTCCATTATGGTTTTTCGAAACTACCCCAATGTATCTTGAATATCCCCACAAGACCCATGAAATTTACTTTAAAGTGTTTTACTTGGGACAAGCAGCATTCTGGGTACAGCAATCGGTCATCCTTGTTTTGCAAGTGGAAAAACCAAGAAAAGATTTCTTTGAATTGGTTTTACATCATATAATTACCATTGCTTTGATTTGGTGTTCGTACAGATTTCACTTCACGTGGATCGGTATTGAAGTTTTCATTACCATGGATGTATCTGATTTCTGGTTGGCTTTATCTAAAACATTAAACTATTTGGATTCAAAATTGACGGGCCCAATGTTTGTTTGGTTTATTGCCGTTTGGATCTACTTGAGACATTACATCAACTTGAGAATCTTGTGGTCAGTTTTAACTGAATTCAGAACCGTTGGTGAGTGGGAATTGAATTGGGAAACTCAGCAATACAAGTGTTATATTTCACAACCAATTACATTCTTTTTGATCTTTGCCTTACAATTGGTTAATGTTTATTGGTTATTCTTAATTTTGAGAATTTTGTCAAGATACATTTTCTCTGGTGAACAAAAGGATGAAAGAAGTGAAGATGAAGAAGAAGAAGAAGATAGTGGTAATAGCGAAGAAGAGAAGAAGGAAGAATAGACTGCATAGCTAGATAATACTTAATTATATAATTTCACCATTTGTATGCAAAATACTTTTAATCTGTCGCGACATAAGATTAAAAGTGTAAACAAAGCACATTAACATAGACAAACTTGGAAATACACACACACACATACACACACACATACACACACACATACACACACACATACACACACACATACACACACACATACACACACACACACATGTGTCGAAACTTGCAATCATTGAGCAAAGACGAGCTAATACGGAAGGTCCTAGAATCAGAAGCAATACTTCATGAGTTTCAAGAGTCAAGCAAGGAACTAGAAAAGGCGCTAGAAGATGAATTGCAAGAGCTAGAAACAACAAACTTGAATCTTGAAACGCAAGTTCTCAACTTAAAGAATCAGTTATTAGCATCAAAGCAACAAAATTTAGACCACGGAAAGGAGTTGGACAATCTACAGGATCTCTTACTAAGCAAAGACCAAGAAATCACCAGTTTGCAACAAAAAATAGTAAAGATAGAGATTGCAAATGCGTCCATGGAGAGTCAGGATAGAATCATGCTTCATAAATACAAAGTGCAACAGGAATTTAGCAATGAACTTTTGGAGAAAATGGCCATTTTGGAAGATGAATTGGATAGAGTTAAAAAGCAAAATACTGAAAAACAATTGCATATCACCAATTATAAAATTCAAATTGATGATCTACATGACAGAATCAGACAACTCGAGTCGGACCAAAATAAAACTTCCGCAGCAGATTCCCTGTTTGTCAGCTTGATGGATGTTTTGAAGAGCACACCTCCACCGAATGTACTTTGCAATGTCACCAACAAACCACAAACCAAAATGAAGAAGTCGGACTCACTCCAAAAACTCAAGAGCTTGACTAGAGATATTGACATATTTCTAGGGAAAACCAAATATCCCCATGATCCATCAGTAGAGAATATGAAAAGAATGTCTGTATTGAAAGCACCATCACTGACCAAATTAACAACCCTGGATGAGTCGGCATATATTGAAACAGACAGGAGAGTGAAGCGGCTCTCGTATAGCAAACGGTATTCCCAACTACCTTCAATAACGGGAAGCCCTAACCCAAGAGCTGCGGAGAGGTATTCTTGACGTTCTATATCCTTTTAGTTTTATAGGTTAGTTCTGCGCTACCATTGTTTATAAGACACGAATATTCTCTCCTTTGTTTTCTCCAATTGTATATTCCAAAAAAAACGATACGTGCTACTAGACTGAGATTCTCCCCCCCCCCCGCATACCTTCCAAACAATATCTCGTCTTAGTCATGGATTCATTCAATGGCGTACTCAAGAGGTTTGACAATAGTGAGGTGCTCACCTACCTTGTCAGTATGAGTAGAAAACTTTCCAAACCGCAAGACTTGGACGAGTCCAATTACAACACCTATCGTGATCAGTTGATCCAACTTATAGATGAACAAAGAAAGAGGCAACCACAACCAATAGCCAAAAAAAAGAAAGGCGAAACCACATCTGTTGCACCTGAAGCCAAAATTCAGTCCTCATTGAATGTATTCAAGTTGGTGTCAAGAAACTTGGTCATGGTTCTACGCATTCTTTCTTCAAAGATATATGATGTGGCGAACCAATTGTTGAACGATGTGCATTTGGACGAACAATCAAACTTGCGCCTGCTGTCCAAAGTGGCTATAATTATTCTTATTGACCTATTTGAGCATTTTCCAAGTCAATTAGGATCATTGAATAGCTTTTGCGTTGCTCAAATCTACAAAATTTTGAAAAAAGATCCAAATATCGATAGCGATTTGGTGTATTTGTTATACTCAGTTTCCAAAAATGCAACAAAGCAAGACATTGATGACAAATTGTGTTCCAAATTGATCAAAATTAGTACAAAGTCCATTTTGCAAGACCCGATCTCATTCGACATGGAGGATGAAAAATCGTCATCAACGGTGCTTTTGAAAAAGAATTACACTCAATGTATGAAGAATCTTTTGATATTGAGTATATCAAGTCATTACGAGTCCCTATTGGAAGCTTCGGCCAGCTCTAGTTCGGCTGGAGCGAAATTGAAACCAGAAACAATTATGACGCAGCAGTATCTGTTCCAAAAAAGCATTCTCACGACGCATGAAAAAATATTTGAGTATGCATTGTCTAGTCCACTCAAGGAGGTGCGTGTGGCAGGGATAGATTTATTGTCGAACCTTCTCATCAATTTCATTCCAACAGGAAATTTTAGTGCAATTGAGTATTTGATTCGATTTTACCCGTTACCCGACCCCAACACCTGGGATTCCAGCTTGTCAGCAGAGCTAGATGTAAATGGGGAACCTTTGGTGGAATCTAAGAAGGAGAGAAATTCCATTGTCAACCATGACAGCCCTTTTATACTAAAGAGTCTGTTGGAGCAGAACCTTCTACAATCAAGCATAGCAGCTACTATTATCTTCTATATTCAAATGGAGCAATTTCAAAATCCAGAATATTTGTCGTCCAATTTGACCAGCATTTTGCAAATGGTGCTTTTGAAATTTGATGATTCAAAGTTTGAAAATGAACGTGTAATTCATATCCATGATTCAAATTGGAACAAAACGTTGTCGAATTGGCATGTGATCCTCGACTATGTTGTTAAGGAAGCAGGCTCTGCTGCTGGCGATGTTCTCTCCAGTTACTTGTATTCAAGATTGAACATTAGTAGCAGTAAAGTTACCGACACCAACCAAGGAGAAGTGACCGAGCAGATATCTTTGAATAGAGACAGGAAACGCGAGTCTAGAATTTTCAGCTTCAAATCCACCAAATCTCTGAAAAGAAAAGCCACTGGATCCGATGTCAACATCTACACAAATCCATATCAAGCTTGCCTCGTTTTGTCGGTTATTGAAAATATCATTCCTTTAGGTGCAATCATAGAGTCTAGGGAAGAGAGAGACAGAGATGAAGAGAAAAAGGGCTTTGATGAGTTGGATGATGATTTCGAAATGTCGAGTCCCTCTGATTCACGAGGCTTGTCATTTTTGGAAAACACATTGTTCGCTTTGATTGCTAATAACAGCTCTTATACACGCACGTATGCAATAAAGACCTTGTTGACCCATGCGAGGCTCAACCCGGCCAGTATAAACCAGTTGATCTTGTTTGCATACAAATTTGTTGACCAAGAGCACAAAAACTCGGATAAAATATCGACAAAGGGCCCGCTCAATACTTGCAGCATATCTTCAGTGAGACTTCTCAGTTACTCTTTAGCCTTGCTGTCATTGATCAAACAAACAGATCCCACATTGTTACAAAATACAATTATTGTGAGAGTTTTGAGTTTTTGTACCCAGAATTTGAAGCATAGTGGTAAGTCCAGTATCAAAGATTCAAGCTGTTGGATAATATTGTCCTCATTGGTCACATTGTACAGCTTCTCCGAGTATGTTAAGTTGAATTCGTCCCAAATTTTGATTTTTTGGAAGAGCTTGCTCACGTCACAATTTCTCTCCGTCAATTCAAACGTGTCAGGAAATGATGAAATTAACGAGGTAATTTCTAATTTAAAAACAAGAGCTTTTGCTTTGGTATGTTTGCATAATTACTTGAAATCGGTAGATTTGACTCCCGAGTCATTTAAACAGATTCTGTTTTTGTTGACCAAATCGTACAACTACTTGTCTCATTTGGAAAGTACGATTGAGAATGTTAGTTCTGTGACTACGTTGAATGCAGCTGGCTTCAATGATTACAATTACAACCCAGATATTCTCAACAATATATTATACTCCAACTACTCATTCAATGGACAGTTGAGTCTGGAGAACATGGTTGTTAGCTTGGTGTTTTACAGTAAAAAGGTGATTTTGCAAAATTACAAGGAGATTGCGAATTCGCTCAAAAGTGACATCAATTCTAATCTCGTCATTTTTCTCATCAAGGTTTTCAGTGATCATCGAATTTTCTCGAGAAATTTTTCTTTGGATGGTGACAGATCCTCTTCAAAGAGCAAACTGAAATACGTTTCATTGCACACAGATCTGATTGACGATTCGATGTGCTATCTTAGTGAAGACTACAACTACAATTTTGGATTGACAAGCAAATGGCCATTGAGGGTCGCGCATTCGTCGATTATTTGGGAAAGTAACCTGCGTGAGCTTGTGCCCGCAAGCAGCAGCATCTTCACGTTGCACAAGGAAGGTCAAGCAACTTATTGGTTCCACTGTTTGGAAGAGATCGCTGTCTCCTCTTCAACACGGTTTCTCTCCTATGACCCTAATTGTTTACTAACTAGCGACGGCCCGATGAGAAACGATGCCTCACCGACATTGATGACTTCATTGGTTGATCTTGCTATAGACTTGTTTGAAACACTGTTTGCTCATTTGACTAGCAAAATTCAGTTTTCGTTATTGGAGCAAATTCGAAACTCACTCACGGCTAATCAAGTTGACGAATTGAGAGTAAGAGCAATAATGATAAATGTGTCGATTGCTATGAATGGGGTGGCTAAGAACATGTCGGAAAATGAGTTGATTTTAGAGAGTGGTGTTGCAGCGACTCTTATCGATGTGGTGAAAAAAGTCAAGCTTCGGAATGCCGAACTTATCACTATTAATGCTGAGACAGTGGGATTGATTTCACGTCTCATTGACAGGGATGAAGTGCATGGTGTCATAACAAACCTCATCAACGATGTGGTCACTGATCAAAATCCATTCCAAAGAGGGTTTTCAGTCCTTTCAATGGCCAATATATATTACAGAAGGAAGATTGGACTTAAAGAAGCTTACAATATCTTGGATCAATTGATGAGTGATCAAAATCCGGTTGTCTACTACTTTACTTTGCAAAGTCTAGTTAAGATTTTTGAAGCAAATTCAGACATGTCATCATTAACACCACAAATATTGGAGAGACTTTTACACAATTATTTGGATGATGGGTTTGGCTATAGTCTTGCTGATAAGGTGTCGGTAAATCTCAAAACAAAGTTTGGCTCAATTGGGCTTTTGGCAAAGTTGTTGCAGTTGGTGATTACGTCTTTGGGCCCCGAATTGCGCGAATGGCGACCTCAAAATAAGGAAATTTTGAGAAACCTCATAGTCGCTTTGAGCTATGGTATCGGGTTGGCAACGTTGGATGATTACATAAAAGTGTACCAACAGTTGATAGAGCTATTCAAGGAGTTGATCATATTTGACTCGAATCTCATCGAAGGAGAAATTGACGTTTTTACGAGATTGTTGAACTTGATAATCTCCAAGAACATAAAAATTGCTGTGGCTAATGTTTCTCCAACTTCTTTGAATGCTGAGTCTATTTTCCCCTTTACTACCAGTTTTGACTTATACGCATCAGCATACAGTTGTTACTATGAACTAGTCAAGATATTTGGTGTCGGGATAATATCACAAGAAACTGAGTACTTGTTTTGGGTGTCAATGAATATAGTCCCATGCCCTGAATTGGAGCGACTCCTTTTACTTTGGATGGAGTGCAGCTTGGACAAGAATTGGTTCAGTACTTTAAACAATTTACTTAAATCAAGTATGAAAAAATTGGTGGACCCATTTCTTGAATCAAACTACCAACAAAAACTTTTACCATTGAGTCAGCGACAAAAAAAACACAGTAAAGCAAATGTCGTTGATTTCAAAGATGAAGAGAACGAGGTCATTGTTGATGAGGATGAGGTTAAATTGGAAAAGAATGAGCCCATCACATTGCAATTTAGAGTGTTTATCTATGAGGCATTGAACCATTTGTTGCAGTTGGCTTACAAGAATCCGGTGTTGGTTGAACGATTAAAGAGCAAGATTGCAGAAATCGTGAAACTTTCATTTTTAGGTGCCGCGTCGCCAATACTTGATTTGAAATTGAAGGGGCTTGATTTGTTGAATTCTGCGTTGGAATTGTTTGGTGATCTTGAAGATCCGTTGTACCCGGCATCATCTATATTGGAGCAACAACAAGCTCAAATAATCAGTGCATTGGTTCCTTGCTTTACTCCGGGAAATGACTACAAGGTAATTTCCCATGCAATTGGTGTTTCCTCCAAGTTTATCAACTTGCCTCGAATAAAGTACTATTCAAAACAGCGAATTTTGAAGACATTGATACAACTATTGGAGGAGATCTCGTCTAACAAGTTTTTGAAGTTTGGGTTCTTGGAGGATATGTCGGAATTTGGAAAGAAAAGTATACAGTTGTCGATTTTGAATTGCTGGGCAGTGCTAAGAATCGAATCTTATGAGGATTCGGAACAAAATGAGGAGGAGTTTGAGCAAGTGTTGGAGAAATATTCCGAGCTATTGATATCCTTGTGGATATTGTCTTTGAGGGAGTATTCCATTGTCAAATACAGTGAATCTTCCAGTAGAGAACTTGAGATTTATGGCAATTATTGGATCAATTTGGTGACGGTCTTGAGTTTAGAAACGGAGACAAATTTTGCCTTGATCAATGACTCGCTTTCCGGAGATAGCGAAAATTTCTTTTTTATATTGTTCAGTCAGTGTATTGAGTCCTTGATCAAAAACAAAAATGTTGTACCTATCCTAAGGTCATTCAACAAGCTTATGGGTATAACCACTTTGGTCGATTTGACATTCAACGAGCATATATTTGGTGAGTTGATTGATGTTATTGATCGATACATGTTGGTTGAAGAGGATGCCGAAATTCAGTGCTTGTTCTTGGACTCGTTGGAAACTGCATTCAGTACATATATCTCCTCGCATCAGAAGGATTTAGAGAGCGGATTTGACAAATTGTTTGAATTGATTCGTGTCACGATGATACCTTTATTCAAAATATTGCCATTCCTCAAATCTGACTTTGACACCGTCTCAGACAATTATGAAGCTTTACTCAAAAATGCTGAAACAGCACTGAACCTATTGATTTTGAAAAAGACGTTTGAAAATTTGGTGAGAATGATATCTATGTTCCCCGATGTGGTAAAGAAGGATCTTTACTCGTGTCTTTTGTACATTTTTGCTAAAGTTTATGAAAGCAAAAAGGTGTTTTTGATATCGGTTATTCTCCCATATTTGAAGCAAGTTGTCATGGATTGCACAAAGTTAGGAACTGATTTAGTTAAGCCATTCTATGACATTATCTCGAGATTTTACTCAATTGATGCCGAAGTTAACTACACCGTCTTGACTTCAGTGATTCTTGTGACGTACGGTGGCATCCAGCTAAGTGCAGATGATTCTAGAAAGTTGAGCAGCGGGTTGCTCCAGCTTTTGCTAAATGAGAACACTGCTTCGTTGAGCTTGCAATGCATAAAGTCCCTCATGAAGGAAAAAGGTTCTCACGTTGACTTTGTTTTGAAAGATTTGGTGACTGATGTTGTTCATAATCTAACGGGAATGAACACCAGTATTGACATAAGTTCCAAATTATCATTTGAGATATTGATGTTGTACACTAAAGACGTCGTCCATGACAAAGAGAAGTTGACGGCAATTTACAGCCTTTTGATACCTGCATTAATTCAAAAGGGTGCCGAGAATAAGCTATACACTCGTGATAAGTTATTGCTTTTAATCAAGCAGGATTCTCTGGTATTCAAAGATGTTGTCAATAGGTACTTGACAGCTTCACAGAAGACTTTGGCTGAAGAGCTTATAAAGTTGAAAGGAGATACTCTGGCAGGGAATGAAACCGATCCTCAAATAGAGTTGAAAACGTTTGTGTAGAACTAATAAAGGAATAAGATTATGCCTGCTTTAAGTGGTAACGGAGATCGGTTGTTGACCATTCTGTAGCAGAACTCCAGAGCATCGATACTAATTTCTATTTGTTTAGTTTCACAAAAAAGATTAAGACGCGTCGTCGTCGTCTTCCCTTTTTCCACATTTTCGCTCTTTCTACCAACACACATTGATAAGCCCTACAATATACTGAGAGAAAACAGCATGATAGAGGAGGACATTGGAGGAAGCATCAATATTGAAAATTCGTTATTGTTTGCCGCATCTGATCCACCTTTGCGAGCAGATGAAATTGCAAATTCTAATCCAGTTCCTAAGCTGAAGAATACGTCAGAGCGATTGTATGATCAAGACTTCACGCCTCGAGAGTCGTATGATTCCATTGAACAGGTGGATTCCAACAACAAAGCTGCCAGGTTGTTTTCTGGTGAAATCGTTACTCTCGAACGAAGAATACGCCATCAAGAACACATCCGTCCCGAGGACAAGAATAAACATTACATAGATATGGACTCCCTTTTTGCAAAAATTGAACTCAAGAACAAAATCAAGGAAAACTCCACCAAACTAAATCTGAAAATGGAACGTGTCACTTCAAAATATATGCCCTTATGGACCGAAAAGTATAAACCACAAAACTTCCTACAATTGTGCCCTGCAGGGAATGAAAAGCAGTACCGATTAATTATGCGATGGCTTCAGAAATGGTCGCCCTTGGTTTTTGGTGAAAAGGTTAAAGAAACTGATGGAACTGACTCACTTGGCAGACCACTTCGTAAGATTTTACTCATACATGGGCCACCGGGAGTCGGCAAAACAGTGACTACTCACATCTTAGCTCGTCAAATGGGTTACAATATTCAAGAGCTAAATGCAATGAATAGTATGGACACTCTTCCACAAGGATCTGTGCAAAATTCTGCTGGGAACAACCCTTATTCAAATGCGTCGAATGCCTTGAAATTAAAGATTCAAAATACGTTGACATCCAACGCAGTGTCCAAAAATGGGAAACCTTTTTGTTTGCTAATAGACGAGTTGGATTCATTAGCCAACGTGAATGATGTTGTCAAGATTTTGCAAGACATTGTGAATGCTGATCAACGTGCATATGCAAAACAGAGACGCACAAGTGGGCTTGACAACAACGATCAAAAAAAACCACGAAAGGCGGATAGAATTTTGAACAGACCCATAATTTGTATTGCCAATGACATTTACTCGCGTCAACAAGGCAAGTTTGGACCGAACCCGCTAGAAAAAATGAGGGCGATCTCCGATGTCGTTACATTTCGAAAGCCTGCTATTACGCAAAGAGCCACCGGTGTAAAAGTCAGTGGAAGTGCCATGAAGTCCGTGAAGGATTTTTTGATGTCAGTCAGCGATAGAGAAAAGTTGGGATTGGATTACAAAGACATCGGTGAGATTTGCGAGGTATGTGATGGAGATTTGAGAGCATGTTTGAATCACATGCAGTTTTCCGGAAGACGCGTGGCACGTTATAATAGCACTAATAAAGTGTCTGCAGCAGACAAGCACATTTCTTGGTACGCAATGGTTGAGGATGTATTCAAGAGAGATTCCCGATTGAAAAAGGAGGAAAATTTTAATGTCCTTTTGCAAAAGTATATGGATGGTGATGGAAAATCTATAACTGGTAGTATTGACCTGTTTGACAAGTTCATAAATGGGGTATTCAATAGGTACCTAGATATTGTTCACTTGCAGGATGATATCTTAACTCGACCCAGCGAACTTAGTGATTGGCTTCATTACCACGATTTTTTCAACAATAATTTTAATGATGCAAATCAGTATAATGCGTTAATAGCATTGAAGAGCTGGTCGTTACTCAGTGATTTAAAAAACTACAGCGACGTCAATCCGTTGATCCCAAACGTCAAGAACTTGTCATTTGAGACGTTTGAGAAGTTGAAGGAGAACCGCCATAATGCAAGGACTGTGATTTCAAATGTCTCTCCTAGCACGCTTTTGGCTTTGGGGAGCACAAACGATGCTAATATGGCCTGCTGCTTTCTCCCTTGTCTTACAAGGCTTCTTACTCCTAGCCTATCTTCAAAAACCAAAAGCAACTTAAGCTCGGCGGAGATTGGAAAGCTCCAAAAAGTTGTAAAGTTGATTGAAACGTTCAAATTGACACTTGAAACAAAGAAGGATTATGAAACAGGTCAAACAGAGTTGAAGATTGGGCCAGACTGGGATTCAGTTTCCATCTTTGATGCTTTTGTTGCCGGAAGATCGAGCGTGATCGAGCACAAGCAGCTTCAACTTAAACGACAGACTTTGTTCCCATTGATCAGTGCAGAATTGGATAACTTAAGGGTTTCACCAGAAGCCAAAAAGCACAAACTTGACAGTGCTGAAGAGTTTGGATCAAAGAAAGCAAAACATGAGGACACAACGTTTAAGTCTCGGTACGACAGTGTCAAGTCTGCCGCCAAGCCCGACAGTGAGACAGCCAAAAGACAAGTGCCTAGAATCTGGGTCAATTTCAATGAAGGTTATTCGAATGCTGTTAGGAAAGAAGTTTGTTGGAAAGACATCTGGTTGCCATAATTAAGAAAAGGATGGACACTTGACAGCTACATCGATGAAGTTCAACAATTTCATATATAAAACACTGAATAACTATTTAATTACTGCATCTAAATACTTTTCGAATAACCTCACAGACGATTCGAGAGTCTCTGATTGAATAAAGAGGTTTTTAAATCGGACCCTATCATCTTGATGTCTTAATGTAGAGCTCTTGAACACGTCTTGCCCAAATGCTCTCCTTACCCTTAATGGTTTTCTCGGTTCATCTCTGTGTTCTGAAGGGAAACCCTGGTTTGGAATGGTTTGCGCTATGGAACCAGGATTAGCAAGTTCATTCAAATGGGCTTGACTAGTTTGCTCTAGTTTTGGCAAACTGATTGGACCAAAATCATACACAATATGATGATCCTTATTGAACACTTTTGGTAGCGTTTTAATTCGGCTAATACATGATTTGAGTATAGATTTCTTAACTTGAGAAGCTCCTGCATCTGAAGCTGACACTTTCAAGTGCAGAAAATCTGAGACCAAAGACTCGGCTGACGATACTGATAATCGCGGTGCAGGGGTATGTGGAGTTTGTGGAACATCATTCAGCTCGGTAAATGTTGAAGTATCAAAAGATTTTGTGTAAGTAGAGTTTAGTGAGCTATTGTGTACCGTAGTATAGGTGGCCCTTTTAATTGCACTCAATGGCAAGTCTTCTTCAAATTCAGATTCGTTTAATTTTCTCAACTTTACTCGATTCGTTGTATCACTTCGTGCACCATTCTCCAAGCTTTGAATCATATCAGTATTCCCTCGTGTAATTGTGTTTCCTGCTAGTAACCTGTTCCTTGCAACAACAAACGAAATCACGTCATCTTCATGCGTTTGTGCCTGTGTGTGCGACGAAAATACCTGACTTCCTCTGAATCCTTCACTCTTGTGGGTGTTTAAATTGACATTCTCCTGTATTAGTCGGTACCCTTTAAGGTCATACTTCTTATGAGCTCGAATTCCGGGTATGCGTGTATTCCTAGTTCCCAGTGCATCTGTCATCTTCGGTTTGTCACCGGTGAAGCGAAACTGTTTTCTCCAGAAAGAGCTTCCTCCATGGTTTCCCTCAATGATGTTGTCACTAGATGCTTCCGCTCTCGTCGCATGGGTTGCATTGGTGATATGGTCAGTAGTAACATCGACTGCACTGGAATCCTCCGCAACAAGTTGAGGGTGAGGGTCCATACGTGGTGTTGCAAAGCAAGAAAAGGATCTAAACTTGTCAGATTCGACCTCTTGAGAAACCAGTACATCTTGCCACTGGTTTAAACCATGTTCCATAGGAGTGTCAATTGTGCTATCCTTGCATTTACTCTCTAGATGGAAGTCTACGTCATTCAAGGGGTACCTTAAGCTTGGGTCATCAAAACTGAGACTGCTAATACCCTCAGGGTTCCTATTTTGATCACTCATTGCTGTGTCATTCTCCAAGCCCTGAAGTGGAAGGTCTAGTGTTGAGGTGTGTGGGTGTTGGTGTAGTGTGACCTCACTTGTTGTAGCTGTTGCTGCGCGTTTCATCGCTACGCGGGTGAATCCAGATTCCTCTGTGTCTGTCAGTGGTAATTTTTGCTCAATCTGTTGTCGCTTCCGAATGGAAAAGTAGTCAAACTCATCAGAGTCGGCACCATTCATCAATTCACATATATTCAACCTTGGGCTGATAATCATGCCTATCCTGTGCTTCGACTTATTGGGAGGAGTATTTTGATCCATTGTCACTCTTCATACGTGTTGAATGGGGGATAAGCTTAATCCATGTGAAAGAAGCAAGATATCCAGATTACCCACTGCAATCATGCTTGTATTTAATGTTGCTGACTGCAGACTGCATCCCACTCAATGTGTTAATTTAAATCTGTTTCAACTTTGCTTCAAGTGACGAGTGTGTGTGTGTGTGTGCGTGTGTGCGTGTGTGTGTCATAATCCATATTTTTGCTTTTCTTTCACTCTCTTTTGCATGATTTTGCATCCAGGTACATATATACCATTAAGCTTTGTAACACGCTGGATACAAATAGGTCCTGGTGTTCAAGGACTGTGTTCCCTAACAAATCACAAGAAGTCTCCCAAAACATAAACAGCGGATACAAAGCGTTGAAGTTATTTTTTTCTTCTTTTTTTCTTTTTTACCTCTGACCCAAGAAGGATGGTACCAGCTCGATCTGAAACAATGGGTGAGTTTGATTGAAATAAAAAGGCTGTTGGGTAACTCAACTTTGTATAAAGATGAATTGGTTCTGTGAGGGAAGCCACATGCTCTACTATTTTCCGAGGTGAGTAAGAAGTGAGAGGAAACACTTCTGGGGTGAATTCTGTCTCAATGTTGTGTGACCTTTGAAAGCTACCACGATAGGTGATTACTGAAAAGATTAGATGGATGGTATATCATCAATGAGAAGTGAACAACAACTGTACTAGAAAACATGTGTAGAATCAAATCGCAAGCAAGTAAAAGTTATCGCAAATGCATAAATTGCATTTGATCTTTGTGTAATTCCTTTCAATAGAGATGAGCTTTGCATTTGAATCGAAAAATTATCAACTGCACATTGAACACCATCAACTTGACAAACATCTTAGTGCAACCATGGCTAGCAAAGACAAAGGCAACGACAAAGCCAGCAGCAAGGAAAAATCTCTGAAGGAGATTAAACCAGTTACTGAGGACTCTAGATTCAAGTCCGTGCATAATGATCCTCGTTTCAGATTTCCAAATTTCAAAAATTTGAAGGTCAAAGTGGATGACAGATTCAACAAGAAAGAATTGAAAAAGTTGAGTGGCAGCAGTGCCAAGATTGACAAGTATGGAAGAAAGCTTGAGGAGAAAGACCAAAAACTCAGCAAGTACTACGAGTATGATGACGAAAGTAGTAGCAATGACGATGAAGATGAAGATGAAGATGAAGATGAAGAGGAAGAGGAAGAGGAAGAGGAAAACAAGAAAGAGGATGAGGATGAGGAAGAGGAAGACGTGGAAGCATTGAGTCGTAAGATCAGAGGTGAGGAGGAGGAGTTGGATAGGGCAAGGGGTGAAGGTCTTTTGACCTCTTCGTCCGATCTGTCTTCAGATGATTCATCGTCCGACAGTGAACTGGAATTAGATGATGTGCAGAGCGAATCTGACCTTGAGTTGGAAGAGAACGCACCTGGAGAGTCCGATCCTACTTCCTCCTTTGCGGTTGTAAATATGGACTGGGACAACTTAAGAGCAGAAGATTTGATGGCGACTTTCTTGTCATTTGTACCCAAGGGTGGGAACATAAAATCGGTGAAGATTTACCCTTCCGAATTCGGGAAAGAGAGAATGCAAAGAGAAGAGGTCGAGGGCCCTCCAAGAGAGTTGTTCAAGAAGAAGTCGAAAAGGAAAGAAGAGTCTGATTCAGAGTCCGACTTGGATTCGGATATTGACATCCAAGATGCCAAAGAGCTAGAAAGGGTTACACGAAAGTTGTACGAGCAAGACGATGGAAAGGAAGATTACGACAGTAAAGCTCTTCGTCGGTATCAACTACAGCGATTGAGATATTACTATGCCGTGGTCAAGTGTGATTCAGTTCAGACTGCTCGAAACATTTATGAAAATGTTGATGGCACTGAATACGAGTCTACGGCAAATGTTTTTGACTTGAGATATGTGCCGGAGGATATGGAATTTGATGACAATGACGTCAAAGATGAATGTTTTAAAGTGTCGCCAAATTATAAACCTGAGTCTAGATTCGTGACGGATGCATTGCAGCACTCCAAGGTAAAATTGACTTGGGATGAGACTCCAAAAGAGCGTCTCACATTATCGTCAAGACCACTTTCACAAAAGGAAATAGAAGCCAATGATTTCAAAGCGTATTTAGCAAGTGATTCAGATGAAGATGCACCCGGCAAGAATGGTGAAGATTTGGATTTGAAGTCAAAATATCAGAGCTTGTTGGGAAAGTCGTTTAAAAATGGATCGGAATCCGGTAACGAAAGCGACGATGTAGATATGGAAATAACTTTTGATCCAGGCTTGAAGGATGGAGCTGAGAAAGACACCAACGAAGATGTTTCTGAAGAAACAACTATTGAAGCTTATAAGAGGAAGGAGAAAGAGAGACGCCAGAAAAGACTCAATAAGCTCAAAGAGAGTAAAGCAAATGCTGATGAAGAGGAAGTGGCGAAGGTGGAACTTTCGAAGTCAAGTGCAAAAGACAAGAAGCAAAAGAGTAAGGACAGACTGCGTCGTGGCGATAAAGATCATGACGAAAGATCCGAGAAGGAGAAAGCTGCATTGGAGTTGGTACTTATGGATAACGAACAGAACAATGAACACTTCAACATGAAGGATGTGCTCAAGAATGAAAAGTCAAAGAGAAACAAGAAGTCTAGAAAGAAAAATATCGATCAAGAGATGACCCAAGACAATTTCGAAGCCAATTTGAATGATCCAAGGTTCGATGAAATTTTTGAAAGTCACGACTTTGCTATAGATCCAACTAGCAGCGAATTCAAAAAGACTGAAACCATGAAGAAGATCTTGAAAGAAAGGTCCAACCGGAACAAAAGTGGTGGAGCAAAAAAACAAAATGATACTGGAATCAAAAAGCGTAAACTCAAGGACGGTACTGATTATGAAGATGCAAAGTCAATTGTTAAGAAGTTGAAGAACAAAGTTAAATAGCCGTTGTGGTTAAATTCACTAAAACAGGGTGTGAGATATTTTCGAATTCGTATGCTTAGACTACTTTGTTGAGATTGTGGTTCACGTCACAAAGTAAGATTCAATTTATGCCAGCTTATCTGGAGAGTGGTATGAATTACTATCTTTCATTCGTATAGGTGAATCGGTAGAAATAACTTATATAAAATTGAGATCAACAAAGACTAAAAATACTAACAATAAAATCAATCTTGAGCACACCATCAAGATAATGTAAATGGCTCAGCCTCTCTGAGGAGAATTGGCAGGCGGTAACGGTAATGATTGAGACCCGCGCCATTGTCTCCAATGAAATGGGTTCAAAGATCTGTTAGACACATTTTCGTAATCTGACGTAGCAGCAGGAGGGAAATTGGAGTCAACACCGTTTCTTGGAGAATCTTCATCTAATGCTTCACCTTCCCTGACCTTCAGTTTTTTCAACCGCTCTCCAAAACGAGAAAAGAATTGCTCAACCTTTTTCACCTTACCCTTAGTTCCTTGATTACCACGACCACGCTTCGATTGTTTGTTCAGCGAGTCTGTTTGCCTCTGGTCTACGTAACTACCTACGTTCCTTTCCTTCTCTACATCCTTGCGCTTTCTTTTTGATTCATTTGAGCTTTCAGTACCTCCACTTTTTGGTGCAGAACCAGATGTGGCCAGGGAAGCTTCTGGATCTTTTAATATGAAATTTTTAAGCTCCTCGTGATCCTCGGTGTTTATTCCATAGTTCTCCTTCTTGTGTAATTCATAAAGGAGGCACCCTGCGGCATTAGTATTATGATTGTACTTGTGGCTTGCAAGACGAACCTTTTTCTCCTGCTTGTTAATACCCTTGTACTCTACCTTATAGATATCTTCTTCAGAGATAACAAATGCGACTTTTGTCGCAGTAACTGCCATGTTAGCAAGGACTTGCAAATATACGTTATCTCTTAGAGTTTCCTTGCCTGAGCCAAGCTTCATTTCTAATGTTAGTTGTGGTGCCATTTCTGAAATTTGTGCTACCTCCACTTCGGGGTTGTTGACGAGAATGAAATCTGGCCGCTTCAGGGCTGATTTACCACCTTCTCCTTCAATGTCTTTTAGCTCTTCTTGGTGTATTTGAAACCCCAGAAACACACATATTGGGACAAGAAACGTGACAGCAAAGCGACTTGCCCAAACAGATTCAACCCAAACACTGATTTCCCGAGTTGGGAGGCAAAAGGTGGGAATTTCGAAATTGTAAAATTGACCCACAGTGAACAGCATAAAAACCTGTCTATCCACATCAATTGATGAAGTATCGGTCATGTCGGGTTTAATGTTGTCGAATTTGTTATCATTCAATTTCTTTGAAGTTAAAATCCGCTTTCTGTCATCATGGCGACCAACTTCTACAACTCTCGCTGTAAAGTATAGTGCAAGTGAAATTGTCCACAAGTTTCCAAATGATTGAATGTAAGGAACAGATCCTTTCCAAGTGTAGTGACAGAAATCATCCATATGGTTGCACAAGCTTTTCACTGCGTCCCTGCAGTTGGCACTCAAAACATCAATATATGGAGCTTTTGCAAAATTCATAACATCAGCAATTTCATTTGCAATCTTGACAAGTACCGTTTTTTCTCTCTCATCTAACCTTGTAAATTTTGGTCCCAACGCATCCTCAAGCTTCGGTTTTATATCTGTCTCTAGTTGTAGAATGTTGTCAACTTTCATCTTGTACCTATCATGCAAAGTCTGCAAAGTGGTATTGCGGTTTTCGTTCTCTATCAAAGTTTGAGTCACCACATCCATTTTGAGTGATGTAAATAATATCTTGATCGCTTCGATTGGTGACATTTTGTTGTCAAGATCTGAATAAATATAATCTTGATACTGGTACCAGAACTTTGAAAAATCTGTTGTGAAAAACTTCACAAACTTTCTCAAAAATTTGTTCTTTCCCCCCCCAAAGTCATTTTAGGGAGTCAACAGGGGAATGAGACTCGTATAATAACACAGGTACAAATAAGACTTACTGTTAAGTCGGCAAATTTATGCGACAACTATCTTTTTGTGTCCACTTTGTTTTGTGTTGGTTGAAAGTTTAATTTCTTTCAATTTTTGTTGTTTTTTTTTTTTTTCTTGTTTGCTCGATACGAGTTGGCACAGTTAACTGCTAACGTACCTGTGTTCAAGCCATTTTGCTACAACGTTAAAAGTTCTAGCTCTCTGTTTGGGCACTAAAAAATACAGTTTGAATATCTAAATTATTGCAATGTTGGCACACATAAGCCGAAAAACATTTTCATTTTGGCTGTCTTACTAATTACATAAAGGAATTTTAGTCCCCTTTTTTTGCAACCTTTTTTTTTTTTTCATTCAATAAAACAAATTCTCACTTCTCGTCCATGAAAAATAGAAAATGAACAAACTAGAAAATATGAGGGGACATTTAAAAGACGCATCAAATTTGAGTCCACGATTTGTGCCAGAATTGTTTACGCGTACAGAACTGAGAAATGCTGAATACAACACCCAACCCGATTATACATCCATAAAGCTAAAATGCATTTGCTACAATGAATATACTTGCGATTTAAAATTACATCACAAACTATAGTTAAAGTTCAACAAGCCGAAGTTTGGTCCAAAGAATAGGCAGAGAATGGATTTCTAACCTATCAAAAAATAAAACTCGAACCAAATCTTTTTGGGGTCTATTCCATCTTACATCGCCAAACACAAACAGGCTATGGAATAATCCCAAAGCAAAACAATCCCCCCTTCTCAATCTAATGTTCACATCTTTTAATCCTTGGATCATTTGTAAAATCATACATGGCTTCCAACTCAGCTTCGGTATAACATCTTTTGAATTCTACTTCCATCACCTCTTTCGTTAACGCGTTAGTAACGCTCCGTTTGAAGTTTGATAGATCCTCATTGCCCAAATGATAAAAGTGGTAGCCAACGACTCCAAACGGAAGATTGGGACTGAGGACTTTAAAATTGTGAGTTAGCAATGCTGTAAAATTAATCTCCGGCTGGTACCACCAATTGATACTACTATTGGGATACTTTGCACACAAGTCACATACAGCTGCTGCATCACTTGCCAAAGAGCCATGGCTTGCCATGATAAGATATCTAAGCTTCCTATGTTCAAAACAACCCAAGTCCTGAAGTCCGCAGTTTGCGTACACTTCGCCTATAAATCGCAAACATAATTGCACCAACCTTGGAAACTCTTGACTCAAATCGCTACTTTTGAACACAGTGCTTGCATTCATGTCTCCATCTATTGCCAATTCTTGGAGAAAGCGAGTCTCAAAGACATCACTCAATCGAAAACGAGGGACACAATAATAACCATCTAGGGAATAACTCACCTCCAACACTTGAAGTCTCACAAAGCATCGGCACTCACTGACTGGTATGTTTTCATAGCTAACCATGCAGATCTTCAACTTAGTTAAGTTTTTAAACCGTTGAATATAATCAAATTGGTTTACCAAGTTCCTGCCAATGATTTTGATCTGGTTGATACCTTGTTGTAAGTCGAGGTCTATACTCTGCACCCAATACGCAACTATAAAAGTTGTCCCAGGAGATTCATTTCCAAAAGAATTTTGAGAATACCGAAAACACACTCGCTCAAATATCGGATCACTGTAGTAGTGAACCACGAACTCAACGTACCTAAGATTGGTGAAGTGTCTAAGAATACAAACAATCAATGTCATATGATAGTCGTATAGTTCCAAATGATAAATCTTCTGCGTCTTGTCCATTTTTGCCAAATACCTCTCAAACGTATCGGACGATATGATGGAATACTTTTGGCTCTTGAGGTTGTGGAAGCTCTTGGAGATGTGAAACGTTTGTTTTTGCTCATTCGATTCTGTCTCATCTTGTATTCTAGACCATGGTGAGTACACATATATGTTTCTGTATAATTTGGGCTTAGCAATGTAGTGAAACTTGGAATGCAATGGGGCAAGTGCTACGACATAGTGCTGATTGAGTTGATGGAATACTTCTTCCAATGCTTCACACGGTAGGCTTGTTAGGGATATCATTGATAGGACAATTCTGGAGCAATCAAATCCAAGAGAGTTTGTGTTTGTATATATATCCTGTGGTGGGGGGGAGACAGAGAGGGAAAAGGGGGTTCTCGTATTCTTTCCTCAATGTATTGAGATTTTGACATCTGGGTGCTTATCGGATTGCAAAATTGCATCTTGTTGCTTCAAAAAACATCTAAAGCCTTCGAAATGTGCACCTCTTGTACGCACTGCACTGCAATGATTGAGGGCTGAGGCATAAATCACTCTCCCTCGAGATTTATTTCCAAATGGACAATCCACAAGACATATGGTGTCACTTTGTAGTGTCCAGAGTGGATGTCGTTAAAGAAAAGGCTTAGAGATGATAAGGCTGAAATAAAGTCGTGACACGTAAACAAACCGAAAAGAGACAAAAGAAATAAAATAAAATAAAATAAAAATAAAAATAAAAATAAGATTTGGCGACAGAAAAGGAAAAGAAGAGAGAAAAGATTCCCACCAAATCAACAATCTCAAGACAACATCATAACATATTGAAGACTAAAGCCAACACTAGGTGCTAGTACATCAGACGCAACCTATAAAGTCAAAATAGATTCCCCTTACTACTAGCAAATTTAAAACCATGTCACAACTTTTGAATTTAGCAGTACGTATTTGCGCAAACAACTCCTGACTTTTCCTTTTGCCAGTTTCACCTTACTAACCTTTGCTGACCTTTGTAGAACTTTTCCAACCTTTCCGATAGATTCAGTGTTGAGAGAATCAAGTCAGATTTTGCATCTTTGCAATCGACAATTTCCAAATTGCGTCCACCACAAGAATTTTTCGACTTTAGACGTATTTCCAAACCAGCCAACTTTGGTGAAATACAACAACGTGTCGGTTACAATTTGGGCTATTTTTCCGCCAACTATTTAGCCATTGTTGCTTGTTTGAGCATCTATGCTCTTGTCACCAACTTGCTTTTATTGTTTGTTTTAGGGTTTGTTATATTTGGTGTTTGGGCCATCAATCGATTGGGCGGTGAGGATTTGGTGACACCGTTTGGTAGATTAAACACCTCCCAGTTGTATACTGGGTTGTTGATTGTTGCTGTTCCTTTGGGGTTCTTGGCTAGTCCGGTTTCGACTTTGATGTGGTTGATTGGACTGAGTATCGTTGGAGTTGGTGCACATGCCTCGTTGATGGAGAAGCCAATTGAGACTGTATTTGAAGACGAGGGAATTGTTTAAGAGGCAGAGAAAGGAGCAGGGATGATGTATTGCACGGAGCTAGGTGGTGTGTAAAGTGATGACTGATATTGTCTCACTGTGTATTGTATAGAGGGCAAAATGCAACGTAAACTACGTGAATAGAGCTTGAAACTACTGCGTGTGAGCAAAACTGAGAGGAAGTTCCATATCATGGCCCATTGTACCACGGAGACTTAACGTGACTAATGTCCGACACCAGGGCCACGCATCACTTCTATAATCGAAGTACCTTTGCTTTCATCTACGACATTTCTTTTTCTAATGCTAATAAACTTATATTAAATGCTTCAAAATCTACTACACATTATACACAATTCCAACATAGACAAAGCACAGCACAGCAAAATGATGTACCATACAATCAAAGAAACTCTATATCAGATTGTAGACAAAAAAAATATACCGCTCTCCGCTACAAACAACATATGAGCTAAGTATATTCAATGTATAACAGACTCCATTGCGATATAAATATAAAAATAAAGATGAACAAAAGGTTGGATTTGGAGTGGGGTGGTGGGTTGTATAATTTCTGGTTTGTATTGGTTCGATGTCTGATTCAAAAGGAACTTAGATACCCAACTTAGTTCTTCTCCAGTGTCTTCTCTTAGCATTGTATCTGATCTTGTTGTCGGTTCTCAATCTGATCCATTGTGGCAATGGTCTGTTTTGTTTTTGAGCCTTGGCCAATTTTTGCTTGGTTCTGAATGATTTTTGAGACTATGAAGACTAAGTTAGTATAATCTATTGCAAAATTAATACGCAACGATGAAAACCGACAAAGGTTTGCTAGCATTGGTTCAACAATACAAGCCGCCCCGGTAAATGAATCCGGCACAGAAGTATTCTCATATTCAATCTTGACCTTTGAGACACTCTTGTATAATCAAGTGTGGCGACTAACACATGTGGCAAAGCACGCTAATGGCATGGCTTTGTCATTCTTAATATCCCCTCAGTAACTCTATGGTGTATATGCTGGTACATACAGGCATCGTTGATGTTTTAACTCTAAAGTATCTGGATTCCAGAAGTGAAAATTTTTTGAACTAAGAGAGAAAAGAGAAATAAAAAAAAATTCTAGTTTTGGCTTTTCTCTCATTAACAGTGTAGCGGACGGTAGCGCAGATCGAGAGTAAAAAAAAAAAAATATTCATTATTCCTTTCCCCTCTATACACAGGAACAAAAAAACCGAATACACACGCACTTTCTCTCTCACGCAGAACGAAAGTGAAAAATTTGTGTGAAATTTTCAAATCTTTTCACAGAAGAGATACACAGTCGTTACTTCCTCCCCTACCCACAGTCTAATTCTTTTACAGTTACTTCGACAATGACCAGAACCTCAGTCTTAGCAGATGCTTTAAACGCCATCAACAACGCCGAAAAGACCGGTAAGAGACAAGTTCTCATCAGACCATCATCCAAGGTCATTATCAGATTTTTGACCGTTATGCAAAAACACGGATACATTGGTGAATTCGAATACATTGATGACCACAGATCAGGAAAGATTGTTGTCCAGTTGAACGGTAGATTGAACAAATGTGGTGTCATTTCCCCAAGATTCAATGTCAAGATTGGTGATATTGAAAGATGGACTGATAACTTGTTGCCAGCTAGACAATTCGGTTACGTTATTTTGACCACTTCTGCTGGTATCATGGACCATGAAGAAGCTAGAAGAAAGCACGTTTCTGGTAAAATCTTGGGTTTCGTTTATTAAGAGGAGATAGCGAGGAGATAGAGAGCTACTCAGCTCTTCAGCTGTGTGTGTACTATAGAATAGCAAATCAGAAACAGAAGAAAAACAGTAATTTAGCATCTCAACATAACCACAACTTGAATTGTCATGTAGGACAGCGTATCTGGCTCTTAATCTAGCCATGTTTGTCACTTTTTGCAACTGGTACCAACCCGAATATAACTGACGTGTGATATGAGTCCAGTCTAGGGCTATAACCGTTGCGATATTTTCTCACGTGATATCTATTATTCATTTTTTTTTGATTACGGTGCGCACCGAAACAATTCCTACCATCACTACACTCGCGAAAAAATTAAAACTGAAATTTTTGAGCAGCTTTGAAAGATCTATTAGACACATATAACCACAACAATCACCAACATGTCCACTGGTATGTTCTGAACACATATATGAAATTAGCGAGTTGATACCAAACGGAATGATCATTTAGGGAGAAAGAGATAGGATCGATGTGGAGAACTATTACACCATGATTGATTTTTACTAAACACAAGAGCGTCGATGTCAAGGAATAGGCACCACTGCTTCACAAGTCTACGTTACGGATACTGTACATGGATAAGACCTACTTGTATGATCAATCCAGATTCAGGAATACATACACATGCAATTAGTCACCCTCGATTCCACTGACATATCATTTCCGCGAAACACGTTTTTGGCCTCAGATGAGCTCAATACTAACATGACCCTATTTAGACCGTTCTCAAGTTTTTGGTGTTGCCAGAATTTTTGCTTCATTCAACGATACTTTCGTCCACGTCACCGATTTGTCCGGTAAGGAAACCATCTCCAGAGTTACCGGTGGTATGAAAGTCAAGGCTGACAGAGATGAATCATCCCCATACGCTGCTATGTTGGCTGCTCAAGATGTTGCTGCCAAGTGTAAGGAAGTTGGTATTACTGCCGTCCACATTAAATTGAGAGCTACTGGTGGTACCAAGACCAAGACCCCAGGTCCAGGTGGTCAATCTGCTTTGAGAGCTTTGGCTAGATCTGGTTTGAGAATTGGAAGAATCGAAGACGTTACTCCAGTTCCATCAGATTCTACTAGAAGAAAGGGTGGTAGAAGAGGTAGAAGATTATAATCGTGCTGCTTGTCCTTTTTTTTTATGTCACTCATGTCTTTACCAAACATCATCAAAACATCTCATTAATCCAGGTACTTTTTTACATTCGTTCATCCAAACCATCGTATCATAGCTTGACGAATAAGAGGTGCCGTAAATTCTTTTGTATTTTAAACAGAGAAAACCAGTTTCAATATATATATATATAAATCTAGTAACGTGGTGAGGTTTTCACTCTTGAGTGTAGAGCTTCAAAGAGCACCTCGTAGAGAACCTCATAGAGAACCTCGTAGAGGGGTTGTAGTTTAGGAACTCTTCGTGTGCTGGGGAGTTTTTTTTTTTGAAAACTTGAATTCAGATTCAAGTTTTGAGAAATTGCACTTTCGGATAGAAGCTCAATGTTGATGATAAGATGTTGCAGAAAAGCACTACGACATTCAACTACAAATAGATGGTCAGTGGTATTTATACGGCATAACTCGTTGACTGATCCGAAGAAGAGAGAAACAATCCATCTCGCAATCAACTTATTATTTCCAAATTTGGGTGATCCTCAATATATCCAACGATATAGAGCAGTAGACAAGCAAATAGTCAACGCAGTTAAAACTGAAAACAAAACCAAGGGAGATTATAATGTGGATATTCCTCAAGAGCAGACTAACCACGATGTAAGCAGTGCTAAAGACTTGGAAAGGTTGAAAACAATGATTATGAAATGCAAGAAAGATTGGGACTGCATCAAAGAGTCCTTTGTTACAACCTCCAAGTATCAGTTGATCGACACAAGCTTTACACATGGCGGTCACACGGCCGTTTATGAGTCGGAGAATGAGTTTTATAACGAAGTTTTGCAACTTGACAAGTTCAATCTGAATGTTGAGATTAGTCCATTAATATTTTGTCCAACTTCGTACAGCATTGACAAATGTGCAACAGCACTATCTGCGAGAAAATGTGAAACTGGTAAGCTTCTTGCTCATTTGAGAAATTTACAAAACGTTGGACGGATCGCTTTAGGAGTTTATTGGCGAAAACATCTAGGAAAGGAATTGGATTCGCAAGAGTTGAACTATACCATGCTTGTGGCTGCCTCCGGTATATACAATGCATTGGATATTCGGCTACGAAAGGTCATTAAACATTCAATACATACAGGTTTGCAGTACAGTTTGGTATTTTATCAATACTTGGGTTTATTGACTGTTCATAATGGAAAATTGTCACCTCATTTCATTCTCAGTATGGAAAAGCTTCTTGAGAAGAGTCGAAGAGAGGAATATGTTCAAACGTCAAGGGTAACCATTGCTGAAAAGATGGCTAATGTTGATGACACGATCTCAACTTTGCCCGAAAGTGGGAAACGCAACCTAAAGAAAATGTTTCAATTTGCTGAACACACATTGAAGTTGCTTGGTAAAAGGGTTGAGTTACTTGAAGGCCTCACTTCCAAGAAAACCGATTTGCTCCTTTCTGTCAAGAAACAGTTTCCTGAGCTTAACGATGATACAAACATGGCAAATTTGGGGTACCTAATTACGAAAGATTACAGAAAATATGCTTTAGAGTTCTTGGGGATTGAGGAACCCAGTCTTGGCTTTGGCACTAGACATCAATTGGTAAAGATTTTTGGAGCATCCAATTTCGAACTACCGGTAATTAGCAACGTCATTCCTCAAACGGCCTCGCCCTATCAAATTCGAGCGCCTATCATAAATCCCAATTTGACAAACAGAATTCTTCTTTTGAGCAGAAGGTTGTATTTTGGTACTTCGGAAAACGGAAAATTCATGGGACTGACTATTCAAAACTTTGAGCTATTTGGTCGTATATCGTATTCCTATTTCATCAAGTTGGCTCTTGAAAGAGTGCAATCGGCGACCTTGACTAACGACCAATTGTTTAAAATTCGTGAATTAGCCGAGAGTCTTTCATTTAAGGCGTATATTGTTGATTTGATGAAATTTTTCGATAATCAAAAACAAAGATTGACATATATGCTGAGTATCGAGCAAATTCGGTATGAAAATTTGATCTACATTGATCAATTTGATCTGATATTTGCCTGTTTATCCGAAAGACAGAAGGAGAAATGGTGTCACGATTTAATTGCCAAAATTGTTACAGTCTTGACACAAATGGATTGGCAATACGTTGACGAGTTTCTTTCAGAGGTAAAGGCACAATTATTGAAACGTCAAGAGTATTTGAGTTCAGTGCATTCTTCTCTGTCACGTCTCAAATCTAGTTCAATTTTGCGCAAGTTGGCTAGACTTCCAATGCCCGTCAAAAGTACGACCCTGTATTACAATTTGGGCATGGAATACTTGTCTTTTCTAAATGTTAAATTTCACATTTCTTGCCCATTGAAAGTCTATAGACGATGTCTCGACTTGTTTGAAGAAAACCTTCTACGGTCAATTGGGTTTGACAATGTGACGCGTCTAGGGAATACAATAAATGACACGAAGGACGACTCATTAGGCTTGAGTGTCATAAAGAAAACGACATCACAGAAGGAGACATTGGAAACTTCCTTTATGGGAGTTCAAGTGGACCGGAAACTAAGGTTTCGCATGGGAACACCTGGTGAACCATTTTGGAATTACAAATCGAGCCAATTGACTCCCCCCAGAATCGATTTTGACGCTACGATGAATAAGATTCTATTGGTCAATCGCAAAATTGCACCAGAGTTTCTCAAAAGGATTGGAGTAAATGACCCTGAGGTTACCGACACTTTGTTTAAATATGATGATCTTGGATTCCGATACTACCGATATATGATTCTTTACACTTTAACAAAGTCAAAATTGTCTTCCAAAATTCAGGACTCAGTTTTCAATATTTTCACTGACAAAGTGTTTAAAAGGAAGTTGAATACTGTCACGGGTGTACTGAATTCATTCTACGGTGATTTGAAAGCGAATCACATCTATCATGAACTAGTGGCCAAGCTTATAAACTCGGACTATCTTGATCTTTACTACCACCATCAGATTTTCAATCAATTCATTGCCATGCAATACATGAGCAACAAGAGCAAATTGAACAACTGGATCTGTGGGTTGATTGATCCATTGATTAAACTTTTGGAGGAGTGTGCCGATGACTATGACATGCAAGCTGTGTTGTTTCAGTTTGAACGTGCCTATCAAAAGTAGATAAGAAATGCGAGAGCGCTCATCAATTTTACATGTCTATGTGCAATTTGGCATTACTATGTGAAAACTGTGTTTGCTAGTATTAGGTAGGTGTTTTGTATTTGTCTAATTTTTTTTTTTTTTTGTAGTGTTTGAGTTCCTGTACATGCTATCTGCAAAGAATATCCCAATTAGGTTGCAAAGTCCAAAAGGTGATACAAAAGAAAGCAAAAGAGCAAAAGAGAAATAAAGAAAATTGCAAAAAATAAAAATAAAAATAAAAATAAAAATAAAAATTAAAAACGCCTACGACTCACAAATTTCCTTATCAGAAGTAATGCAACATACTACTAAATCTGAATATATTATCCATAGATGTAATAATCACAACAACAAAATCATATATAAATAATACGAATCATGTATCAGCACAGTCTTTGTAAATACCACATCACAACTGTCTTTTCCACTACTACTTCAAAATATGCTTGATCTATTAAGTTTCACATCATTTCTGATTTGCCTTTGTTTGGTATTGTACTTGGCCCAGAATCAAATCAGGGCCCTAAGTAAAGTCTTGTTTGCAAAAAAAGAAGTTGTATCTGACAAGGAGAGGAAACTATCATCCAGCAACCCCAAGCCATCCTCCTTGTACGGGAATTCCAATGGCACGATCCCTAAGCCTACACCATTGATGATCAACCCAGATGAAGTTAAAAACTATGATGACAGACCATGGAGACCATTCCGCTGGCCATATCACCAAACTATGTCCATTTTCAAGTTGGATATCAACCACTGGCTAGATATGGACAAGTATTATCAACATTATATTGATGAGAAGGAAAGGATTAGACTCAAGTACGGGGAAGAAAATTTTGGTATGCTACCTGAAGGCTATGATGCTTGTGTTGAACTAATGGAAACGGTTGTTGATCACATGGTTGAAAGGTATCCCTTATTATTCACCATTCTCAAGGACGGTGATTGGCAAACTGCTGGTAAGGTTCTCAAAAACGAGGTCACTGGTGAAGTTTTGGATATGACAAGACCATTGAAGGATGATCCATTAGTGTACGTGTCGAAGTTGGCAAAGGAAGATTTCTATGTTGTTTTAAAGAACCCTCAGGATGGACTACACTATATGGTTGCAGGAGCTGTTCCCTTCCCAGGAGGTTCGTTCTTTATCAAGGACAAGTTGGGCAATCACATCGACACCATTCATCGAGATGTACCTTATTATGAAAAAAGTTTGAAAAAATCGATGGAGAGATGGTTTGGTAGAATGAGGCCGGAAGACCCAGTTGAGAGAGCTAGTTGGTATATCACATGGGATGCAAAGTTAAAAGTCAGCAACATTTACCAAACGGAAAAGTTTTTCCCCAACATGGAGAAGGATCTTGAAGAGACTGATCCGCGTCAGTTTAACGTTCGTGTTGAGAGGCAAACTTTGCGCCGGTTACCCAAAACAGGAGCCATCATTTTCACCAATCATCCAATTTACTACTCAATTGAAGAAATGAAAGATGAACCAATGATTCCATCCATTTTGAAAAAGATCATACATGAGGGCCCAGAAGATATTTTAAAGTACAAGAATTTCGAGATGGTGAGAGACAAGTTGTCGCCTTATTTGGATGAATTGATCCAGAGACAAAAGGATTTGGGTCTCATTACTGATGAAACACCATTGAAAACGCAACCCAACTACCCTTTTGCCCACTGGGTCAAAGACAACATAAATGTTTCTGAAAATGAAGGTTGGAATAACCCTGGCACTGGTTATGATAAGAAACATATGAAGACTGAGGGGTTCGATGCGTCTAAATTGGCGGGTAATGAATAATGGGTTAGTGGTGATCGTGGATCTATATAGGGAAAAAAAAAAAAGAAAGAAAAAAAGAAACTATATAAATAATCTCTAAACGCATCGAACCAAAGAATTATTTCTTGTCTCTGTGTTTTTCAATTGTGAAAATTTCTTCCCGAATGTTAAAAGTGATTAGATAGCCCATCCACTATAAAAATACGTATTGATATCCGGAAAAAATCTGTCTCTTTATTCTTGGAAATTTCTGCGCACAAAAGTCAATGGACTGTTTTTGTGTCGGTTGCTTATTTCCGACTCAGCGTCCCACCCCAGCTCTTATTTGCCTCCCAAAAAGTAAAAAAAAAAAACAAAAAAACAAAAACAACAAAAAAAAAAAAATTGATTTTCCATCGATAAAGAATTTTTCTCTGTTATTTGCTTATGTCTCAAGTGGAGAAATTGTTGTAAAGACTCGGGGGGAAACCTCTGGAGCAGCAGTTTGTTGAGATGAAGAGTTGGTTGAAGAAATAATGAAAATGATTTTATCTTCCTCAGTTGTGTTGTGAAGTGGTTGATTCAAGCTTTCTATGGTAACCAAGGTTTCATTGACAACAACCATTTCATGACGTAAAAACTTACCTAAGCCGCCTTACTACATGTTTGAAACAAGTTTATGCTACTAGTGTTATTATTATTATTATTAATGCCTGCACTGGTGGACTTCAGAGGGAGTTCTGTTGCCAGCAGAGCCACAAGGATGTTTCATCCCTTGTGCGCAGGTCCATCAAAACAAAATATAAATTGGAATCAAATTTCCCAATTTCAAAGTCTTCGTTTATTAATAACAACTTTGACAATCAGGTTCATTTCTTAACTTATCTTAACATATATTATCGAATGGTGTATGTTTTATATCTTACTAACTATCATGGTATCTGATCTACTATTTTGTCTACTCCAATCTTCAACAGAGTAAGTAAAACTGCCAACAAAAAGGATACTAATTGAAGCTACTACAAAAATAGATGTGCGGAGGCTAGAATGCCCAGCTGGGAACTCTTGTAGAATTAGATGCAAAAGATGCTTCCTTCCTTCCACAACCCAACCACGCCCGTAATTTCCATGACTAATCGAAATCCATGTCTCTTTTCAGATAACTGGAAACGACTAGTGTTACTTTAGTATGCGTTGTAGAGAGCAACAATTGTAGCAGAATCCCTGAATCATATCAAAAGCACGATTCAAGAGCAAACTGTCGCCCTACAATAATACGCATACAGGTATAATACAATGTAGAGAAGGAAAAGAAGAACAAAACAAAAGTGCTGAAAACGTGTTGAAAATTTTTCAGAGAGTGAAGAGAGTGCAGTGAATACTGTGTCGCGATTATGTGTGTGTCCAGTGTCGCCAGATGCAAAAATACGTCAGCAACGTCTTCAAAAACTTGTCTCCACTGTATCTTTAACAATCTATCTGATCTGCAACCACTGAGCAAGCATGCATTACGCTTCAGTGTTTATTGCATTTGCATGTTTCTTAAATACCATCACGGCAATTGGATTCACTGGAGCTTTCACAAACATACCTGATGATGTGCCGGAGTTGGCCAAGGAGTTACAACAACCAATACCAAATTTAAACAACTATCCTCTGAGAATCAAAGTGGACCTATACAAACTCGATGATAAAAGAAAGAGCCACGATTTTGTTCCTAGAGTCGCCATTGTGGATAAAAATTACCGATTCACTTTCAAAAATTTGAAGGATGGAGAGTATGAATTAATTGCCAACTCATATGACTTTACATTTACCAAAAACAAGTTCAAAGTAGTTGTTGATGAAGGCAAAGTTGTCGTGTATGACAGTCCCTTAGGTCAAGAACCATCGAACCAGTCGTTACCTATGGAAGTGTCACATCAAGCACCTTTGGAAATAGAGTTTAAAGAAGTCAAGCAATTTTACGAAAAACCAGGTGGGTCTGTGTACGATATGCTACTCAACAGTCCACTCGGTTTCATCTTCAGAAACAAGACATATACAGTTATATTTGTCATTGTGTTGGTGATATCGTTGGCTCCCACGATTGCTGAATGGGTGGATCCCGAGTTTGCTGCACAGTTTAAAGAAGTTCAAACGCAAGTAGCGACCCAACGGTTGGAGAAGCCAGATGCAATTGAGCAGCAGCCACCAGCAATTCCTTTTGGTGCTGGTGCTGGTGCTGCTACTGCTACTGCTACAGGAGCCAGAAAGGGTGGTGTTGCAACCAAAAAGAGAAGATGATAAATGTGGACGAATGCTCAAAAACAAGCCGGGCGCCTTATGTAGTACACTTTCATATTTATCGTGAATTCTCCTATACGACATAAACCTTCCCTGTTGAATCACCAATTACCAATTTCAACGTACCGCGTATAAGTCTGTCCTCGTTATCGATTTCCGAGCACTTCAATAAACGGACCGTTGTAATTTCTCCGTTAATGTCTTGTATAGGAATCTCTAGTAAAAGAGTCATGTTCCATCCAATTTGAGAATTCTGAGTCACTTCCCATATTTCAACACTGTGACTTCGAGCAATTCCAACGAACTCGTTGGACCAGTACACATGACTTCGGTGAGTACTGGACTTGGTGGAACTTAATGCAGGTGCATTCGCTGTTCCAAATGTTATGGCAGCTATACCACTAAATTGATCTAGTGTTTTTGAAAGAAATTCGCCACCGTTAATATTGTACAAGTTCAATAAGCCTTGATCGCCGTCACTGCTGTTGCCTCGTACTATTACAATGTTTCCCGAATCATTTGAGATGGCAGCAAGACATTTCGAACAAGTCTGGCTGGAGAACTTTTTGATGCAGTTGAACCGGATCAAATCCCACAAGATCACCACTCCATCTTTATCGACACTAATACCGGTTTTGAAGCTTCTGCTGTAATCCATGCTTTTAATAGAGCAGAAGTGGCCCCTCAATGTAGCAACGTGATCCAAAGAGGATTGTGGTGTTACTTGATACTTCCAAACGGAAACTAACCCATCGGCTGCTCCAGTCAAGAAACTTTTGGATCCGATTTGCAACAAAGAAACAATATCACAAGAATGCATATTTGTAAACGTCGTCTCGTTGACAATCAAAGATCCGTTTGCAAAATTGGACTGCTTCGACTTCCGAATTAAAAGTTCGTCTTCACAGGAAACGCATTTGAGTCTACCAACCCATCGACGTGAACTTCGGGAGCTAAGCTCTAATTTGGCTATAGGCTCCTTGAGTTTTGACTCAAATACCAAAGCTGGCGCTTTCGAAAGATTCGCCAAAGTCATATAATAGGATGGTAAATTCAAAACGTCTTTCATAGTATGCGGTCTCAGAAATACTTTGGCTGGCGTTTGGCCAAAATTGTTGATCATTCCTATCACAGCGCGTTTTTGTACATCATCTTCAATGTTATCCAAGTCTATTGCCCCATTATAAGAGTAGTGGTGAAATACATTCAATGAATCGATAGCCTCTGGTCCACTTTGCTTAACCCCAAACACCAAATCAATCCACGAATGCAAATTTGCAGAAACATACGGACTCTCCAAAGCTTCTCTATTCTTTGCAATAAATAATTTTGGATCACCTTTGGCCCACGGTGGTAACTTGACATTGTCGCAACTGTCACCATTTTGCAACTTTCCGAAATCAAAGTTATTCGAATTTACCAAAAATTCAGGCAAGTAGTAAAACTCAGGAATCAACTCTCTAACGTCCGTCGTATTGTCTCGTGATGCAGAAAGCCACGCTTTCTCAATCGAATTAAAAAGCCTATCGGCGTGATCAAACTTACCTCCTTGCAATAAAAGGTAAGATTGCACATAAGGTTTCAACCTAATTAGATAAGACGTTACTATCATTGCTGATGAATAATGTGTTCCATAATGGAAAGGTGGAGAGTCTGGGTCGTTCAAACTATCCAACGCCTCAAATCTTTCTCTAAATTGGTTCGCTCTTCCTGGTGTCTGGGCGCCCATTGGCTTTGATAGGTCCCTGAATGTTTTGGGATTTGACAAGTCCAATTCTTCACTTGTGTAATCGGCAATTACCCAAGGAAAAACTGGGTATTGAGTTAAATCATTAAATGTCCTTCCCGCTAAAGTGTTGATAATCATAAGGTAGTAAAAGTTTGAAATTTCCCCCATCTTCCATCTCTTTGTCGCAGACAAATGAAGAAAGCTGTTTAGGGACGAATTGGACAAGGCTGACACCAACTTTGACGAAATGCTATCATTGTGTGAGACATTTGAATTCAGAACCAAAGCTTGTACAAGATCGGGATCCATATCTTTACCAGTAGCAAAGCGAGACAATTTGTTGTACACTTGGCCACTCTCTTTCGAAGTCAAACATGTTATCAAAATGTTGGAACCGTCGCTGAAAAACATTTCAAGCGCATTATCACGAAGCAAAAACTGCCGTTTTGATATACAACTCAATTTATCCAATCCCCAACTTTTTGTCCTATGCGACGAATTGCTCAAGTCAACTCTGCTGGATTGCAAATTAACCAATTGCATAATCGGGTCTCTCATGTCTCGAGGTGCATCCTTTACATCAACAATGTTTCCATCTTGACCGTGAAAATAATTCTCAATTATGTACAAGTAGCTTGATCCTAAAATCAACAAACTTTCAACAGGAACCAAACCGTTGATCTGGCAAACGTTCCAAATGGTCACAATTTTATCACCAATGAACAAGCTCCGGCTAACACGTCTGTTTTTGTCATCAACTACAGCTTTGTCATCCCCATTCCCATGGGTCAAACTTGGTTCGTCCAGCAGTCTTGGATCTTCAAACAAACTTTGTAAAAGCTCGTTCGATAGATGTATCGTATCAATACTGTTGGGCAAGGTTGCTAAGCTGGGATCTGTTTCAACATCGGCTTGCAACAAAGGTACTTCAACTTCGTAATTTAGCTTTTCCGACTCCGACAAAAGATCTTCAATGGCTAGCTTGCATCGCATCCTGTCATCGTTCTCAATATAGTCGAGCGTATAACTTTCAGACCCCCCAGAGCCAAATACCCTCACTGTCTCACGCTTTAAAGACTGATATTGTTGGTTGCACTGGGCCATATTCTCCTTCTTGTCTTGAGCAGCACCATTGTACTTGGTTCGCTCTACCTTCATTATTTGCCGTTTCAAATGCTGGCAATCTTTTTCAAAGCTCTTCACATAGATGCTATTTGATTGTGCCAACTTTGCTCCACTGTGAAGACTAACTTTAACAATACTCGATACCCTTGTACGCTCAGTTCTTAGATGGTCTTGTTTCAACGCCAGGTAGTCCCTCAAAATGCTTTTGACAAGCGGAGGATATTTTTTAAGCTTTGACAAGGTTTCGTTATCATCTCTCGTCATCAAATTCATGAAAAACTCATTCATCAAGCTCGTATCAAAGTTCAAATTTTGTACTATCATGGGGAATTCGTCCATCCATCGTAGATATGCAGCTCTTAAAAAGCTGAATGTCACTTCTTTCGATATATGTCCGTCTTCGGCATCGTCTGTCAATATTAAACCAAACACTAGTTTGATTATTGGAACTAGTCGATCGGGCCCAAGAACATTTTTGTCGAATACAGACATTTGTCTGTAAAGAAGTTCTTTCAATAAAACAGTCAACTGCTCCGCACTGGAAGCAAAAGCATAATCAGATTCGCATGCAATCTGAAGAATGAGTAGAAATATTGTTTCAGCTGAAATCGCCTCCAATTTCTTTACTTCCTTCGATTGGTTTTTCTCTAATAGTACCACTTGGCAGGTCAAGTGATCTTGTAAGTCTTGTGTTGCAACAAGGAAGTTTCTACCGGAAAATTCGTGGTAAAACGTCACCAATAATGTAGCTAGGCTTTTTGAGAACTCGGCTTCATCGTAGATGAAGTTGGAAACGGCCATAAATTCTTTGAAATGCGCAAAAATTTTCGGAAATATGTAATTCAACAACACTAATTTGCTAAGATCATTTAGGTTGTCAAAGTCTGAGGAAAACCTGTTGCACCGAAGAATTGAAATGTAAAATTGCGTCAACAAATCCAGTAAACGCTGGCAAAGTTGGGCAAATCCGCTTTTAGTAGCCTCATCGGAAAACCATGTTAAACTTAGCTTCAAATAGCCCAAAACACGAATTAGGCCATCACTGAACTGTGGTATTTTTTCCATCTTCGATAAAATGTTTAGCTCCTCTAACCAATCACAAAACATGGTAAGCAGATGAAGAACATCAAAAGATAAAGATGCGATTTCTTCAATACTTGATTTAACCGGCGTCGATGGATTACTTCCAACAGCCATGCCAAAGTTCGTACTCAATGTGTACATTGCATTCAATTCCAACTCATTGAGCAATAAGAGGAACTCCGGAATTTGTATTTCTTTCATCATACCTTCTGCAGGTAACGACAGCCCTTGATCAAGAGACCTTGAATCACCAAACGAAGCAAGCAATAATGACTTTAAAACTCTCCTACTTGTCCACCAAGTTTCAAGAGACAGTGAGAGCATATCAAGTCCATGATTTTGCAGAAAGAACCGGTGAACAACGTGTTTACCTAAAATCTTCAACAACCGAGTAAGCAAGCGTACTCCACAACAAACAACCAGCTCCAAATCGCTCATAAACAAAAGATTGATCCAATGTATGGTTATTGATCGCGAAAACTTTTTTAAGGCTTTAATTGGTGTGGCGGGGTCACAAATGAAGTCGGTGAGGGCCATCAATGCGGCATTCCCACAGATTTTGGAGCTTCCAGGATTGTAAATAGTAAACACTATGTATGAGGACATCAAAGAAATTGATTCTGCAGTTGCCTCTGCTGGCAAAATTGTCGATATCAACCGGCGCAAATTATTGCCAAAGCTTTGGGATAACAAATCATCTTTCACATTTGTGCTCTTGAGAAAATGAAACAAGCGTTTAAGGAAATTCGTCTTTTTGATTTGCAACAAATTGTGTTGCTTGTAATGAGAAGTCTCGACCAACGAGTGTACATGTGACAAAAGAAACTCAAACGAAGCTGACTTCCAGAACAAGTCGAAATTCAAAACCAAGACCCTGTAACAGTCAAAATTGACGATTACTGACTGCGATGGATTAGCAAAGTCAAAACCACAAGCATTCAATAGTATGTTCAACAAATTCAAGCTATGACAGCCAGAGCTTTCTATGCCAACATCTTCCTCAGAAAATTTGTCAAGATGAAAGGTTAAATTTGGATTGGCGATTTTGTACTGAAATAAGATAAGCCCCAATATGTTGTAGCCATTGTCTTGTTCGAATTCCTTACTTAGTCTCCAATCATCATTCAATAGCTTGAAAAGCAAAGATAGTGTTTTCAAGAATAGAGTGTCTCTCAACACCTCGTCATGTAGTTTACATGCATCCTCCAAAATTTTCAACAACCAAGGGAGCGTTCCAAAAACATAGATATGTCGAAATACCGATGTGGGGTTGCAGAATATCACCTTTGTTCCTATGCCAATCTGGGAGGAAGCCCTTCGGCTTATGTCATTGAACACATCATTGCTATCGAACAAAACATTCTTCTCAGTGATCGGGCTGCTCAGAATCCCCTTCAGCAACCTGTGGAAAAAGTTTACCAGAAGATCGTCAGACTCTCCTTTCCCATTTTTATAAGAGCTTTTTCCAACGAATTTTGTCTTTTGAGGACCAGAATTACTCTCTGTTTTGGTCTTGCTTAGGTAATTCCTCGCAAATGTGGATAGTGACGCGTGAGATAGTTGAGTTTTCAACCCTGGTAATAATGCTTCATTCAAATTTTCTACTTGTATGTTCGATCCCAGTCCCAAGCAAAACAAATACTCTATCACCTCATCAGACAAACTCACATTAAGTAAAGATATGTTTCTCACAATTAAGCCGCAATCAGTTTCTCCGATTGATATTTTATTCCAACAGGCACTGTCTTTGTGTAGACCTGCGCAAGGTATGCTTTCGAGTATTTCTCCATTGATGTACAAGTTGAGGTTAGTTTTTTGATCGTAGGTAATTGCAATTTGAAAAGGTTCCTCCATCATCTCATTCATAATATGATTGAAAGTGAATTGAGATCTAGATTTGGTTCCCGGATTTCTCAACTCCACCATGAACTGATTTCCATTCACGATTCGGAGTACGAAATTCGTACTGGTCAACAGGTCAGAATTTGACAAGGTCACAATAGCAAAGTTGTTGCTGTCACTATTCCTTGTGCTTAACCTGACCCAGCAGTATACCGAAAAACACTTGTTGATGGCATTGGGAAATGGGAAGTTTATTTGATGGTTTGTTAGGAGGAACGGATGAGGAGTTGGGTATTTTTCCAATATTTGAGTCAAAAAGTCAATCACTTCTATACGCAACTGAGCATTCGAACTTTTATAAAGTGGGAACACGAGCTTTTGATAAGTTTCCACATCGCATCCCAGCTCCATCAACACCAAAATCAACTTTCTTAGTGAATTGAAGGTACCACCTGTCTCATCTTTGGTGTTGCTATTCAAAATATTCATGTACAAATCAACGAGTAGTACTATGCTTGCATGATTTTCAATTCTGGCAACTAAGCTGTGAGACAATATCGAGCTTAGCACCTCTAAAACTAGACCTGCGAATTCGTCGCCATCTTGAATATGCTTCAGAATCATCTTGAGCACAGAGTCAATGCTGCAACCACACGAGGTCAATTCAGTATCTGAATCGTAATGCACTATACTAGCTATTGCCTCTTCAATTCCGTATTTGTCCATGCTCTCCACCAAGTCCACCTCCCAATTTAGTAAAACCTCGTCTTCAATTTTGAATTGCGGAAACAACTGGATGATTTCTTCAATTACTTGCTTCTCAGTCGTGTATTGAGACTCAACATCTTTAAGGAGTCCCATGGTCCTCGCCTGAGTAATCCTGACGCTCAAGAGACCTTAGTATGTTAGTGTAGATATTTCCTGGAGTGCAGTATTGTGTTGCAATATTATATTTATCGCGCTTGTACTGTACAAATTGGTTCCGACACTACCTTAAACAATAACGATGTTAAACTTCCTTTGAAATATTTGGAAGAGTTCTGATTTCATTAGAGGCTTGGCTGTGTGTATGTAACCGTTCGTAAAAGATAGTAATCCTACAAGTCAATAGTATGTTACATTTATATTCACAGATATCCCTATAGTACAATTTGAATTTCAAAGTCCTCTTCCAATTCCGTGTCCGCAACAACGTCATTTAGATTCAACTCCTCATCGTCAAATATCATTTTCACGGATGCCAAGTTAACCGTGCTTTCGTCAATTTTTTTCTTATCCAAGTAAAATTTCAAAAGACTTTCTAATTTCGTCTCAGGAGTCACCTTGCAAGAAATTCTCTTGTTATCTTTTCCTTTGAGTCCAATTGAAAAGACACCTTCTTCACCGTTAGCAAGATCGTCCAAGTTGTTAGAATTGGACGGATGCTTTCCATCACTCTCATCGTAGTCTTCTTCGTCTTCACTACTGGATTGGCTTAGCTCCTCAGCAACAGTGGGTTCTTCGACTACTTTAACCTCGGGTTCCATCTCGCTGTTTCGCAACTCAGGGTATACATTCATAAAGTTGTTCTTGTTGTCTTTGGGTATTAGGAGGAAATGCACTTTTGTAGGTGGCATTGTTTCCACTCTGTCGACTAATGCGTTGAATGCCCCACCAGGTGGTTGAATTCTGAGCATTCTCGGTGTAAAAAAGGAATGAACTAGCATCTTCCCTTCGAGCCAAACCAAAGCGCATTCGTCAACGTTATATCGATCTAGTAGTACTGGCGGCAATTGGTTTGCATAGGCGTTAGTGTAGAAATCCACAGCAGATTTTAATATCTTTCCAAACGATTTCATTCCTTTGCAACCTAGATCGACCTCGATAGTTGTGCCCTCTGGGGCGGGAAGCTTTGATGTGATCTTTATGATGTATCGTCTTTTCTTTTCGTCGGCCTCGGCAAACTTGTAGCTGTGATCCGTGAGTGAGGAGTTTGTCGGGTTCTTGGATTTTGGAGAACTCTTCACCGTCTTTAGCTCCACATCCTCTTCGTCCGAGTCATCTAGTAGCGGTGTCGAGAATCTTCCTTCACGCTTGCTAACTTTCTGTTCAATCTCACGAAGAATCAGCTCCTTATCTATCAATGGTGGTGTAGCCAACCTTTTAGAGATTGGGGGCGCGGTTTTGGCGCTAGGCTCCAGTTGTGGGGCAACAGTAGATTTCTTCTCCTGCTCGTGGTGAGCTGCGTTGGTCAGCTCCCTTTTTATGAGTGAGGGTTCTCCACGCTGTACAGCTTGTTCCGAAGTGACAGGTGAGTTGGACGAAACATCGCGGCTTCTCTCCTTGTGTCTTCTCTTCTTTCTGTCAATGCTAGTGCTCAAAGAAAAGAAATCATCCTCCAAAATTGATCTTTTCTTGGGCTTAGGGTGGTCAGTTACCCTGTTTGATGTGGTTTCTACATGGCTGCTCTGCGTTGCCGGTGTTTCATTACTTTGATTGTCCATTGTACTTTCTAGGGTCTATCATCTCTTCAGAACGAGGGTCGTTGGATAGATTGTTTTCTTTTTTTTCTTTCTTTGTGCGCATTTAAAGTATCAACAAACATCAATCACAGGAAAATGGCTAGGGAATAGTAGAGCCACCATGAACTTCAGAGGCAAGGTTTTACTGAACTACGGTAACAATGAAAAATTTTACGATTTAGCCAAACAATACAGGCTGCATTGGGGTGAGAAGATATTTGTTATGAACGAGACTTATGCACATTTATTCAAACACGCGTCAAAAAAGAATGAATACATCCCAAGCACAGAATTGAAGATCAATAACCTAGAGATAAAAGAGGTGGATGCTGAGTATGTGAAATTCAGGTTTGAGTCTACCTGTTCTATTCGTCTCTCGCAAGGGAAGACTTCGTCTGAAATAATCTTGGAAAGCAAGCCCACCCATTTGAAAGACATCATAAACCGGAACGTATTTGCTGCCCAAGTGGGTGGCTTTATTACATCCATGCAATGGTTACCCCGGAGTCTAGAGCTGGAGGATGGTATATCATACTTGGCGCTTGGAGTTATAAGTGGAGAGAAAGGACTCTCGGAGGTCAATGCAATCAACCCAGAGTTGAGTGTATTCAATAACGTTTCTAAAAAGCACCTCCAGTCCTCAATACAGATATGGAAGTACAGTGCGCACTTGAATCAATTGGAGATGCAGAACACATTGGTTACCTCGGATTTTGGGGCTGTCACTGACATTCAGTGGGCGCCAATATACAATGACGACGACGTGTTGGGCGTTTTAGGCTGTGGTTTCAAAAATGGCGAGATTCACTTGATGAAAATTGATGCAGCTTTGCCAACGTTTGGTGTTGTTCTCGAACCCTCTTACAGGTTGAGATCTAATATCAAGGGATCGTCGAATCTAACATGCTTTTCATTTGTCGGTGCTGATAAACTACTATCGGGAACTGCGGACGGGTACATAATGGAGTTTGATCTCCCGCTACGCACAGATGGCGATATAATGCAGCCAAATTTCAAAACTTTTCTCTCTGACGGCCCAATCTCAAGCATTGTTTCGGTGCCCGTTTCCACAAAAGAGAGCGAGCATATTTTAATCATCAATGGTCAGGCTTATAGAGGGGTGGCTTTTGCTTCTCTCAATCCGCTTGTTGATGTATTTTGTCCTTTGTCTGAAAAATCAACGGTGAAGCCAACCTATAACTATATCTTGCAGGATGTCCTCCTAGCACATAACCCTGAGAACAGCAATATTTTATGCCTCAGGTCACTACAGGATACATCTTCTACAATGCTTAGGCTCGATAGTCACATTACAACTTTCAAATTGTCTGAAACAGTAGGGCACCCATTCATGTTAACCGGAACCGATGCAGGAGATGTAATATTGATGAACTACACGAGAAAGTTTTTCTCTAGTAAAGGTGGAAATAAAGTGATGGTGCCTCTAAAGCTATGGAAATTCAGTTTGGATGACAAAGATTCTATTACAGTGTCGGCTGATTACGAGAAAATGAACGTTGAAAGTCCCATTCAAGCTTCATACATGCCATGGCAAATCATGATCAGTGCATTGGCGTGGAACGAAAATGTAGTGGGTAGTTCTATTTACGCTGCTGGTACAGCCTCGGGTATCTTACTCGTGGAAAGATTGGATCCCAATTTCCAAAATTAGTATTTTGGCATAGACGAATCAATAACCTCCGACCATTTGTCGATACCACCGTCGATGCTTTTCACGTTTTTGTATCCAAAATCACGTAGTTTTTTAGCAGCCAACTGAGAATCATTGCCAAACCTGCATATCAAGTAAATGTTCTGGGATTTATTTACTAACGAATATTTGTCTAATGAGTCGAGTTTCCTGAACGTTGGATCCCACTCAATATTGATCGAATTAGGAAGCTTGGTGATGTTGTATTGCTCTTTTGGTCTAACATCAATCAAAACATGATCGCTGTCGGTTTTCAGTAAGGCATTGTAGTCTGCTACTGATATTCTGTATTCTTGCTCTAATGGCTCGTAAATAACCTTGCCACAGAAGCTAACGTAGTCAATCTGCCCACTTTCAATCTTCTCTTTAGTCACTTCCTTGTTAGCACCACACACGAGACAATTTTGTTGCCGTGGTCTCATTTTAAACCGCCTGATTTGTTGATACGGGTAAGCAGAATATGAGGAAAGAAATGGACTGAAATTCTTTTTAGTGTAGTATCGGGTTATGATTTTTATTGTTTCCATTGCCATGGCAACCCCGACCATTCCAATCGCTGGCCCAATGACACCGCCATCGGCACATGACGTAACTGAACTAGGGCTTGGTGGTTGAGGGTAAAAACATCGATAACAAGGTCCCTCGTTCTCAAAATTTAGGATTGTAAATTGTCCATCTGATTTGAGCCCGGACCCGCTCACAATAGTCTTCCCTAGAATAACACAGACATCATTGATGAGGTATCTTACAGCCGGGTGGTCAGTGCAATCAAGAACCAAATCATACTTGCTGATCACTTCGAATGCATTATCGTTGCTCAATCTTATAGGATATGTAGTGATTTGTACATGTGGGTTGATTCTCGTGATGAAATATCGAGCAGATTCACACTTGTAAGTTCCCACAGCTCCAGTTTGATGTATAACTTGACGATGTAGATTACTTGTGTCCACAACATCATCATCAACTATCCCTATCGTGCCAACTCCTGCCGCCGAAAGGTATTCCAATGCAGGAGACCCTAAACCTCCTGTACCCACAACTAGCACCTTCGACAGTTTGAGTTTCTTTTGAGACTCCAATGACCCGAATTCTGGAACAATCATTTGTCTGCCATACCTTTTATACTCATCAAGGCTGAACCAGCCATCCACTTTGGAGTACGGATGAGTTCCTTCTGATGAAGTTTTCTTTAGTCGTTCATTTTCTAGCTCTAGCAACTCTATTTTACGACGTAAGTCGTCTTCGGTTGTCATCTTTGCAGAGAAAATGGAGAATCTCATCTGTATCGCAAAAGAGGTGCGTGAAAATAAAAATTGTCGAAGAGAATCAAATATCAACCTTTGATTACTATGTACTCAATCTATACGATCTTTTGCTTGACAAAGAAGGACTTCAAGTGACGTAATTGATAGACACAAGTTCCAATCAAGACAAACAACTGCACAATCGACCATTTCACAACTCTTGAATTTGTGGATTCACTTTGATCTCTAAACAAAGCTTCTCTTTCTCTCATAGTTTCCTGTTCCCAATGAATCTTGTCCAATTTTTCATACAATCCATTAACTCTTGCTGTTAAATCGTCAACCAGTTTCGTGGATTTAGAGTCAACGTAGTCGTGTGTAGACCCTTGCACAACATCAAAGAATATACGATGAACTTTATTGTGAGTATTGTCGGAATACACAGGGGTCAAGCAAAACTTGTGTTCTCCTGAATCTAAGGAAGTGAATGTGAATTCTCCGCTGGGTGATGATTTCTGATCAATAACTCTGTGGTTGTTGTCAAATGTTTCCTAAAAAAAAAAAAGAACAATAGTTAGCAATTGCTTCCTAGATAAGATGAGTAGCTGGATACATACGTCAATTGTGATTTGAACTTTCAATCTACCGTTCTTGGAATACTCATTTGAATGCTCGTCCTTTTCATAAGCGTCGATTCTTCCCACCACAAGGGTGTCTTGTTGCAATTCTTCAAAGAAACATTTAGTTTCGCCGGTCCTCACATAGAAATGCAAGGCATTTGTAAGTTGAAATAATGCAACAAAAGTTGCAACCAATTTTGCCAAATTAAGCATGTTTGAATGGTTGGTTTTGATAAAGATATTGAGTTGGAGAAAACACGTATGTTTCAGAAATTTCGTTGATTGGAGATTTTTCGGTTGTTTTTTTTTTTTTCCTTTTTCTGAGCTGTCAAATAATTCACGTGATTCCATTTAAATTCTATACGCGTTGCAAATATATATTGTTACACCTATTGATCAACTACCACATCTATTTACCACCTTTCCGCTTATTTATAAGCTTCTTCTTAACATGCTTCTTCATCTTAGTCTTTCTTTTTTCTTGTTTTGCAATTTTAACTGCCTCTTTTCTTGCCTTCTTTTCGTCCTTGTCTTCGAATTTCTTTCCCTTTGGTTTGGCTTGCTCATCTTCTTCTTCTTCATCGGACACTTCGTCGTCACCTTCCTCAGACTCCTCATCAGTTTCCTCGTCGCTTGAGTCGTCATCTTGCTCCTCCTCACCATCAACGGTTGCTGGTGCTGACTCTTGTGACGGTAGAGCAGGCGCAACCAATTCCCTCATCGTGTCTACTCCTCCATCCGAGAATTTTTGAAAATCTCTCTCATCCAAGTGTTTCAAAGATCTCACCAAGTGTAAAGATCTGAAAATTTCATCCTCGATTTCTTGATCCTTTGTGGTTTTCAAGGGAATGGATTCCAAGTAGGATTGCAAATCTGCGTCATTATCTTCAATATCCAAAGGTTCAGTGATAAAATTGAACAAGGACTTTTCGGGATAAACATCAATACTCTGTCTTGAAAAATAGTCATTCACATTTTTGATATCCATTCGCAAAAAATCAAGTGCCATGGGGTGATCTGGTTCTACTGATTGCGAAACATCAATGATGTACAACTTGTCATTGTGAACAATGGAATTGTACTCACTTAAATCTGCATGCACCAACCGACAATTCTGAAATAGCCGTCTCATACAAATTAGCATCTCATGATAGTATTTGTTTATGTCCCCAATGCCCTTGAACAGGTAATCTTTTAATTTAGGAGAAGGCTGGTCATCTCCTTCTGTCAAATACTCCATCACCAACACATGTGACTTGATGACATACGGCTTGGGGCATGGTACATTACTCTGGTAGATTCTATTTAGATTTCTAAATTCCTTTTCCGCCCATATTTTAACCATCTTTCTTGGGTTTCCTTGGTCTTTTGTATTTCTAAATCTGAATTCTCCATCAACATATCTTTTCCTATCTTTGAAAACCAAGATCGATGTCTTGTAAATTTTGACAGCAAACTCCTGCGTCGCTCCTTCATCGTCATGGGTTCCGTGGTAGATATTTGCTTCCTTACCGGTACTGATACAACCATTGATTCTTGTAATGAGACCAGAACGGAAGATTTTACCCAAGAAACGTAATGTTCTTGCGTCCAAAACTTGCTCCACAGTTGCCCTTTTTGCTCTATCTTTGGTTACTTGTGGTCCCTTTTTGAATGGCTCAGTTTTGATCTTGTCGGCATACTTGGTGACTATATCTTCATTTTCAAGTGGCTTTGATACTGCAGGTTTGTTTGCTTGCTTGGCAGTAGTGCCCTCTGTTTCACTCTCATAGTCAGTGTCAGTATCCAGACACAGATCAGATAAGCTGAACTCGTCTAACTTTTGCAGTATCTCCTCGGTGCTCATCGTAGGTGCAAATGAGATGAGTTGAAGAAACGAGCAGAAGAGATCTGAAGAAACAAAAAAAAAAAAAAAAAAGAATAAACAGAGTCGCTCTCTCTGCCCAGGCATTGTTACATACTGCAAACCATGGCTATTCCATCAAGTTTGCAAAGACTTTTACCGCAAGTATGTGATGTGATAATTACAGTTGAGAGATGCTCTACTAACACACGCATAGAAATTTTTGGGATTCATCCCACTATTCATTGGAGTCGAGGTCATTCTCGGAATCACTATACTAAATAAAGCTGGAGGTTTGTATGGTATTTTGTCCCTATTCACTGGCCATCCAATAGATTTCTGGCAGTGGCTTTACAACTCCTTGGCCCTCATCATGTTACCAGTATATGCGACTGCCTTGATAAATTTAAGAAACCAATCACGAAATTTGCGGAAGATTTCATTGGCTACTGTGGTTTACCTTGTAGATACCATTATAGGAACACTTTACACTATATATTTTGTTATTTTCTGGTTCCACTCAGAGGACGGAAGTACTGAAGAGGTCGGTGGTGCTGCTTTGCTAAGAAAGAGAAAAGAAGATGCTAGTGACACGGCAGCTAATTTGTCGTCCCAATCTGCGTCAACTGGAAGAGAGTTGTTTTTCATTTTTGCAGCAACAATTGCCATGAGTGTAATAAGAGTTTACTTTGCGTTGGTTATTGTGAGCTTCACAAAAGCTTTGTTGAAGAAGAACTCTATGGAACAACGGTACAGAGATGGCTCGAATGACAATTCAGTTGTTGATACCGAAGAAAATGAAATTCTAAATTCGACCGGAATATATGGTGAGTTTAGAAAGGCTATCCTCGACTTGGAGATTCGGTCCAAAGAACTCCTTGATGAGTTATTAAATTGAAAAACTGAGACTTGTTTCCTCTTCTCAAATTTGATCAGTTTATATAAAATTATCTATTATTTTGACTTTGTATTGTTTCACTTAGAATTGCAACGTATTGACAGTATTGCGCAGAGAATCGCTAATCTCAGTCGCATACTTCACTTGCAACTGCTTTTCTACTACTTCACACACTCACTTATCCCAAGTCTTTTGGTTAGTTGTCAGTCTACTAGATTTACATATATAATGGTTTAGAAGTATTTTCAGGTAATTGCTTTTCTTGTTTGTGTTGAGCTTTGCCCTAGAAAGTCACATATATGGAAGTGGTTCATTTACAACAAAGTGCTCTCTTACTGTACGATACGCGGTAATGGCGCATTTTTATTAGACAAAACTTTGCTTCCATTCTCCTCCGCATAATTTAAATCATCATTGTACAAGATGGGACAAACACCCAGCACCAACCATGCCAATGACTCTAGAAATAAAGTTCAGAGAGCACTCACAAAAACTGAAATCTACAATCTTTACTATACAAGATGTTTACAAGTGTTGAAGCCACTGGAACTTGCGTTTGTCAAATCCGTCGTGCGTGACAATAAAGATGACGAGAAAGGAACCAAGGTTGTATCGAGAGATAAATTGCTAGCCCAGTTCCTCAACGTGTCCACAACAAGCTCGGATGGACTGAACAGACTACTAGATATCTTGTTTCCTATCATGAAGCGTTTAGGTCAGTTTCCATTCTTGCAGGATAATGTTGCTGCCGGTCAGGAATTGACCTTACATGAGTTTGTGATTGCACTCACATTTATTCTGGCAAGATACACCAAGATGTTGGGTTCAAGCTTTAACTTTTTGGGGCTCTTGTTTGTATCGCTCTCGCAGGATAAGCTGATCATAGGTGCAGATATTGATAAATTTGAGGAAACGCCAGTTGAGATACCTTTGATACATCCGTTTGAAGAATCAGACGACATGAATCTCAAAGCTCGAAAAGTTGACTGGAAAAACTGTAGTGAGTTTGGAGACATGGAAGATGTTGCAACGCAGACAAGAATAGACGCAAGTGGTTTTGTTACAGTGACTACATTGGCACTCATTGCTAAATCCATCCCGTTACTGAAACAGAGCACAATGGGTAATCAACTAATTTCAAGGATACGCCAATGGGACGAATTTGAACTGTACGCAGTATCCCTATTGAGATTCGTCAATGTAAACTTACTGAGCACGAAATTGGATGGGGAGACGATTCTGTACCATGAGTTTTCCCATGTGGTTACGGAGCTTGTACCCAATTTGTATCAAGACGGGTTGAAAAGACTCGCTGCTGAACTTTTCACTCTGCCGAAAGCGGCAACAGATACCACCAAAGGAGGTGACGAAGATTCTAATGAACAAGCACAAAAGAAGCATTTCACATTTGAGCCCACAAAACTAGTAACGCCTGCGACGCTTTGCTACATTTCCTCACTCTTGAAAGGCAGTGGGAGCAATTTACAAGTTACGACGGAGAATGCAGTAAAGTTGTATGCAGGTTCCGAATCCGGTTTCTCCATCCGGTCTTTGGAAACTAAAATATTCAAATGGCAAGCTCCTACATTCTTGGTCGTCAGCGGGAAAAGAATCAAGCAAAAAACAATCGACACCAACAGACGATACCAAAAATTTGATGAGTCGTACCCTCGTTACTTTTTAAAACAAGAGAACAATTTACAAGTCTGGCAGCACGAGAATGATCGCATCACGTACTGTGTCGTCATTCGAGAACCTTGGCAAAGCTCCAACAAGAAAAATTTTGGTGATGAATCGACTACAATTATATCAATTCTGCCTCGAGCTGACTGCTACAAAAGCACACATAGCGACGTCACAAAGGGCAAACTGGTCTACTTCAACAATCAAGGAATGGGGTTGGGGTTTGGTAATTTGCAGCCATTGAACAAAAATGGCAATCAGAGATACTACCCGGGTGATGTTTCATTGACAATAGAGGCCAATTTGGAATTTGCCGTGTTTCGACACTTGGCTCAACTGACAACAACCAATCACGCTACTAATTTCTTTAAACCATCGTGCCAGAGTCAACTTTGTGCTGAGAATTTCGAAGATCGATTCACAATCACTGATCTAGAAGTTTGGGGTATTGGATCAATGAAGGAGTTGGATGAGCAAAGGCAACAATGGGAATGGGAAGAAAAACAGGCCAATGCTAGACAAAGTGTAAATTTGCGCAGTATGGGTGAAGAAAGAGCGTTTTTGGAAATGGCTGGTTTGGTTGGAAACCATGGAAATTACGGATCAGGATGATCGAAAAAAGGAAATACAGAGAAGTAAACTATGGAGTAGAGTTATCTTGAGAGGAGTGAGGGGCTCTATAGTGAGAAATATTGCAGATAGAAATATAGGTTACGGATACTTATCTATATGGATTACCAAGTGAATATTGTGAATAATCAACAGTCACAAATTCGTTCAATCTGGAATTCGCAGCAACTGTTCCATCGCCATTTAAATGGTGATCAGTGCCAACAGCACCACCACCGGCACCACCAGTGGCAGCAACGACTCCATCACTATACTGTTCTTGCATTGCATGTTTATATTGGTGTAGTTTCTCTTGGTAAATTTCAATAAGTTGGCCAAACTTAGAGCAGTAGCGTTCATGCACTCTCAATTTTTCAATCAACTCATCTTCATCTTCATCATTATCATTATCATCATCATCGTGATAATGTCCTCCCTGATTAGATGGATGTTTCCTCTTTTGGAAAATTTGATAAATATCGTCATTAGCCAAGTCCTGGTTAAACAAAATAATCCAACAGTTGATAATCGTTTCATAAGTTAAATTCCTCGTATACTGGAATTCCAGATTAGTGAAATTGGGCAACTTGTGAATCAAATTAGTCAGTTCATGCAAAAACCACAATGATGAAACCAAGTCATAATCATGTTGGTTCGGTGGCAATATCCACAAAATGTAGTCTTCGAGACAATTCAAGAAATCAACAAGGTATGGTTTGATGCGTAAATACGAGTAATCAGAACTAGAGTCGCATTTATAAGGTAATGAATTGATGATGGTGTCAAGTTTGTTGCTCAAAATAGACAAGATTGATTGTATAGATGGTGGTTGGGCGATTCTGGTTATAGTTTGATTTAGTTCTGGATGGATATCGAGTAAGGAGTAGAGTAGTTTTGTCATTTCTGGTTTGGCCAAAGTCTCAATGATTCGCGTTGGTGGAAGTGGTTGGCCAATTATGCGAGGAGTCTTGCTCCGTTTGTAGTTCCTAGATGATAATGCAGCTGCAGGTGTTGTTGAACGTGACGTTAACGTAGGTGTATTTTTTGGTCTGTGTGATGAGATGTTTGTGGAGGATGTAAAGTTGAATTGTTTGCGATTATTGAGCAATATAGATGATTTATCAGGTTTGCTGTCTTGCTTCCCATTCTCAACAATATCATCCTCTCCATTGGTTTCCCCCTCGTCTAGCCGCTTCCTCTTTCTCGTGACACTAGATTCTGCTACTGATCGCGGTGTATGAAGTTGGTGACTAGACGACGTTTGGTGATGACATGTATCTAGCTTGTCTCCAGTTTTGGGGTTATTGTTGATTCCCCATTGAAATCCAGCGGACATCATACTGACAAAGATATCTCTTGTTGAAATTATTGTTGGAAACTTGGCGGTGGCAAAGCTGTGGTTAAATGGCTAGGGTAGTAATTTAGTCACAGTCGTGTAATGCAAGGTAAAAGTGAGTAAACTCTCGGTTAAACAAATGTGTATATATGAGCGTTTATGTTATGTGCGACCCTCCCGTGGTAAATTTATCTAGTGAAATGATGGATGATTAGTATGCTTCAAAGGATGTGGTGATTTAAATTGTAAGTACTGTACGTTATCAGATGTTACTTTCCTTGATATTTTTTTTTTTCTTTTCTTCTTTCTTCTTCTGAAATTGTTGCACGCCTTCTTTCATTCTTGAACAAAAAAAAAAAAAAAAGAAATTTGAAACCTCCCACCAGAGCTACCAACTACCAGCCAATTTTCAATCAGTCGATATACACAACACACCAACTATTTCAACAACTACGTAGATGAAACACGTTAAACTACCAAGAGGCTGCATACTTGTCTTCCTTCACTTCGTTTATGTATAAGAAAACGCAACTACCAACTCAAAGTTATATACAACATGTACAGACCTGTCTTCCGTCCTCCATTCCTCAATAATAATCATTACCTTCAGCTTCGCTATCACTAAACGCACTCTCGTAATCGTCATCATCCCCACCAAACGCAGATTCACTCTCGACATCATAATCAGCCTCATTGAAGTCCTTAAACCTATTCCTCTTCAACTCAACATCATCCTCGTCGGCATTGGTACCTATTCCACCCTCACCAGTAGCTTTCGAATTGGTGAAACTTCCACTAATTGCAATGGCAGGCACAGCTTTTGATGATGATGGTGACGTTGACGAAAAAATTCCACCATTATTACTACTTGTGTGATACGAATCATTGGTGCCTGCACCATCGTTGTTGATATTTGTAACATCCTTCTCAATTCCCCTGTTTTCTTCTGCATCTTTTCCCTCTTCGACTTCTTCTGCTTCTTCTTCTTCTTCTGCTTCTTCTTCCTCTTCCCCCTCTTCCAATTCCTTCTCCTCTAAGTCAATCTTCATCTCTTGTAAAATATCAAAACATTCACTCAACAAAGCACAAACAGCTCCTTGACCTTCGGGCACAGTCTGGTGCACAATAAACTTACCATCTTTTCGTAAATTATCAATTGAAGCCAACTTGAATTGGAAAGGATACAATTCTCGCAAATTATTTAATCCATCAACACGTTTCAACTCTAACAAGCATCGCTTAACCGTTTGCAACTGGTTATGGATCGGTGCCAAACTCTCACTAACTGGCTCACTACTCTCCAATAATTTGTAAACTATTGAATAGCATTTCCTCAACAAGTACAAGATCAATGTTTGATATTTCTTATATTTACCCTTTGGAGTTTGGTTGAAAATTTTGATCCTTGCATCATCAATTGATTTCAAAGTCTTTTGGTAATTGTATAAATCCGTTTCCCTCAATGTCCACCTTCTAGTCAATAAAATATTTTCCAATGTCGATTTCATATCTTGTAAATTCTTATAAACTTGATCATATTGACTCTTTAACTCAGAGTTGCCATCATCAATCTCCAACTGTTGTAAAGCATACGTTTCATCGTGGATCAACAAATCAGATATCAAGTTGTTACAATCATCAAGCAATCCATTGAGAACTGCCTCTATTGAGTCCAACTTTGCTTCATCTTCAACTTCAGTGCTATGGAATTTGCCATCTGACTCATCACGCAAAGATTCAATCTGTTTCAATTCATTTCGGTACCCAATAAGCTTATCTTTGATTTGATTCCTCTTGATGGCATCATCGTCACCTTGACTAAAATCGGTAACCACCGTCAACAACTCATGTCTCAAATCAATTAAATGGTGATAAATTGGCTCCAAATCATGAGGTATATTTTCAAAATTATCAACCAACTGCTTAAACAAATCCTCACACTTGATCAACTTGTTTCGTAATAAATTCTCCTCAATTTGGTGATTCTGCAGCAACCTGCCGCCACCCAACGCACCACAATTTCTTGCTCTCCCTCCTTCTCCTCCTCCTCCTCCTCCTCCTCCTACTGCTGCTGCTGCTGCTGCTACTACTACTCCCACATCCTCCTCCTCTTCATCATCATCATCATCAGCAGCATACTTGTCCTGACTCGATAGTATAATCTCACTAATTTCCGACAATCGTTGCCCCACGGGCTCCAAATCAGCCATGGTATACACCTTGCACTCCTTCAAATGGGTCAACAACTTCATCACCGTGCTCAAGCTAGAATACGTCGCTGGTGCAAACTTGATCAACCCACAAGTAACAAAACACAAACTCAACAATTGGAAAATATCATCAATTATAGAATCATTGCTATTGGGCAAATCCAACTTCATTCCCTTCAACTCCTCGTCTTTTCTGGTCAATTTCAACTCATTGATCACATTGAGAAATTTGTCATAAAGTGAATAAACTTGTTTCAGGTCAATATATTGATTTCGATTGTTTTTAATCTCAAGCAAGTTCTTGTATAACGTCATGAATTGGTCGAAAAGTGATCGTTCATATGATGGGATGGAGGGCTTGCCTGATGAGGGAGAAGATCCAGACGCACCTGCACCTGCACCTGCACCTGCACCTGCAGTGGTGGCGGTAGCGGTAGTGATGGCCGTGCTGGCCGTGGTGGCGGCAGATGAAGCGGGTCTAGACAATGTGTGCGCATGTGTCGATGATGAACCGGAAGGAGTTCCGGGACGAGAGTGTGGGGTAACAAGTCCTGAAATAGTCATGTATGTAGGTGTATAATGTACGTGTAGTTGTATTGTCTGTTATGGATGGGTATTACTGTTTATATTAATATGTGTTGCTGTGTACAACTATTTGCTTGTCGTTGTTGTATCACCTTTATTTGTTCACTAAGTTTTGTCCATTCCTCTGACAAAATAGAAAAAAAAAAAAATGACATGAGTGAATGAAGACTATTTTATTTTTTTTTGCCCTTTGTCGGAGAAAATAGGAACAAGAGTAAATGCGCATGATGTACAAGCATATTATGCACAAGATGGGGGTTATGAGACACCGAGCAATGCAGGCTACACCACGGTTTGAAATGGAGTTATGGTAAAGATTAGTTTATTACGTGTAGTATACACTCGGTTATCAATCTAGAAGCAATTCCATGTTTATCTCTATATCAAGTCATCAAACTCATCATCATCATCGTCGTCATCGTCATCGTCATCGTCATCTTCTTCATCATCTTCATCATCTTTTTCTTGTTCAGCAAGTTGAGCATAATATTGAGCCAATGCATTTTGCGCTTCTTGATCCTTAAGATCAGTGTGTGAATTGGAAGTATTATTAATTGTTGATTGTAGAGGCGAAGTAGATACAGCACCCGAAGAAGTAGCAGGCTCCGGTGTATGCAATACCGAAGACAGCTCTGTGCCTGTATCATTTCCATCTTCCAATGTACCATTTCCTCTACCTTCTTGCTTAACATTTTGCTCACCATTCTCTCTCTTGACTCTTTCTCCTTCTTCTCCAATTTCACCATCTACATCTTCTTCCTTCACATAATCCACATTTTGCGAATTACCAACAGTACTATTGGAATGCCATGAAGGTAATGCATTTTGTTCCAATTTTTGTCTTCTTCTCTCCTTTTCCAATTGTTCACGTTCGTAATTCTCATCATTAGCAGTAATTGAAACATGCAAAGTGGCTTGTGATCTTGCTGCGGCATTCTGCATGGATTGGGCATTGGCCCCAAAACCCGACCTTGATTTAGAACTAACACGATTCGATAATGTGTATTGAGCTGATGTAGTTGATTGTGCAGGAATAGCTTGTAGCAACGAGCTTTCAAAATCATTATCTTGGATTTGCGAATCATCAATGATTTTCAAGTACTTGATTATAGGGTCAATTTGTAACATTAAATCTTCAAGTTTTTCTTGTTTTAGAATGGCTTGTTGTGATGAATCATCCTCAATCAAGACTCCTTGACATACATCACATATAAATTCAGTTTTATCTTCACTCAATAAGGAAATAGCATCCAACTGTGATACTTTTTTACCACATCTAGGACAGACATACCCTTGGGGATTACCAAAACTGGACATTTCTTGTTTCAAATGGTTAACAATAGTATGGACTTTCCATTTGATGGAGTCAATAGCTTCAGTTATATGTATATAAAAGTAAGTTCGAGTGACATACTTCTGTTGTCCATTGTCTTCTCTTTGGATATGATTTATCAATAATCGATCTTCAACTAGTCTATTACAAAGTGATCGTAATTCTTTTCTTTTGATACCAATCAAGTGGATTAAATCGTCTTCTGATAGAACAGAGTGACGTAGTACGGCATCTAGAATCAAGACATATGGTGTGCTGTAGAATCCTCTGCTAACAAACCTGATTAAAGACCTGACTGAGTCGTCCATAAAGATGTATTGTGGAAGGAAGAAGGATAGGTGGGTAAACGAAGGCTAAATGAACCGTGTCTAGGTTAAAGTTGGTGATCAGAGAGACAGACAGAGAGAGAGAGAGAGAGAGAGAGAGAAACAAAAAAATAAAAAAATAAAAAAAAAAAGTGATAAAGGTCGTGCAATTTGGCGATATCTTGCAACTATACGGTTGTATAGAGTGAGAAAGTCCACTCTCTTGAAGTGCAAGAAGAAGAAGAAGGCAACTTTGTTGAAACAAGTACAAGAAGACACATTGAGGACTATGATGATTTCACAGATTAGTGAATTTCAAACTAGTATCAGAGTTTTCCATGAGCATTCAAAACAAGCATTTTCTCAAAGATCATCAAGATTTAATTGCTGTATAAAAAAAACCAGTAGCTAAAGTGTAATTGAAGCCAAGGAGAGGTTGAGCTATAGTGAACGGTAATCTATTTATATTTGCATTCAAATTCGAGCAAAAGGAAAAGTGCCAGACTTTGTCGTTGAACTTATCGCCTCGGCAAACTATTGATTTAATTTACCAATATAAGACATTTTAAACTCAACCCCTTGAAATGTGAAGTCATTCGTACGTGCAGAGCAAAGAGGATATAGAGAGGACACTTGTCTATCCCTGGATACTACAAAAAGGTAAAATACACAACTTATGATGAAAAGATAATGGGGGAAATTGGAATGAGATACCAAAAAGGCATTTGTTAGCTGTGGGACGTAACAAATGAGTACATATACGAATACAATCTTGAATTTAAGTTTAAAGTCTGAAGTGGTGGCAACAACAACAACAACAATAAAAGTCTAACTAGTAATGATGTACTCTTTAAAAGGAGAAAAGATGATGAGATTCTAATTTAAATAAAAGACAAATTTTTAAACAAAAAAAAAAAAAAAACAAAAAAAAACATTTCGCGTTTTCGTGTTTTTGTGTAATATATATATATATATATATGTAATTTGTGAACAAAGAGAAGGCGTGTAATGCAAATGTAGTACAAAATATGGATATTGTGTAATATGTATATTCAGTGAATTGTTTCATGTTAACTTATATGGATTAAAGAGAGACGCGTCTTCATGCTATAATTTGTTATATTTAGATATAGATATAAATATGTGTGTGTATGTGTGTGTGTGTATGTATGTATAGAGTAATATACTATTTATCTATCAATACCTCTGAATGTGTTTGCTTTCTGATATTACATGAAATTTTGCTGTTGCTTTCATTAATTATTATTCTTCTACTTAATATTGTATATATTTCCCAAAATCCATCTACCATTTACCATCTGTATACCGCCTTATCTTCACCCAGTCACACATATTTTTTATTTTAGAGTCAAGTATATATAATTGTTCATATTTCTTCCTACTAATTCTTCTTCTACTTCTACTTCTACTTCTTCTTATTCTTTGAGTAGGTTTAACAAATTTCATCTGATTGTCGCAAACCAGAAAAAAAAAATAAAAAAGGATTTGTGTGTTTTTGTTTATTTTTTTTTTTTTCTAATTTTTTGTTTGCTTTGTCACATTCTTCATCATCTTTTTTTTATCCCAACGATTGCCACAGAAACGCAAACCTTAGATACACAGATACACAAACTACATATACACATACACATACACATACACATACATATACATATACATATACACAAAGTTCCCCTGTATTTTCAATCAAACGCCAACTTTCCAGTGCTTTCATCATCTTTTGGTTTTGGTCTTAATTCTTTTTATTTTTTTCTTACCTACTTCACCACCTGCTGCAGAGCAACTTCAAACTACCATTCCTCAAAAATTAATACTCAGCTAAACTTTACCACCATCACCACGACGTACACACAGAGCACGTCATTGTTTAAACACTTGACAACTTGGCATTGACTTTCAATCATGTCATCTATATCTGCCACTGATAAGTCATCCGGTGATAGACTCCCATTGCTGGACTCTACCAACACAAACACCAATAATATTACAACTATTGCACCAGCAGCTACTACCACCACAACCACACCTTCAAAGTTGACCAGATACCGTTCCACTTCTTCATCTACTCACACGCCCCCTCATACAGCAACTACAACCAGTTTCTCTTCATCCATCAAGACTGCGAGCCATGGAGGATTCGACGCATTTGGATTCAATACCCCTTTACGCACATCGTCAACAACTACACATTTAGATCCAAAGTCCATTTTGTCTTCAATAAACTACGAGCCAAAAACTTACAATATGCAATCAACTTATTTATCACCTGCTTCTTCATCACCACAACATCAAGCTCAACCACAACAACACTCACCGCAAACGTTTGCAGAAGAACCAGAGAAGGAGAAAGGGTCACCGCCAAATAAGAAAAAGAATAGTAATTCGTCTCCTGCCACAAAAGAGGAACAAGAAGAAGCATCCACGAGTACTTCTTCCACTGACACTGCTTCCACAACTACCTCAAACACAAGCGTCCCCAATAAACCATTCAATTTATACTCCGAGGAGAAACCACCTTACTCATATGCCACTCTTATTGGAATTGCAATCTTATCTCAACCTCAAAAAAGATTGACTTTAGCCAACATTTATCAATGGATATCAGATACCTTTAACTTCTACAAGAAGGAAGAAGTTGGGTGGCAAAATTCCATAAGGCACAACCTATCACTCAATAAAGCATTTGTCAAGGCAGAAAAGTCTAGAGATGGTAAGGGCCATTATTGGCGTATTAAACCAGGGTTTGAAGAACAGTTTTTGAGAAGCAGAAGTGTGAAAAAGTCGTCTTATCATGAAGTTATGGATCAGCTCAATTATGCTACAAAAATGAATGCAGCTATGGCAGCAGCTGCTGCTGCAGATGAGGATGCAAAGGCAACAACTACAACTACAACGATTACTGAAACCGCGAATCCTTCCGTTTCTAATACGACCAAGGAGACCACAACTGCTCCAACTCAGACTAAGAGGAGTACCAATGGATCCACCTCCATAAAAAGGAAAAGAAAACAGCCAATTATGTTGATGTCATCTCCAACCATACCCCAAAAGAAATTAGTTGAAGATGACAGAGATTTTAGTGTTTCTGAGGATAACGACGATGAATACGGAGAAGAGGATATTACTATATTGGATCCTCCTGTCAAAAAGTTCAAGTCTCAGCGGAATAGTGATGATGACTCAGAAGAAGAGGATTTGCTATCCCAAGCATTGACCAAACTGAAATCAGGAAACTCCTATCTCTCTGAGTTACCAGCATGGGCTGCCAACACTTTATATTCCGAATCACCGACTAAACTACCGCCAATTTCTCACCTCACGAATTCAGTATTATCAACGCCAAAATCAACTCCAAATAGCAATTCAAACAGAAGCAACGGTAACATTAATGTACCCCATTTTCACATAACTGAATCTCCTGAGAACCCCATATTTGCAGGAAAGAACTTGACATTTACGTCATCGTTCAGTTGCAACTCAAATTTCGAACTTTCACCAATGAGGACGAGTGAAACAGGACCATTGTTGGAGCCAGTTACTCCATCAAACAATAACGCAAAAGGAAGTGGCTGTCATCCACAAATTGCACAATTGGCTCAACTGCAACCTCTGCTGGTGCTGCTGTCGGCCCACTTGCAACACACCAACAGCATATTTGGATCCACATCAAAGCAAATGTTTATTTTCACAAGAACACCCAAATCCGTAAGTACACCACTACGTAAAACTCCAACCACAAACTCCATAATATCGTATCTTGAAGAGTATTTCAGTCCATTAAATGATAACAACAACCAACTGCAACACAGTCAACCACTACTTCATCAATTGCCCTTTGCAAATAACCTACACATTCCAGCTCTGCATCCATTACACTATATACAAACGCCAACCTCGACTAATGCAACTACATCATCGTCATCCAATGCTGGTTCATTGTTGATGCAACTGACCATGCTATCGGGCTCTGTGTCATCGTCGACCTCCTCGACATCAGCTTCTTCGTCGCACCTGAAATTGAACAACGTCGTCGCCAGCAGCAGCAGCGCTAGCACTAGCACTAGCACTAGCACTAAGGACTGCGAAAAGGACGATGGCGGATTCACCGCTTTCCAATCGAGTCCATTTTTAAAACGCGGGTTTAGTGAGAGTTCGAAAAGCAGACGTTTAATTCACGAATTGGAAAAGTTGCAGCGTGACTCTTAGATTGTGAGGCAATATGGGGTGATGCTAGATTGTTGAGAAGTGATGGTCTGAAAAGTTAATGGAGTTTGTATTGATATCAGGCTTTTGTTCTCGGGATGGGTCTTGGTTGTTTTCCTTTTGTTACTTTCTGGTGCTATGGGACACTTTGTTGATGTCATTTATAAGGATATAGTTGTGGGTACATTAGAATATTTACACAGGCCATTTCTTGTCTCCTTTTACATCGTAGTTATACAACGATGATTATTCTCTATCAAACACTAAAACTCCCACCACCATGTTCCAAAATCCAAAGTTCAGTGCGGGACATCTCCTTCTTCACAACAACCTAACCTAACCTAACCTAACCTAACCTAACCTAACCTAACCTAACCTAACCTTACCCCCCCAGTTTAATCACTCGACGCACATCCGCGACATCCACAAGTAACACACTCAACATCAACCTTATCATCCTGCCCCCGTCTCAACAAGTCCACTTTGGGAACACGACAAATACAAGTCGACGACCCCGAGCCACCCCTGCTACCACTAGCACCACTTGTGCTGATGCACTGAGTACAACAGAGTCTCTCATATCCCTGTTTCTTCCATTTGGCAATCAAGAGCCCATCCACATAATCCTGCAATGTGAGCCACAAGTATAGCTCGTCGCTGATTTTGCCTCGCTTGTGCAAGTCGTACACGTATTTGGTAACGTCGTGGGTTATTTTGTAAATGGGCCATAGCGAGGTGGGCTTGGTGGTGGGGGACACTGATGTGGTGGAGCTTGAAGTGGTTGCTGATTTTAGCTTTTGTTTGTATTTGAGGATCGTAGGCGCTATCTTGTCGTATCCTTCTGGAGGCGGTGATGTTTTCTTGATCTTGAGCTTCAGTTTCGATGTGCGTGGCATATTTCAAGGATGGTTGTGCTTTATCAGTGGGTGTGGGACGGCGTATGAATGGAATGAAGGAAAATGCAGAATCCGTTTTGCTTATGTCTTTGTTTTTTTGTTTTTTTTTTTACATTTGCGGTTTTTACGAAATATTCTACAACAATGCAAATTCTAGGAAATATTGCAACATTCACCCTACCCTACTCGAATCCGTTATTCTTCTCTACTATCCGTCTCCTTTAAATATTGAAACATTTAAGTGGAATTACCTGAGGCAATAGCGTGAAGTTTGATGGCATGAGAGAAAAAAAAAGAAAAAGGAAAAAGAAAAAAAAAATTAATATCGACAATGACAGGATTTGAACCTGTGCGGACAAAGTCCATCTGATTACTTAATTAAGTATTCTTTGTACTCAAAAGTTCGAGTCAGACACCTTAACCACTCGGTCACATTGCCACAACCACTAGGCCAACAAGCCTAATTTTTTCAAAATTTTGAAGTCTGCTTTTTATAACAGACTCATATTTGATCATGTGTCAATAATCAAAATTGGTTTATGTTGGCCTCTGGACTGTCTTAAATAGACTTCTATACTTTGGAAAAATTACAATGCTACCTTTTAAACCAAGAATGTATTACCTTGGCCCATTAGTTTTTAAATTTGCGAACCAAACTAATATTCAACCTGGTTCATTAGGGGGGGGGAGGGGAGTTTGTATTATTAAAAAAGAGCACAATAGGTCTTCAAACATATAACGAAGATGAATGCACTACTGAAACAGGATATAAGAAAACGGTTCAATCTATGTACTACGGAAACTGGTTGTTCTGTCTTGAAAGCTCCTTTTTTCTTTTTTTTTTTTTTTGCAACATAATTTCAACTTCGGAAAAGTAGAATGCCATGGCCAAGCTCTTGCAAGACTTCAAGCCATAATGTTTCAAAATTAAACTAGTATGAAACTATTTAATGTTTGGCTTGAGGAATGTTGAATTTATGGGGCGTGGTGCTCACAAAGACGAAATGCTATTTGTTCGAACAATAGGCTTAGGAATATCCAAATTCATTAGTTGTTTGATAGCAAAATCTCCAATTTTAATGGTGAACCCTCGTGTATGTGATGATGATTTGAGTAGTCTGTTCAAAGTATTAAGGAACAGACTCTGGATGGCATTCAAACAAAAATGAGTGTGTGGGTATTATGTGGTATTTGTGGCCATTTGCATGCAAAAAAAAAAAAAGGAAAATCATTTTGAGAGTGTTATAGTTGTATTGATTTGAAATACAATGAGTGAGAAGGTTATCCAGGACCAACTATACACTCTCCTAGCTGATGATTAAAATACTTTGAAATTGGTTCCAAACTGTGGCTTTCACTGGAACAGTTAACAGTTTTAATAGTTGCAAAAACAAGATTGTTATCTCGTTGTTTGAGAGAAGTTTCCACAATGCAATCTATTATACGTTTTCCAGCTATGAGAACTTTTGTTTCCCCAAAAGTCCGTCCACTCCAAGACGCCCCTCAAAAAATTGGGGTCTGGGGGGGGGGGGGTTCCGTGGGAAAACGAACAATGCAAGTTCATGCGGCAGCCCTTGTGTCTGATTGTGTAGTGGGGGGAGGGACGAGAAAAAAATGGAGATGTCCGCAGAGCTATTGGTGGAGGAGGTTGCATGCGCTAATGTTCTAACTCCGCATTTCAGTGAGCCAAAATAGGGAACAACGGAAAAATAAAACTGAGAGGGATCAAGAAGCAGGACACACAATTGAAATATAAAATAGATAATAATGTTGGCTTTTGCTATCGTGATTACTGCTGTATAAATATCTAAGGACAAGATTCGTTTCAATTATAGTAAAGAGTAAAGTTTTCCAAATCAGAACAGCCTTTATTTCGAAAGTACAGACCCAGTCCAACATGATTCAATTGAAAGGTAAAAATGCTTTGATTACAGGAGGAAGTGCAGGATTGGGTGCAGCAATTGCCCACCAATTAGCAGCTGAGGGAGTCAACATTGCCATCAATTACGCTAATAGTAAAGAACGTGCGGAGGCGTTGGCCAAGGACATTGAATCCAAGTACGACGGCGTTAGAGCAGTTACCTTAAAAGCAGACGTATTCAAGATTGATGAATTAACAAAATTGGTTGATTCTACGGTTGAGCAATTGGGTGGGATAGATATACTTATTTCCAATGCCGGGTGGACCAAATTTGTCGAATATGATGATTTGGAAGGAATGGACGAAGATGTTTGGGATGGCACTTTCAATGCCAATATCAAAGCCCACTACTTCTTGTTCAAAGCCGCTAAAAAGTATTTTGATGCCAATGTAGACGGGGGTGTATTCATAGCCAGTGCATCGGTAGCTGGACTCATAAACTACGGATCATCAATTCCGTATGCTGTCAGTAAAGCAGGATTGATTCATATGATCAAGTTTTTGGCCAAAACTCAAGGCCCCAAGGTGAGGTTGCATGCTGTTTGTCCAGGATTGCTTTTAACTGAGTGGGGCAAAAAGTTTCCTCAAGAGAAGATTGATTTGTCTAAACTGAAGTCACCACTTGGAGAAGTTACCGATGTTGATGAATGCGCTGCTCAATATATCTTGTTGAGTAAGTTGGCTACATCTACAGGAACCGTTGTGACTATGGATGCGGGTATTTCATTGTGAGGAATGAAAAAACAGCAACAGCAGCAGCAGCAGCAGTAGCAGCAGTAGTAGTGGTAGTAGTAATGCAAGTTTTCGTTTATCAGTGATAGAAGTAGTGTGGAGTAATATGACGTGTAAGGAGTCATATATTCTAGTTTAATGAGCAACAATAGAACAGAAATAAATTAAATTTTGCAGGCAGAGGCAAAGTTTCTGCCATGCAATGAACTTGACCAGAGTATCACTTATGCATTCAGATGGACGTGTCGCAAGTATCATATAGCAGTCCATAGATCACCAGATGCTGACTCACCATTGTTTTTTGAAGCAACAAGATGCAATTTTGCAATCCGATAAGCACCCAGATGTCAAAATCTCAATACATTGAGGAAAGAATACGAGAACCCCCTTTTCCCTCTCTGTCTCCCCCCCACCACAGGATATATATACAAACACAAACTCTCTTGGATTTGATTGCTCCAGAATTGTCCTATCAATGATATCCCTAACAAGCCTACCGTGTGAAGCATTGGAAGAAGTATTCCATCAACTCAATCAGCACTATGTCGTAGCACTTGCCCCATTGCATTCCAAGTTTCACTACATTGCTAAGCCCAAATTATACAGAAACATATATGTGTACTCACCATGGTCTAGAATACAAGATGAGACAGAATCGAATGAGCAAAAACAAACGTTTCACATCTCCAAGAGCTTCCACAACCTCAAGAGCCAAAAGTATTCCATCATATCGTCCGATACGTTTGAGAGGTATTTGGCAAAAATGGACAAGACGCAGAAGATTTATCATTTGGAACTATACGACTATCATATGACATTGATTGTTTGTATTCTTAGACACTTCACCAATCTTAGGTACGTTGAGTTCGTGGTTCACTACTACAGTGATCCGATATTTGAGCGAGTGTGTTTTCGGTATTCTCAAAATTCTTTTGGAAATGAATCTCCTGGGACAACTTTTATAGTTGCGTATTGGGTGCAGAGTATAGACCTCGACTTACAACAAGGTATCAACCAGATCAAAATCATTGGCAGGAACTTGGTAAACCAATTTGATTATATTCAACGGTTTAAAAACTTAACTAAGTTGAAGATCTGCATGGTTAGCTATGAAAACATACCAGTCAGTGAGTGCCGATGCTTTGTGAGACTTCAAGTGTTGGAGGTGAGTTATTCCCTAGATGGTTATTATTGTGTCCCTCGTTTTCGATTGAGTGATGTCTTTGAGACTCGCTTTCTCCAAGAATTGGCAATAGATGGAGACATGAATGCAAGCACTGTGTTCAAAAGTAGCGATTTGAGTCAAGAGTTTCCAAGGTTGGTGCAATTATGTTTGCGATTTATAGGCGAAGTGTACGCAAACTGCGGACTTCAGGACTTGGGTTGTTTTGAACATAGGAAGCTTAGATATCTTATCATGGCAAGCCATGGCTCTTTGGCAAGTGATGCAGCAGCTGTATGTGACTTGTGTGCAAAGTATCCCAATAGTAGTATCAATTGGTGGTACCAGCCGGAGATTAATTTTACAGCATTGCTAACTCACAATTTTAAAGTCCTCAGTCCCAATCTTCCGTTTGGAGTCGTTGGCTACCACTTTTATCATTTGGGCAATGAGGATCTATCAAACTTCAAACGGAGCGTTACTAACGCGTTAACGAAAGAGGTGATGGAAGTAGAATTCAAAAGATGTTATACCGAAGCTGAGTTGGAAGCCATGTATGATTTTACAAATGATCCAAGGATTAAAAGATGTGAACATTAGATTGAGAAAATTAGAGTTCATGACGTCATTATTATCATTATCATCATCATCGTCATCAAAATTACGTAATCAGACACGCAATAAGCTTATAGGCAAGAAGATGAAAAAGAAATTCTTTTTTTTTTTTTTTTTTTTTTGATTTTTTCTTGCGTAAGACGTGTCATTTTGTGAAGTACGTCAAGTACTGTGTGTGTAAGTGTGTAAGGTTACATCATGGAGAAGAAGAGACAGATCACAGTAACAACAGTTTAAAAAGTGCTGAGTAGCCAGTAAATACATACTTTTGTAGATGTATATTCTAATTTTTGTTTTTACAAAGTATGTATACATATATATTATATGTATATGTATATGTAATAAATATAGTATATATATATGTAATTAATTTTGTGTATTCATTAATTCACAATTGCGAAAGGAGTTCTTCACAGGAGAAAATATAGACACACGGCGTTGCAATCACTTTCACTGTACAGGTATCCAAAAACACTTTTACAACCACACAACTACCCTAATTCATCATCACCATCATCTTCTTCTTTTTCTTCTTCTTCTTCATACGGAACACATTCAACACACATCATCGCATATCCTTCAGCAACACCCACACAATTCCTTTTTCAAACATTTTATAAATTTTTTTTGTTTTGTTTGTTTTTTTTGTTTTTTTTATTTCAATTTTTTTATTTTCACTGATCTGCTTTCTGCTCATCACTACCCAATTCGTTTTTACATAAGCTGGTAACCACACCCACATACCATGGCTGTCGCAAAGAGTTCCCAGTCTACTTCGACTGTGGTCTCCACTTTGGTTGCTAACATTGTCCTATTTGGTATATTTGTCACTTGTTTCATCTTGTTGCGATTGAAGTTTAAACGTATCTATAGTCCCAAATCTTCATTCAACTTGGTTCCAGAGGAGAAAAAACCAGAACCACTACCCAAGGATCCTTTCAGATGGATCTTCATTGTATTAACCAAACCGGAATCATTCATTTTGCAACAAGCTGGTCTAGATGGTTATTTTTTCCTAAGATACTTGAAAATGTTTGGTTACTTGTTTGCATTTGGTTTACTCACTTGGATCATATTGTTGCCTGTCAATGCAACAAATGGGTTCCGCTTGGACGGATTCGATCAACTCTCCATTGCCAACGTCAAACACGAACAGCGATACTATGCTCATGTCTTTATTGGGTGGATTTGGTATGGAGCCATAATTTATGTTATTTATCGCGAATTATTTTTCTACAATTCCTTGAAAAATGTTGTATTGTCAACACCCAAATATGCAATGAGTTTACCCAGTAGAACAGTCATTTTCCAATGTGTTCCCGACCCACTCTTGGATGGAAAACAGATATTCAAAATTTTTAATGGTGTCAAGCGTATTTATGTATCAAGAACATCAAAACAATTGGAAGATGCAGTCAACACAAGAGCAGCTATGGTTAATCGATTGGAAATTGCTGAAAACAAACTTTTAAAATTGGCTGTGAAAAACAAAATCAAGGCTGAAAAAAAGGGTAAAACTTTGGAGCCTGCAGATGAAATTAGTGCATATGTACCGGAAAAGAAACGTCCCAGATTTAGAGCAAATGGATTCTTTTCTTCAAAAGTCGACACTATTAGATATTGTCAAGAACAAATTCCTATTTTGGATGCAAAAGTGAAAGGATTGCAAAAGAAATTTAGACACTCACAACCAAATAATTCTCTTTTTGTTGAATTTTATGACCAATACCATGCTCAGTTGGCCTACCAATCAATTGTTCATCACAATCCCCTTCGCATGACCCCAGCCTACATCGGTGTAGCACCAGGGGATATTCAATGGAGAAACTTGCGTATTTTTTGGTGGGAAAGATTGACGAGAAGAGCTTTGGCATTTGCAGCAATTGTCGCTGTTATTATATTCTGGGCAGTCCCAGTTGCTTTTATTGGTGTTATTTCCAATTTCAACTACTTGACCAACAAATTACCGTGGTTGAGATGGATTGAGCGTTTGCCCAAACAATTGTTGGGAATTGTTACTGGTATCTTACCAACAGCCATGCTCTCCATTTTGAATATGCTTTTGCCAATGTATATTCGTGCTATGGCCAAAGTTGCCGGTGCCGTGTCATATCAGAGTATTGAATTGTATACTCAACTGGCATACTTTGGCTTTCTTATTGTCAATGGTTTCCTTGTTACTGCATTAGCATCATCAGCAACAGCAACAGTTACCCAAATCATTGAGGAACCTACATCTGCTTTGAATATCTTGGCTGCGAAATTACCATTATCGTCAAACTTCTACATTTCATATATAACTTTACAAGGTATGACTATAGCTGGTGGTTCATTGTTTCAAGTTGTGGGATTGTTTTTGTATTACATTTTAGGATACATCTTGGATAACACTGTTCGGAAAAAATGGAATAGATTCAGTGGGTTGGGAACAGTTGCATGGGGAACCGTTTTCCCGCTTTTCACTCAATTGGCCACCATCACACTTGCATATTCAATGATTTCACCATTGATTATTGCATTTGCTTTGATTGCATTTGCCTTGATTTACATTGCATATTGTCACAATCTCTTGTACTGTTTTGTTGAAGGACCAGATACTAGAGGTCAACATTATCCTCGTGCATTGTTTCAAACATTTGCCGGTATCTACCTTGGACAATTGGTTTTGCTTGCAATCTTTGCTGTTGGTAAAGGGTGGGGTCCCATTGTATTGCAAGTTGTTGCCGTTATTGCCACCATTTTCATACACATCAATCTTTATCAATCGTTTAGCCATTTGTTGCAAGTTGTACCCATGGATGCAATGCGTGCATTGGATGGAGTATCGCAAACTTGCTCATTCAAGGGAGAATCTGAATTCAAACAACGTGTTATTGAAAAGAAGAGACATGATAAAGATCCAAGGTTTGAGAAGAAATATGTTGCCGAACAACAAGAGGAGGAAGAGATCAAACAACGTGTTCTTGACACTGTGCGCCAATATGATCCAGAAACTGACATCAGCACAAGCAACATATCAGTGGTCCCATTATTGGCTGATCGTGACATGAAGGCAACAAAATCCGACCATTTCTTGGTTAGGTTTATTAGACCTGATGTATTTCTCAACTTCCGCCATGTGAAGAAGTTGATTCCTGCGACTTATCATGTTGAACCTGAAGTGACTGACGACAAGCACGCGTATGACGCACCGGCGATTTCCGCCAAGTGTCCCGGTGTTTGGATTCCTAGAGATCCGATGGGATTGGCTGATATAGAAGTCAAGCAATTGTCAAGTGTGGTTGACATTAGTGATGCGAATGCCGGGTTTGATGAAAAGGGTAAAATACAATATTTGGGTGAACCACCAAATTAGAAATTACATTTATAAAGTACGGATAGTGTAAATAGAGGGGAGTATAAAAAACAGCAGAAGGAGGATTTGATAGAAGAACAAGATCCGTATGAGTTGTAGTTTGGTAGGATGAGACCTTTAGTGTAAGAAGTAGTATCCGAAAACGGTCACGTGAGAGAGTACACTTGGGTCTATACCTACCTGATGTCAGCAATTGGCCTCCTTAAGAACTTACTTGAAGTAGTGAAGTAGGGTAAGCGTAGTAACATCCATTTACTGGCAAGGATGAAACTAAGCTTGTCCGCCATTGGATACGTGAATTTTGGCTTACAACGTATTGCCATCTCATTGGCGAATGAGAGAGAAAAAAAAAAATACACTTCATAAATCCGTGGAATTGATACTCTCTCGTGACTAGTTTACCCCACCTGAAATTTTTAAGAAAATAAAATACCGCTAATCATTTTTTTTTTGTTTGGGTATTGATATGATCAGATCGACATCATCACTCACTATTCATTGTACGTATAGATCACTGCTCTCCATCTCAAGATCAGCAAAGCAATTTTCAACAACCATGCCATCGCCATCACCATCACCATTATTAAACTCCACTTCCACAGCTGCTGCGTTTGCCAGACTTGCCTTGACTAACCAACATCTTCAACAATCACGAACAAATGCCACTTCCGTGACCGCCAAAACTGCTCCGGCACCAGACTCACAAGCCACCATCAAAACCACATCACGCACCCCGCTTGTCATTCCAACTGCTCAAGGAACCAAGTATACTGCCACATACGCCAACTATGCCACTACTGATTCCGGCAAGATACTTTCATATTTCCACGACATCCCCCTCGATTTGAACCCAGAGACAAAAGAAGCCAATTTCGTATGTGAGATTCCGCGTTGGTCAAATGCTAAATTTGAAATTGCGACTAAAGTTCCAGGAAACCCCATTATCCAAGACACCAAAAATGGTAAAGTACGATTCGTGAAGAACTTGTTCCCCTATCACGGATACATGCACAATTATGGCGCATTCCCACAGACTTGGGAAGATCCCTTTGTTCAACACCACAACTTGTATGGCGATAATGATCCATTGGATGTTTGTGAAATTGGGTCGCGTGTGTTGACCACAGGCGCAGTGAAACGAGTCAAGATTCTTGGGTCGTTGGCATTGATCGATGATGGAGAAATGGACTGGAAGGTGATTGTCATTGATACCGAGGATGAATTGGCGTCACAAGTGAATGATATAGCTGATGTGGCAAAGTTGTGTCCTGGGTTATTGGAAGCTACTAGACAATGGTTTAGAGATTACAAATTGGCTGATGGGAAACCGGCCAATGCATTTGCGTTTGATGGGCAGTTCAAGTCGGCGTCGGAGACGGTCACGGTTGTTGAGGAGTGTAATTTGAGCTGGCGGAATCTAGTTGCGGGGAAAGTTAAGCCTCCAAGTGGCAGCGGTGATGGCAAGTTACCTAGTATTTTGAATACCATTTTGGAGAATTCACCCGGGTACGTTTCTGATTTTGAAATCAAATTGACGAAATCGGTAGAGCCGGATGGAGAGATCCCCGTTGATACGCACAAGAATTACTACTTCAAAACTAATTAAGAAGCTGAAACGGCAGAGACATACAACGAGTCCTTTATTTTTTAGTTTTTTTTTTTTTTATGTATATAAAATGTATATTATGAACTATAGAATCAACAAAATAAGTCCATGACATTTCTACGACAACATGTTCTTCATTTCTCTAATATCTTCAAAGATCCTCTTGACAAACCCATTGTATTGCTCACCGCCTTGATCAATAATCAACCTCTCTTCAGGGGTGCTTGCAATGATTCTCGATGTGAGGAATTTAGGATGCTTGAGTAGATTGTCAATGCAATCAATGAAATCATCCCGATTCGATTCCGAATCTAGTCCAGGCAAAACCTTCATATCGACAATCGTGGAAGCATCATTGTCATCTTCATCGTGGCCATCTTCATCATGGTCAACTTGGCCCTCACTGTCCATCAGCTTCTTCTTACCATAGGTTCCTTGATTCGCGTATTCCAGCAATGTCGAATCCAAATAATCACGCACATTCATTGCCCTCAACAAATTGTAAATCACCAAGATTTGATTGGTTTCATAAACACCACCAGTCGAGATTTTCAAGCTCGACGAATCACGAGCCCAACTCGTTATACATGATTGAATCTGTTTAGCAAACAATTGCAAAACAACACAAACTTCAGCAATTATCGACGCGCCCAATTTGTCAATACTGGTGATAAGTATTGGTAAAATCCCATCAATCCACAATCGATAATGCTTTGAACCACTCAATACTGATAATCCACCTGCTCTAATAGGACGAGAAATCGGACTTTCCAACAATGACACAAAAAGACCCGATGTTATAATCGAATGGGCTATTGAATCAATAGACATTAGTTCCATCAAGTACTGCAAACTCATTTGTGCAAACATAAACTCGTCACCTCCTATATCAATCCAATGGGAAATGGTGTAGATATTCAACAACGTTTTTACTGTACCTGCGTCTTTCACTAATGACGCTACTCCTTGTGTTAATAACGGTTCATTTGGTTTGAATGCAATAAACACCTTTAAAATCGACAATATTAGTTGTAGATCATTGAATTTTTCGCCCAATTTATATTGAGACAAATCTTTGGTATTGCCACTCCTTTTTAGTGCAAAAACATCCTTTTGTAATTCAACTGATAGCGACTTGACACCTTTGATTATGATTGCATCAAACAAGTTTTGAAATAAACTCAAATGCCTTCCCAAAACAGCTTTTTTTGAATCCCCGCCTTTTGCCCCTTCAATCATTTTCAATGAACAATAAATAACTCGTAATAAAGGTCGATAAGTACCCTCAGATGCAACCAAGTCGGCAATGAAATTAAAGCTAGTTGACGACAACAATGTGCTTGCACTTTTAACAATTTCAAAGATGGTGGCCGTCTTCTCGTCATGCTTACTGCTCTGCCTATACTGTGTGAAAAACGAGTACAAAATGTAAAAGCCAAGCTCAATCCTGTCAAAATAAATTTGACGGAACTCGAGCGATGGAATGTTTTCAACAATGTCAACCTTTAACAAGAAGTCAACCAACCCCAACAATTCGTCATTCAAAGGCCCCTGGAATCGACGACAGAAACTTGTCAACAACGTTCCAAACGACTTGGCAGCCGTTAATTGTGCCAGCAAGTATTGGCTATTCACACTTGATGCAATGATTTGTTCTTTGACGTTGCTGCTCCAAGAAGCTTGCTTACGGAATAAGTTATCCATGAATTCGAGATTGTATATGGAGTTGAATCCTATAGTGTTTGGCTTGTTCAAGGAGGTTGCAAATTTTGCAAGTTCAAGATTGGGAAAAAAGTTTTTGAACGAGTTCTCCAATTCAGCATGCAACGAATGTTGATAATGCTTGATCTCAAACTTTTGCTCAACAATCTTGATAAAGCTCGTTGAATTGATAAAGTTGATGATTTGGTCGTGACAGTTTTCATTCTTTGTGGTGAATAGATATATTGAAAGAATATCCGCAATCTTTGCATTTAAGACCAATTCGTAGCACCGATCAATAAACTCGTCAATCGTTTTTGGAGCGTCAGTTGTTTTTTGCACCGCGACACGATCAATTAAAATCTGAATAAACTCTTTATCAAAGTTGGACTCCTTAACCATTGTCCATGCGTTACTGGATAACGCAATAGCATCAATCAAATGAAGGTTTACAAAATTCGGATAATACTTCATTTCTCTAACGCTCTTTTTCAAAATTTGAACAACTGATTCACTCGGACTTTCCAATTCCCTGCCCAGTGCTTCATTTGATGGCTCCTTTTCGGTCACAGGAAATGCATTCTTACCAGTATTGAACAACACTATTAGTCCTTCTTGTCGACTACGCATCACTGCGCAAATAAACTCACTCAAAGCAATTTTTAAATCGTAATCATCCAATGTATTTTTTAAAGTTGATATGATAGACTGTTTCAAAACCTGAGCATCAAAGTGTCCTACATGAGACAACAACGATGGTGTCGGTTCATTCTCCCACACAGCACCAATCAAACTAGTGAGCAAGCTTATCGAACTCAATTTGTATGATTCGTTGGTAGCAAAAATCGTGACCAAATCACTAGCTTTTGCGAATAGTGTTTTCTCCAAGGCCAGAGGAGACAAACCCAGGTTACTGCGCAAGCGTATGGCCAACTCGGCAAACGAAAATGCACGAGAAATCCATCTGCCAAACCAAACTCCAGATATATCAGTTAACTCAAACAAATCAATGTGATGCGTGGCCGAGTCAACAACATTAAGAATTGGCAAGATTGCTCTCGTAGAAGCTGAATCTGTTGCTAAAAAGGAATTCAATAAAAACTGACTTCCTTTGAAGAAAACCCTTGTGAGTTTATTCTCAGGAGGGCAATTTTTCTCCACTCCATAAGCTGTTGTTAAGATTGCACTGAACAAGTCCAATAATGAGCTGCCAAGTCGAAACCTATCATAAACACGGGAAAAGTGGCAATGTGAAAAGTTCTCAAACAAAAATACTAGATGCGATGTAAACTGATGTATGATGTCCTCCCTTGATTTGTCGAAAATAGCATCTTCCAGAATGCAATCGTTAACCAAAGCCTTAGCGAATTCAACAAGCGCCAATGAAAATCGAAAATCTCCATTGACCATCTCCACTGCCCCAAAAATAGTTGTTGCTAGCCCTTCTTTACCATCACGAGTAAACAACAAAGACTTGCCCAAGTACTGCCATATTCTACTTGAAACAATAGGCAACAACTTTGACAACAATTCCAAAGCAGTAGACAGAATAGCAATGTTCCTCGTATGCAAAGCTTGATCAAGTAAACTGAGAACTATTCCCACTATATCAGATTCGTCAGTGTATGCTGACATGGACTCCAACATCAACTTTGTTTGTCCCTCTTCACAATCGGCCAGAACTGTTGTCATCAATCGCAAGATATCGAGAATCAACTCCTCCTTTGATGCGTCAAAACCACCTACCCCTTTCGAGATATTATAAATCACTCTCCCAATAAAAGCCCATCCATTGTAATCATGCAAAAAGGTCACCAATACTTCATCCAGATTAGCTGCAGGCAACATTTTTGCTCTGGTACCCGATGACAATGCCATGGCGAGTTTCTTGTTTGATTCGAACTGTGGGAACAAATTTATTTCATCAATGAGTTTGACTAGTTCGGGGTTTTGGTCGTCAATTTGGTATAATTTATCAAACTGGGATCTATTGTACACTTGAATGTATGACTTTAAATCGTTGAATTCGTGTAACGCAAAATCACCATTCACAGATGCGAGCTTGATGTACGGCGACAACAAGAGAGGAAACTTGGCCCTTGCAATAATAAGGGCTTCAATTGTCGCCTCATTATTGAAAAACTTTTCCACAACAGTATCTGGACAATTTCTTATGATTTCAAATATGGTATTGGTGATTTCTGGGGTTAATTCTACCAATGGAATGGAAGCAGTAATGACCGATGACAACACAGTGGAATACAACTTGTCAAAATTCACCTTGTCATTCAAATTTTTCAATGAACCAAAAATGTTCAAAGACAAGCTCTTGTTGTTGCATTGGTTAACAATGTTGTCCAAGACCGAATTGGGAAACTTTGTCTCAAATGACTTGGCAGTTGAGGATGTGGGATACTCCTGAGAAAAATACGATTTTCTCAACAGGATGATACTCCAGCAATACAAAATGACCGCGTTATTGTTGTAGTCACTAGTAATAACATTGTTGATGAATGAAAACACTTCCACATCAGATACATACAATCCAAGATCACCGTCAAGAGAGTCGTACGCACTGTCAAGATCAAGGAATTCGATGGATATAATTGTGAACAAAGCCTGAATCAATTCAAAAGATTCCGGATATTGTAAATTAGGACCCAAAGCAATAGCAAAGTTGGTTTTCTGCATCAGCTCAAACCATTTCTTAACCAAGTCTTTTGTGATCAAAGGATTTTGGGCAGCAACTTCGATCAAAACTCTGCACGAGTCAATACAAAATAATACCAACTCGTTGAAAATGGTGTCATCTATACTGTTTGATAATGCTGTTTTATAGCTTTCATCAACAATGGAGTCCAACGTATCCAGGATCGAATTGATCAATTTCTCGATATAGTCTTTAGATAAAAACAACTCCTTACCAATGTTTCTAATCACAGAAGATGTGGCTGGGTTAGTTTTGTTGCTCAAAGCCACCCGCGCAATCTTCAAAACTGTTCTTCTTTCTCGTAGTATGTTGGTGATGTAGAGTTTTATTCGGTCATTATCCAATTGTGCTACTCTATCGTCATTCAATTTGCTCTTGAAATTCAATTTGGGTGCAGTTTTGGGAGGCACTCTTTTGCAAACTTGGTCAATGCTCCGAAGAATCTCTTTAATGTCAAAGTCAAGATATTTTTGAATCAATTCACCATCTTTTATATTTTGTTGGGTGATGTCAGTGTATAGTATTCCACGCACAGATATTTCCTTGGTTCCAGCTTTGATGTTCAGCGTTGACTTTTCGACAGTAAACGGTGACGGGGTCAATATAACATCTTTGAGGAGAAGTAAGTATTCATCCAATGCGTCTGATATATATGGATCTTGACAATCATTGATCAAAGCCAAAACATTTTCAAAGGACCAATATTGTGTGGGCTGAATAGGTTTTAGCGGAAGATTTTTTGATCCCAGCCCACTCAATGATGTAATAGTAGGCGACATAATACAGAATAAGTTTCTCAGCCACTTGTCAATTGATTTATGCAATTGGATTCTTGGTTGTAAGAATAGAAATCGAAGAAATTTCAAAATGTCTTGCAGTTTTTTTTTTTGTTTTTTTTTTTTGTTTTTTTCTTTTGCTCCTCGCTTCTCTTTGTTTTACCATTTGTTTTCACCTCGCTTTCAGTTCATATTTGCACACGAAGGTATTGAACATGCCACTGTCTCCAGAGCCATTCATTGTTAGTGCTCCAGGAAAGGTTATTATTTTTGGTGAACACTCAGCAGTATATGGAAAGCCAGCAATTGCAGCAGCCTTGAGTTTGAGATGCTTTTTACTCGTTACACCATCTACAGATTCAAATGTTATACGATTGCAATTTCCAGATATAGAGCTTGACCATTCTTGGGACAAAAGTTCGATCAAGTGGGATAAAATTCGGCAATGTCTAAAGTTTGACAAGAATGGAAGTCCTATTCCTCCATCGGAGTTGGTACCAGAAATTGTGGATGATTTATCTGATATGCTTGGTGGGTTTGAAAGTAATAACGTCCATCACCTTGCGTGTTTTTGCTTTCTTTACTTGTATGTCTGTCTTTGCAACAGCGAAAGCCCTGGAATGACTTTTGTAGTAAGGTCAACGTTACCAATTGGTGCCGGATTGGGTTCGTCTGCTTCCACGTCGGTTTGTCTTTCTGCTGCATTGTCAAGATTGGGGGGATGGATAAAAGACCCACGTGTCCATGAAGGAGACACCACGCCAAAGCAGGACATTCCTGATCTTGAATTTATTGACACATGGTCCCTAATTGGTGAAAAGTGCTTTCACGGGAACCCTTCTGGAATTGACAATGCTGTTGCCACACATGGAGGAGCCGTCATGTTTCAGAGATCTTCTGAGCCAGGGAAACCATCAACTAGAACTAACATAAGAACTTTGCCCCCAGTAAAGCTATTATTGACCAATACAAAGGTCCCCAAGAGTACTGCTAAATTGGTTGGCGGGGTGGGGATACTAGCAGCGAAATACAACTCCATTATAACACCCATTCTTGAATCAATGGGTAACTTGGTACAAGAGGCATACCGAGTAATGACTCACCCCAATTTTGGGTCGGAAGAGACTGCAATCTTGCGTGAATTGGTCAACATTAACCATGGTCTTTTGGTGGGATTAGGAGTGTCGCACCCTTCATTGGAAACAGTGAAACTAATTGGTGATGAAATGAAGATTGGAGCAACCAAGTTGACTGGAGCTGGCGGAGGAGGTTGTGCAATAACTTTGGTCAATGAGGATACTCAAGAATCGGTAATTGGTCAAGCTATATTGGAATACGAAAGACAAGGTTTTGAAAGTTTCGAAACATCCTTGGGTGGGAAAGGTGTCGGAATGTTGTTTCAGCTGGATCTTGTAAATGATAAAAAGTTTTCACCAGAGTTGTTTTGCAACTACGCTAATAGATTAGAGATTGAGACTGCACTCGCTGTCGAAAATGTACCTGAATGGAAGTTCTGGTGAATAGCTGAGGAATACAGTCACGTCTATATATGTATATACAAGCATCTTATTTGCAACAATAGACTTTTAAATACCCCTGTTAAACTCCAACTCTGTGATTTTATTCCCTTTTGCATCAGTCAAATGATGAAACTTTTCCTCTAATCTACTAGCATGCAAAGTCTCACGTTGAGGAAAAACTGCCAACGCAAATGGCAAAACCGCAAGCGAAGTGACAAAAATCAATCCAATATTGGCCAATGTCTCAACTGTTTTAGATTTCCCTTTCAATAATCGGGATTTTTGCAATCTCACTAGTATCAAAGGAGGGATCACCATGATTGGGGTTGCGTTAATGACCCTGCTTGCAGCAGTCTCTCCCACAGCATGCCAAGCAGCCAATTTCGACGTTCCAACCTCGTTTCCTTCTTTGTCATACACCACAATTCCCTTTTTCAATTCTTGACTCCTCATTAAAAACACATTGGCGATACCAGCAGAAACAACAGCGGCAAATGGCACCAATCTGCCCAAAATGAGTCTTGTATTCGGCTTGACACTTTTCAATCGTGGTACTATCGAGTTCAAGCCTAGTGCAACTGAACAAGAAGCTGTAACGGCCATGGTGTAGTTGGTTGCAATTTCCCTCGTTGTCAAAGGATGCGACTTGTTGGAGTTTTCGATATTGATAGCAACGTTCAAACTCTGATTTGCAATTTGCCAAAACAAAGTTCCAGCAGTGCCTAAATTGGGGGTCAACATACCAGCAGTAACCACCAAATTTGACAACACGCACGAAGACATTCTGAATGGGAGAAAAACGGTCTTGCCCGTATCTGGATGCAATGTCGAGTCAAGCACTCGTTTAGCTCTCCACAATTCTGGAGTCATAGTTGGAATAACTCCATTCTTGTAGTCCCAAATCATTCTCTTTGCAGTTTCAATGTCGTTTGATGTGTTTAGGAGCATGGTGGGGTCTGAAATTTCGGCGCAGTGTTTTACACGGCCCCAGTATGTGTCCAAATCATACCTAGACTGAGGTAACGGTACTGGTCCCGGCACTGAAGACGACATGACTGTGGAATAACAAGTGTGCTGTAGTAAGTAAGTGGCTCAGGTGTAGTTGGAACTTGCACAAGAAAAAGAAAATTTTTTGATACGGCGGTGCGAAAAGCGGACCGGAGGATTTCACTGAAAGACCTCGTAATTGTCCTTTTCCCTCCCCTCTCAATAAAGCATATTCATTAATGTCAGGATGCACCCCGGGGGCAGGACGGAAGGCTGGTTTAGTAGTTGCAATTGGGGTTGATATCATAAAGACGTCTCGATTCGAAAAACTACTTAGAACAAAGACGACATCTTTTGCAGAACGATTGTCCAAGAGAATACTACATCACACTCACGAATTGCCCAAGTTTAACGAGATGGATGCAGGAAGACAAGTTCAGTTCATGGCAGGGTCCTGGGCTGCCAAAGAAGCGTTGTTTAAAACATTGCACCAAGAAGAACAGGACGTGTTTAATTTCAACGAATGGTATCGGTATAACAATTCATCGGGTAAGCCATTTATATCGAATGACAAATACGATTACAACAACGAGGAATTCCATCTAAGTATATCCCATGATGATTCTTTGGTAATTGCCACCGTTTTGCGACAGAAACTCTACAGTTTGGACTCCAAAGGTTTATAGTGAAAGTTACATATTCCCTCTATTAACGTATACAAACTATTCCCATTCGACAGTAGCTGGTGGTTTAGAAGTGATATCGTAGGTGACACGAGCGACACCATCAACTTCGTTGACAATTCTCGATGCAACTCTCTTCAAGAATGCAGCATCAAAGATAAACCAATCAGCAGTCATGAAATCAACAGTTTCAATGGCTCTCAAAGCAATGACCTGCTCATAGGTCCTTTGATCACCCATAACACCAACGGATTTAACTGGCAACAAAGCAGCAAAAGCTTGTGAGATTTGTCTGTATAAACCAGCTTTTTTGATCTCTTCAATGAAAATGGCGTCAGCTTCACGAGCAATCTTGACTTGTTCTTTGGTAACTTCACCAAGTACTCTAATTGCCAAACCAGGACCAGGGAATGGGTGTCTCCATACCAAGTCTTGTGGGACTCCCAACAATTCACCCAAATGACGAACCTCATCCTTGAACAATTCTCTCAATGGTTCAATCAATTTCAATTTCATGTCCTCCAACAAACCACCAACGTTGTGATGTGTTTTGATTGTTTGTGAGGGACCTTTGAAAGAGATGGACTCAATGACATCAGGGTACAAAGTACCTTGTAAAAGATATTCAACCTCGGAGCCATCGTGGGGTTTGATCTTAGCAGCTTCTTCTTCAAAAACATTGATGAATGTGTTTCCAATAATCTTTCTCTTTTTCTCGGGATCAGTGACACCCTTCAATCTTCCAAGGAATAAATCGCCGGCATCAACCACAGTCAAGTTGATACCCAAGCCTTCATCCAAGGTCTTTTTAACACTCTCTGTCTCGTTCAATCTCATAAGACCATTGTCAACGTAGATTGCATGAAATCTGTCACCAATAGCTTCCTTCATGATCTTAGCACCTACAGTGGAATCAACACCTCCAGAAACGGCACCAATGACTTCAGCGGTTGGTCCAACCAACTTTCTAATTCTGGCAATTTCAGTATCGACAAAGTTTTCCATACTCCAATTTGTATGAGCTTGACAGATATCAACAGCAAAATTTTTCAACAATTGCTTACCTTGCAAAGTGTGAGTCACTTCCGGGTGGAATTGAATACCGTAAATTTTTTCAGCTTCGTTGGAGATACCACAGTATGGGGAGTTGTCTGAGGTGGCGACTACTTTGAATCCGGTTGGTAAAGCATGCAACTTGTCACCATGGGACATCCATACTTGTGAGTGATCGATATCTTTAAACAAGGCACTGTCTTTATCCTCAACACGTAGAGTGGCTGGACCATATTCTCTCTTGTCACCTCTAGCAACACCCTTACCATTGATCCATGCCAATTCTTGCATACCATAACAAATACCCAAGATTGGGACATTCAATTTGAAAATATCGTGATCAACATGTGGGGCATCTTCAGCGTAAACAGAGTATGGTCCTCCTGACAAAATGATACCTTTTGGTTTCCAAGACAATTCAGAAATCTTTTGAGTACAAGGCAACATCTCAGCGTAAACGTTAAACTCTCTCAAACGACGAGTGATTAAATGGGAGTATTGGGAACCAAAGTCCAACACCAAGATGGTGTCAAAGACTTTGGAAACCTCAATTGGAACATCTTCAAGGTTGGTTGACATGATGGAAAGCAGATGGGAAATGTTTTTGTTTTTTTTTAGTTTCCAAGACGTTGAGAGAATGGTCCTCTATATGGGGTCGTTTCAACAACAAGTTCACCAAAAAGCAGAAGTCAAATTTGGAAGAAAAATTTGGCAAAATAAATTTTCCAAAGAGCTCATCGGATTTGCCTGTCATAATTTTTTTCTCTTTGCTTGTGTCGTATAACTTGCAATTGCGACATGACAAACTGATAAGATAGGCATAGTCCCGACGGAAGATCCCTTGAGGAGGCGATACATTTCTATACAAGGTGCACTTTTTGACAATTAGCTCTAGAGGACAAGAATAACAGACACTTACATTAGAGAGGACATACAATTGAAGCAATGTATTTTTCAAGTAGGATCTTGTAATAGAACCACAATCTCTAGGTAGCGCAAACTGGCTTTTGGCAATTCTGGGCCAGACTCGTAGTCTCTTGTACTACCACAACCGACGTCTTGCATCTGTGCTAATAGAGAGGTATTAAGTTCAATTATACAAAATTCTTTGCCTTCTTCAACATAGACGCAAGTGAAGATTCTTGAGCACAGATTCCGGTTTTTTCTTTTTTTGTCATAAATTTGTGACCAATATTTTAGTTGACATGAACAATGTCTGGAAAATCATTAGAGCGTTGCCATAGAATATTACCCCCCAGAATATCAACATCTAAGAAATACTACTCTTATTGATGGGAGGAAGGAAGGAATCAATCCATGAAAATAAAAAGGAAAATAGCTTGAGATCCATTTGGATAAGGAATATAATGCGTGAAAATTCTGGGAGTCAACACAGCAAAAGTGCCAGACGAAGTTGGAAGATGTATTGCAGTCAATTAACCTCTTCTTTAAAACCATCCATCGCTGGCCAAAAGGCATTGAATGGCGATCAATATGCTCTGGT